AACTAATGTGGTTTCCTTTACTTGCTACCAAAGATAGTTTATTGGGCAAAGTTTGAGGAAAACTTTTTTCCGATGCGAAATACCCTGGACCGCTCTCACAGAGATCGCCTCTTAATTCATGAACGCCTTGCGCGTTTTGTGACTCGGTGTTAAGTTACGAGAGCAACCGTTGAAAATTTGAACATGTTTTAGGGAATAGTATGGGGAACGAAATATGGTCGATTTACTGTGATCAAACTCTTTACGAAAGTAATATTAAATCACTCATATCAAACAACTTCGACGGAGCAGTTCTAGATTATCATTGCGCAAAAAAAGAAATGTTGTGCATCGATAATATTTCAGTACATGTGTTTTGTGTTTTCCTTTATTCTAGGTCATTTCCCAAACATTTCGAAAAACCCTAAGGGAAGTCTGAAACAGCTGGTTGATAACAAAAACATTTATTGTTAGCTTTTAGGTATCAACCCGTCAATATTTAGGAAAAGGTTAATCGGAATACTATTCAGAACTATTATGCCCGTGTTCAAAAACAGTAAATTAGTATTGTCACTATTATCATTATAATTACAATGTGGGTTGCAATTAAAAATCGCAATGACGACAGTTGTATATGAAGGAAATTTATTTTTATGTTGTTGTTGTTTTTTTTTTCAGAGTCAAATAAGCTCATTGCGAGCATTTCTTAAGCGATAAGGTCGACTGGGTTTGCCAATACCCGTTGTGCCTTTAGGTTTCTAACGCATCAAGTCGGCCTTCCCTACAAAATCCTCCTTCTCCCTCGCGGGTGAAAAAATAACGACCATATTCCGCGTGACTATGATCCCTAAAGTCTAACACTAAAGATTCTTCATTGTTACTTACATAATTATTTTGATATGTTGGAGAAAAAAAAAAAGGGAACACTCATATCTAACGAATCCATTTCTAACTCTCTAAGTTTTTGAAGTAAAACAACTAATTAAGCTTTGGTGAGCTATTATCTCCATTTATTGTTCCAAGAAACGTAAAACGTCACATATTTTGTCAATAACACTTTCCAGTGCGTGGCACGTGCAGGTGAGATCTACGGCTCTGCACTATTTAGCGAGTACCGTTAGAAAAAGCGAACAAAAAAATATATATTTATGATCGACATATTACTAGTGGCGGTGCAATTGTTTCGAAGCAACTCCTAGCGTTCTTAAAAAACCTAATTCGGCGTAGAGGGGTTAAATAAACAAAGAGTGGCAACTGTCAGTAATTGATAGTATCATTAAAATGAATAAAACCCGTCACCACAAGTTGATATCTTTAGCCTAAGGATATATCATTAAAAAATGCTCTGTTTTCGCCAAGTAATGTGTATCACATGCTAAACTATTGAAAAAGCTTTAAAATTCGAATGAAGCGTTTGCTGAAAAGTTTGTTTCATTTCTGTTATATTTTTTTAACCTAAGTAAAAAGGCTTATTGCGACTAAATTTCGGTAGAAATACCCGACGAAAATAATTTGCATGACAATCCATTTCCCGTGGTGTATGTCAACACTGAGTAAACGGCTGGTTCTTGCTAAAAGGAGAATTATCACAAGCTTTGAATTTATATTGGTAAAGGATATTTCGGACCGATCTCCAGCCAATGACAGTTTACTAGGGGGTTGCATTTGGTTCAGCTTACAGGAACTAAACTCACCCAAAGGAAAAAATAATGATGACGAAAAGCTGCCAGTTGTGGGGAACGCTCCTGTTATCAATAACTATGTTGAGTGGGTACCAAAGCTTCTTTTAAAAGATTGATTTCATATAGAAAAAATTAATTTCGTTTAGAATGCATCCTAAGCGTACTCCGAGGATTCCATCTGATGGCTGCCCTTTAAAAAGTCTCCAAATGCCGCTAAAACTTAGATTAGTTTAGGATTAGACGATCCTTAGTAGCAGGTGGCCACACAGGCTCTTTCTCTGGAAGCCAAGACGAAATATTTTAGGGGATAAATTTCATGGAGCCATTTTACCCATGTATTATTGAGATACAGGCTTAAAGCCTGTTCTAACTCAGGCGTCTATTACGAAAAAGTGAAGCTTTAGTGTAAACATGCAAACAGCTATGGGATATTTTATGCAAATTCTGTAATAACTAAATAGAAAGTTGAAATTTAGGTCGCCTCTAACCTTTCACAAACTACTGAGCTTTGCAGGTTAACGATACCATTTCAAGTCTTGTTTTCTCCTTGGCAATTTTCATATGGGTCAGTTTTTCCTAGGTATTTAATTTACCATTGATATGAAAACAATGTCTGAGAAGCCAACATCGTTGTGCAGAAACGTTCTTTACACCCAGGGATGCCTTTATGTATTTCTCAATTCCTAAGCTGCAAAACGTAGATTTAGAGAGAAGCCTCACTCTTTAATCTTACAAAGGCCGCCTATCTTTGGCAAAAATAGTAACGATATGCACAAAAATTAAGTAAACAAACAAAAACATGGACAAATAAATATAAATAAACGGTGTCAATGATACAAAATAAGATAAAATACTGAGATATATCTCAGCTGTATAGAAAGTTACATAAAAGGATGTTAGTTTTTTAAAGATATCGCTTTTTATTAACTTGTATTTTCGAAACCTCTGTCAACTTCGCGGTAGTGGAAGACTCGGTTTGAACGAAATGGTGTATGTAATCACTCTGCTGCAATGGTAGTTGCCATGAAAATTATACTCAGCAGTCTTATGCAACAGTGGCATAAAGTTATTTATTTGCCTGAGAAGGTCTTGCGATACCTTTGTATTTTTCATAACTATCTTCATCATTATTTTCATATTTAGTATTCTTATATTTTTGGTTCTGTTCTTATTCTTTGTTTCAGGTTTTGCCCTGGGCAGTGAAGATTGCGATTCGAATAAATGTAGCTCGGAAAGTAAAAATGGTGGTGATCATTGTATTCCGATAGGGAATTGCAGCAGTGGTAGTTATTGCTGTCATATGAAATGCAAGGGGAAAGAGTGTAGACAGACATGCTATACTGGAGTAGAGTTGTGTGAAATGAATCTGGAATGTGAAGGTAGCGATTGTGACCAAACCTGCAACGCTGACGAATGTAATTTGAACTGCAGTGGGAGCAATTGTAAAGCACAGAAGTGTCTAGGTGAAGGAAATGTATGTAAAATGGATATGAAATGTGAAGGTAGCGATTGTGACCAAACCTGCAACGCTGACGAATGTAATCTGAACTGCAGTGGGAGCAATTGTAAAGCACAGAAGTGTCAAGGTGAAGGAAATGTATGTAAAATGGATCTGGAATGTGAAGGTAGCGATTGTGACCAAACCTGCAACGCTGACGAATGTAATCTGAACTGCAGTGGGAGCAATTGTAAAGCACAGAAGTGTCTAGGTGAAGGAAATGTATGTAAAATGGATATGGAATGTGAAGGTAGCGATTGTGACCAAACCTGCAACGCTGACGAATGTAATCTGAACTGCAGTGGGAGCAATTGTAAAACACAGAAGTGCCAAGGTGAAGGAAATGTGTGTGAAATGGATCTGGAATGTGAAGGTAGCGATTGTGACCAAACCTGCAACGCTGACGAATGTAATCTGAACTGCAGAGGGAAAAGTTGTAAAACTCAAAAGTGCCAAGGTGAAGATGTATGTGAAATGCATCTAGAGTGTAACAACCAGAATTGTGAACAAATATGCGAAGCCAAAGTATGTAACCTGACCTGCAGCGGGAGAAAATGTAAAACACAAAGTTGCACAGGCAATGTAGAGGTGTGCAGTACACATTTTAACGCTAAAGATTGTACAGAGATGTGTGACGATCACTCCATTACTTCAGATTCATACACGTCAAATATCGTTTCATCCATTGGGGCTTCAACAATTCGAGTATTTGCAACTAAAATTTCAACAGGACATGGAATAGAAGCTTACAGTGAGTACAATAATACTTTGAAAACTTAAAACTTTCTTTTTTGTTTTACGAAAAAGTGTTTAAGATTCTAAAAAAGAAATATAAAATATTTTCTTTGAAAATTCGTCGCACCTTACCATAGCGTCAATTTTAATTTAACAATTAAATATTCTCCAACATTCAGCTCGGTTGCAATCAATGTCGCAATCACCTTTGACATTAATCTTACCGTTACCATCACCTTCGTCACACTCACCATCAGCAGCAGTGTTACCAGCGAGGGCATCAGTATCTTCATCATTATTGTCATCACCATTGGAAACATCGGCAGCAGGATCATCATCGTCTCCGTCTCTACGGACACCTATGTCATCGACGTCGGAAGTTATTAAAAATCTGGTAAGCAAAGTATTTCTCTCACGCTTTTTATTTACAATATTGTTGTTCGCCAACTTTATTGTCTTTATTCATTTCAGGCAAACGATTCTGTTTCCAAACTAAAAGGAGGAGAAATGAGTAGAATTTTGTCCTTGATGGTATGAACTTGCTACTTACTTATCTTTTATGATTAATCCACTTAGTCTATATGAAATGCGCAATGATCAGAGACTGACCGATGCAATGCAGCAGTTTCTAAGCTTAAAGGGAACTTCTAGTTCGAAAAAGAGCAAACAAGACCGTATCATTATCGCCATTGTCCTCATTATCATTATTATAATTATTACAGCATTATCATTATCACTCACGTTAACGTAATTATTATCATTACTGAGATATGAACTGACATGGGTGAAATAATTGATTCCTTAACTTGTGCACATCCTACACACCATTTGGCTATCTTGCGGGATTTTTGTTCTTTTATCCATTTTTTGCTATTATTCGTTTCTTTACCAATTTTTTATGTAACCTAACTAGAAGTAGACGAAATATAGGCCTTGCTTGTAAAATTAATGCGTGACCTTTACCACAAACTGTTTTGTTAAAATGTTCGACCGCGATCAGGGGTTCTGCCGCTCGATACTCATGGGAAACTCAGATATCTTGTTTGAGTCTCACGGATCCCAATATTTAGCATTTTACTTAAACAGAAATATGTTATGTTATTCAGGAAGCTATAGGGATTTTTGAAGACTTCATCACCAGTACCCAAAACCTCGAAAAACCTTTTACCAAAGAAGAAATCGAAATAATAAGAAATTCCGTCTTTAAAGTGGCAGTCGCCTTGGAGGTATTCGCACTTGATTATGGCAAACACCGAATGATTGGAGCGAATTCTTCAGTAGAGATAAACAGCCGAAAACTGGGTGAGTCAGTGCATGATCATTTGTACCGATTTGAAGTAATCCATTACTTGTTTATCGACTGACACAATGACATAATGGCTGATTTGATGATTTAACTTTTTTTCACGGGACCTGCTGATTGGTGCTGTAGCCAGATCAAGCCGGTTAATCCCTCCCATTGACCATTTATTTTTATCAATCACAGTGATTATGGACATTTTTTTCGGCGATTAGAATGTTCAAAAGCGTTAAAACCTCAACTTTCCGATGTCGTGATGATCTATAGAGGACTGTACTTTTTAGAAGATTATGTAAGGAATACGTAGCTTTCAAACAAGTAAAATTATCATATTAGGATTATGACTTGCTTTCGGACCAACACGAAAAATATCTCTTGGAAAATGTGTTACTCTTAATTTCGTCTTTATTTTTTTTGTCCATCAGTGTTGGCTATACAAAAAACCTACCGAAAAAATGCTAGTGACTTTTATCTTGGGAAACAAGAACTGCAAACAAGCCTGGAGGTTTCCTATAAAAACTTTGCCAACAACGGTTTGTATTGACTTCAGTTTTTAAATCTTTGACGTGCTATGACAAAGCACAACTCTTCATTCCTCTTCAAGTTTTTTGCAGTTTTGAAATACATCTACAAATACATACAAGTTTTTTTTTTTTTACTTTTTCAGAATCAGTCGTTGTTGGGATCGTGTACAAGGATCTCCATGACGTATTAATTACAGATCAACCCTTCAGAACTATAACGGGCGCCACAAGGTGAGGTTACCTCCTACAGTTTCTTAACTAAATGCCCCTTCCATCGAAAATACAAAAAAAAAAAACTTGATCAGTTGAATCTACTAGGTTGTAAATTTTTCAAAACCCTGTCGAAAGAAAATTGGTCATGTAAATCAATGATATTTTCCGTGTTTGATAAATTAGCCTTTAAGTAACACTGGTTTGTATAGGCTCCTAGCTTGCTATTTTCATTAAAATAATTACTATACTTTAAATAAATCTGTTTCATACTGATTTTCTATTTCCTCCAAAGGTATTTGGACTCCTGGATAACTGCCGTGGCTTTAGATCCAAAACCAGAAAAATTACAAGAGAATGTCATCTTGAGGTTCAGAAATCTTAAAGTAAGAACACGATCAAAATCAGTATCAATTGTTTTACGTTGTGGTATTTATTCCGAGTATATGATTTAAATGTTTATATTCCGAGTACAGATTCGTGAAGGAGAGAAGAAATGTATGTTTTGGAGTGGCTCAAGTGAAAGGTAACAGCTGGAATGTATTTTTCATCCTGTTCCAGGAATAGTTGATTCTTCATTCTCAAAATATGAAGAAAAATGTAATGAATATTATACTTAAATGGGTGTGTTTCTAGGTTTACTATTAGCTGTCAATGATTTCTCACTCGACTTTGATGAGATATCGAAACTTTCCTTACGTTCTAAAAAGACCTTTAAATGTCAATCTCTTTCTTCTTTAAATGAAAGCATTGATTTGTTGAATGTTATTTTTTTCTTGGGAGGTTTTGTTGTTGCTGTTTTTCTTTTTTCTGTTTCCATAGCTATATCTATATATCCATTGCTTTTAGATTCCTTCCATTTATTTTAGTTATACGTTCATTGATTTGTTTGTTTGCATTGTCTGTTTGTTTGTTTCTGCGTTTCTAGCCTTGCTTGTTTCCTTGTTTGCTTTTTCACCTAAGTTAGGGTGTATTAATGTTTGACGAGTCATATTAAGAATTGTGCCAAGCCTGAATATCAATATCATTAGTATAGCATTTGCCTCAATTTGAAACTGCTGACAGTGATCGCCCAAAGGCAAATCCATTAGTGACAGGGAGAAGATGTCGACAAAAGCCAAATTCGAAAGTACTCAACGATGTGTAGAGGTTATGAACTCGGTGAAAGTAAGACAGAAATTAAACCTATCGGTACCCCAATAAGTTTTTTTTTTTAATTTTTCTTTTGATCATTATTATTATTATTATTATTATTATTATTATTATTTATTTAATTCTTTTCAGTTCAGGCGGATTTTCAGAGACTGGATGTTACTTAGTTACTTGGAAAAGCAACTCAGAAGAAACAGTTTGCAGCTGCAATCATTTGACTCATTTTGCTGTCTTACTTGACTACAATGGTAGCCCAGAGGTAATGAGTTAATTCTCTCTTACCTTTAGCATTGGTAATAGAATTTCGTTGGATTAAGTAAAAAAATTGCTGTCTCCTCATCTCTCTTTACAGCTCACAGAGGAAGACGAAACTATTTTGGAAATTATCACCTACGTGGGACTGAGTCTTTCCATCTTCGCGATTCTTTTGACAATTATTCTATATTCCTACCTCACGTAAGTACTGTAACCATACGCTCAAAGAACTAAGTCTTTGCATGACCTTAAAGGCTTTAGGGCTTAGAACAGACAAGTTCTTTAAAAAAATCGATTTAATTAAAATGTGTATTGAACAAATAACAGTAATAACGAATAAAGGTGATTAAAATGTAATAGAGATTAATTAAATTTATGTGCGAAAGCGGGTAAGATGTCTAAACTAGTACGATTCAAAATTAGTGGAATACCTTGTCAGACATTGCTTCGTTTTGTTTTTGTTTCTGTCTCGCCTTTGGTTTCTGTTCTGTTTGTTTGTTAGTTTTTTTATTGCTTGCTTGTTTCACTAGAGACGTATGGCAACCTTTGACTCAAATACGACTGAGTCTTTCTGTGTCCCTCGGAGCTGGACAAATAATCTTTCTTACCGGCATAAACGCCACAGAAAATACGGTAAGTGTTGTATTGATCTATTCGTGGTTTATCTGCTTTTTAGGGGCTTAAAAGATTCTCTAGAAACTAATATGAAAGAGCCACAAAAGCTTTTTTTTTCTCTCGCAGGCTCTCTGCGTCCTAGCAGCAGCTTTGTTGCAGTATTTCCTGATGGCAGCTTTCTGTTGGATGCTGGTGGAAGGAATTTATTTCTTCCTGTTTGTCGTGAAAGTTTATAACATCAACACCAAGATGCATATGTATCACTTCATATCATGGGGTATTTTTATTTCACTTGATTTAGATTATTATAAGCTGCTGAATCGGAAACGCCTCAAAATTGGACGCGTGACTTCTCCAGTTGCGCTAACTTTCTTCTTCTTATGTTTAGGTTTACCCATCATCATGGTTAGCATTTCAATAAGCATCGCCGCTGGAAAAGATGGAATTAAAAGCTATACCAGTGAAAAATAGTATGCGAAACAGTCAATAATACACCTGCAGTTTGTTCTCTCTTCTTCCTCTTCTCTCTCTCTCTCTCTTCATTTAAATAATCAGCATTTCACGACGTATTGCTGCTGTTAAGATCTCTTTCTAGTTTTCCATCATCACTCCATTTGTTTTCTCTGGGAGTTGTCTTGTTTTATCGTGTTGTTGTGTTTGATTTGTGTCGTGCTGTGAAGATTATTTTCTGTAAATTAATATTTTTTATACACTCGTTTCCAGTTGCTGGCTTTCCTCAACAAATAACCTGATCTGGATCTTCGTCACATTTGTAGCTTTCATTGAAGTTGTGAGTCTCTGATTAATTGACGTCTCATTAATATTGTTAGAGATTTTCACTGCTAAACGACTATCGTCTTTCAAAAGAATATCAACTCCAATTGATATTACCTTTCGTCTTTCCAACTTTGATCCCCCTTGGCCTGCGTGTGAACCAAGTAATAGCGTGGCGCAGCACAGGGTTCTCTGTCGCCCATTACAGAGACGCAGTAGTGCGTTGGCTAGCTGGACGCAGAGGGTTTAATTTTTCATGAAGATTCAGACTTTTCTTTTTTCAAACGCTCGCAACGAGACGAATGACCATTTTTCTGTTGTCGGTGATGCATTTTATATTCCTTGCTTTTTTCAGCTCAACATTTTGATACTTGTCCGAGTAATAAAGGAGATGAGGAAATTAATGCAACCCACGGGGGAAAACAACAATACACAGCAAATACGGTAAATAATAGATAAATTTAACATTTATTAGATAATTGTGATAAACTTGATAAAATTTAGATGGGAAAGGTAAATAATAACTAGTTTCTACACAGGCTCCTCTGGTAATGTGATCATATTGTTGTTGCATTTAGTTTAGCAGTATTTGTCTAGATTCCACTCTAGTTAGTCTGCGACGATGAGGCAATACAACTTTGAAAAAAAAAGTTCATTCACGTGACTGAAAGGAACGGTTTATCGATGCTCATCACATATTGTTGTCGTTATTCAGACTTGGCATTAAAACATGCGCGGTGATGATCCCACTGCTTGGTGTTACCTGGCTTTTTGGACTTTTGTTATCATTACACAAAGGTTTCGCCTACATTTTCACTATTTTCAACTCTATTCAGGTAAGCTTTCGGTAAAAAAAAATCAGTCGATATTAAATTGCAGTCATCTGTTCACATACTTAAATGCTAAAAGTACTCTTTCAGCTAAAAAAAGGCTCTTTGACATTGGTCAGATGATATTGCCTATTCAAAATAATTTACCCAACAGCAGACAATCTTTATTGGTTTACAAGATATGCGACTTGCTCTAATTCTTTCTTTCGCCACTTTTATTCTGGTTTCATCACAATGAAACGATCATATCTTTATCATCTTTCTCATCTGGATTACAAGAGATGTTATACTGATATAATTATCTGTTTCAGGGAATCCTGATTTTCCTTCTTCATTGTGTGCGGAACAGCCAGGTAAGATGAATATCAAACTGAGGATGTACATAAGAGGAATTGTGAATTTTCTAGACATCAATAAACATTTTGTGGATTAGAAATTGATATTTGGTCTCCCGTTCATCTGCAGATTAGAGAGCGATTGAAAAGGAAGATGAATATCATTTTCCCATCTGCTGTAGATCATGGAAACTCTGCGAAGAAGAGCTCACAAATTAATCCAAGTGATGCCGGCGAAGTGTGGGCAGTAGAATTGCAGTCCTTCAAAGAATAACACAATACAATATTCAGTAATCCAATTTAAACGACTTTTGGTGATAACGTTCTCCCATCTTTAAGAAATGAAAACTCCACAAGGAAAAGCTCACGGGCTAATCTCAGTGATGTCGGTGATGTGTGGGCAGATAAAAAGTAGTCTTAATATGAGTTGGAATTAAAAAATCAGCGTAAATAACTGGATTCAATAGAACGAAAATGAGAGTCGATTGTCTAAAATCGTATCGTACATTCAAGTCTCACTTGTTTAACACTAATACACATTTTACTGTATTCCTTTTAAACCACTGTTGACTAATATTTAATAACGACCCACATTTTGAGTACACAAGGTAACACTAAGCTACTTGTGAAAATACCAAATACGATCGTTCTTTTGTGATAGCAGAAGTAAAAGTCGAGTTTTAAGATTTATAATTAATAAATGAATTAAACCAACCGATAAATTAATAAATAATTGAAAACGAGTGAATGAATTATATCTTTTAGTAATCTGGTATATTTGTTCGCATAACGAGGCACATTGTACCCTTTCGAGTCAGAAAGTGAATTTTGATCAGTTTGGATTAAAATCGTTATATTAAAAAGCAGTGTAACAATCTTCTACTTTCCCCTTGGAAGAATCCCACTGAGTTTTGATCAATGCTTAGAGTAACACTGTATAACGCAAGCAGAGCTGCAAATTTTTATTAGCCCTGTTCTCTAAAGTCCTTACAGGGTGGAAGAGAGGGAAAGGGTTGTGAATCTATCTTAACTACCTCCTCTCCGCTCTCACTCCCATAACCCTCAGGGAGAGATTGTAAGACGCCTGAGAAGTCCAACTTCCCTCTTGAGTGAGTGTTTATGTTGCTCTGTTATGTTTTTGCCTGTTTTTTTCTTGTTTGTTTGTTTAAATATGAAGTCATTGCTATAGACGTGAATTCTAAATAAGTACATGACATAAAATCTTCTGAAATGTTAAATAATCCTTTCCACCGCATGATTACAAGCCCGTTAGATATAAATTAACGCCACTTTACGTAGGGCGCGCGCCGGATATTCGTAACGACGACACCCCCGCTTTCCCTCTCCTTTCAAAAGGGGGGAGGGGGGTACCTAGAGAGACCTAGCTACACCCACCTATTTTGTATCCTCTCGTTATGTTAAAAAGAGGATAGATGAGATATCAAAGCTTTGTAGCGATTCTTTAAGGATATAATACTCGAGCAAGATACAAGCACAGACATATATCGAGGAGCACGAAAACTTTTCATCACCATCGCTCATAATTATTGCCGCAGCGGAATAATTTTTTTTTCATAATTGCTACTAAATAGTTACTTTCTCGAGCTTGGGAATATCCCAACTATTTAAATCAATTGTTTTTCTCGCTGCATGATTGTGGATCGCACTCTATTCTATTAAAAGAATTACGAAATAAAACAGTTTCTTTCGATATTAATGGATTATTTCGCCATGCTTGTTTTAAGCAGGTGCTAAGGATTTAACCGAAGACAAGACGTCAGGAATTCACACGACATTCAATCTCCTCTTCGTTTATAGTAAGAGAAGGACTTTCCGTAAATTGTGATAACTTCTGCCTTGATGCAATAAGCATGAACTCAGTTTTTGTCATATTTAGGGTAAGCTTGTTAGCACTCAGCCATTCGTACACATTACTCAGGTCGTAATTAAGGCAATAATTTATATGATCAAAGTCAGTACTGGCAAGCGTCAGGCTGGTATCATCAGCGTACATTCTGGGTTCCGAATATGTCAGACAATGTGGTAAGTCATTAATATATATTAAAAACAGAAGGGGTCCCAAAATTGTTCCCTGGGGAACACCACATCTTAGATATTTCGGAGTTAACTTACAAGAATTTACATGGCAAATCTGTGTTCGATTATCTAAATAAGAAGCAAACCATTGATGACTAGTCCAACAAATCCCATAGTATTGCAATTTTCGTAGCAAAATATCGTGATCTACTGTATCAAATGCCTTTTTGAGGTCTAAAAACACTACGGCATTAACAAGACCACGGTCTATATCAGATCATTTGTTCCCACGTGGAGGATTATTGCCTTCGGTTTTTTAGCCAAGCTTGGTTGTAGATAATGCTCCATGTCTGCGGTTGTAGCACCAGGGAAACTTCTCACAGTTACGCGCTGTTTAGCTGCCCGACTTAATAAGTCCCTGCGTAATCCTTTGACAATCGAATCTCCAACAATGATTGTGCCTTCATTAGGTCTTTGCTCCCCTTGGCCGTTCTCACTAGTATCATTGTTTTCCATTTGTAGTTGCTGGTTCTGGGAACTGGCTTTGCCTTTCTTTTTCTTCTTCCCTCGTTTAGGATTATTAGACTTGTTTGACGTAACTGTTTGCCAGTCATCAGAAGCAGGTTGTGGGTCGTGTGAACTTACCGAAAGATCTGAAGAAAGAATTTTAATTGATTCCATCAAACTTGCTTTTTCTTGTTGAAGTTCTTGGATCTTAAAAATAGTGGAGAGAGGATGTTATGCGTTGTTACGATATATTTTCCGCATGCCAAGCTTGGTGGATGGTTGTTGTTGTCGAGTATATTAACCTACTCCTCCCCTTCCCATCTCCCCACGTGTATTTTCTTTCTCTAAGTTTTTTTTTCTTTTTTTTTTTTTACTCTTTAACGGTTAATTTAACAACATTGATAAAATAATCTCTGACTTACAGAATTCTAGGATAGAATTCAAGAGAATGTAAACTGATAAAACAAAAATACTTCTTAGGTTATATTGTTATATGTTCTACTTGTCACAAGGTTTGGGTTTATTGCTGCGAACGGTTACTAACTATGCAAAATATCACGAAGGCCTTGAGAAAACTCGCACTAAATGTTACATTTTTTAACCTAAAGACCAAAAAAATCGAGAAACTGAACGAGATAACGGTTTTAACTCGGTGGCCTTGTGGCACCGTTTGAGGATGCCGTGACCGCGCATTTACGAAAAACTTGATGTCCCGTATGGGTACCTAGGTGACGGCTGCACGTCGGCCAGCCGCAACACTGTTATTACAGCTTTCGATTATGTTTGTTTTGCTATCAAGAAGTGTTTGGTTTCGATAGGAAGCAAGAAGATCTGGAACAGCTAGCCACAATCACATAAAAATTATGCGATTTTCAAACTGAAGTGGTCGTTTTAATTCATTATTGCTACGTCTTAATTGACGTTCGGTACAGCACCTTCGGTCAGAAGTAATATATAGGGTCTCAGGGACACAATAACCTAGTTACTAACCTTCTTAAGTTATTGTGACGAGATATCACGCTGAAAATACATGTACGTGTATGATCTCAACCGCGCAGAACGAAGTTCGTCGTTTAATACTAAGTCATACATCCCATTCATGAAAATTAAAAAAAAAAACAAAAAAACAAAAAAACCAATGTACAAAAGAAAGAGGAGTTTAGTTCGAGCAATTAGTTTACAGACGGCAGCTATCGCCGAACTTGACTCATGAAATACTCCTTAGAGTCTAAATCTACATCACCTGCATTATTACGAAAGGTAAAATCAGTAATAAAGTTTTTTCTCGTTGCAATTTTTTTGTTTTTATTGCGCAAAAGATCTTTCCGTATCTGACGCAAAAATCCTTAAGACTCATTGGTGCGTTTATGAAGGAAAAGTAAATTTTACTTACGTCAACGAGAAACGATCAAGTGTTTTGATGTGCACTACGCTTGGCCTCCTACAAAGGGGTTTGAAGTACATCGACACATCTGAAGCAGAAGAGATGCCAGTGAGTCGCGAATCAAAACAAACTGACAGCCGCTAACGGAATCTCATGTTGAATGATGCGATGAAAGGGCTTCAATCCGGTAAAAATGGTCACAGCTCTTTGTTCGCTGAGTAAGTGCAAGCCTTATTACATCGATCGGTTATGCTACGTGAATGTAAAATTAGTAGTAAATGCTATGATGGAGAAATTGAGGTAGCGGGACAGCCAGCGGCCCATGCCAAAATTAAACCTGAAAGGGATATGTCAGTTGGAGCTTATTCAGCTTCTTGATAACAAAACACGTTTAAATTGAGAACAAATGAATAAATAAGTAAGGTATAAAGTAAAAAAATTATGCAGGTGACGTGTGTAAGTGTGTTTTAATTTCATTTTAGCCTCAATACGGTGCAAATGATTTGAAAGAATTTGGCATGATGACTTTTATAAAAATAATGATGCAGTTTTAAAAATGAAGTCGTCATTGTTACCCATAATTGGTGCTCTGTCCCGACGGTCAGCAAAACAGTTTATAGCACCGATATTTGGCTTCGAAGAAACACAAAAGCCCAGTCACTATCCTCTGAAGTTACCTTCACAGGATGTCACCGGGGAAATACAAAAAAATCTACTGAGCGCCAAACAAAATTCGTTGTTCGATGAATAAAATACGAAAGAAATTTCACCAGACGAAAAGAAAAGTATTTTGCTAAACGAAAAGGAAGTTTTGTTCGAGCTCATTTAGAGAGCCATGTTTCAAAGAAAACATTGAGTGTGATATACAAAAGAAAGTTTTGCACGAGGAATTTTCACAATGAATACCGTCAGCTGTAGATATAGACATTGTTTGTCGATTAGTTTTCTTTTTGATTAATAGCCTTTATTTTTTGTTACTTTTCTTGCTTTGTAAAATGGGTTTTTCCAAAGCGGACATCAAGACCTCGTAGAAATAAACGAATTCCACTCTACTTAGAAAAAGAAAAAATGTACATTACAATGTTTATATTTTGCATCGATCTCATGGCTGCAGCAGTATGCCATCATTCGTCGAATGCGATAATTTAATTTTTCAATGAATTAATGTATGGCTTTAAAATTTTAATTGATAAACTTTGGATTCAGTTCAGCTTAAAAACGTTTAATTAACCTTTTAATCCATTGAAAATGTTTTGGGGCCAAACTGGCTCTGATGCACTCCAATTCTTACTACTATTCAACTGAACCACCTTGAAGCCGGACATTTTTTTTCAGGCTTCTCTTATCGCAATTTCTTTGTACGGGCTAGACATCAGAGGATCCTTTCAACATTTTGAGCCTCTAAGAATTACAAGACTATTAGCAGTAAAGTTTATTTCTTTTTCTCCAACGAGGCAAAAATAATAAATAACTTTTGAATTAGCGCTTAGGTAAACAATGAATAACATCGCAGCTTATTATACAGCCCGCAGCGCCCTTAGACGATACCAAGCGAATCCTGTGTTCTAATTGGCTACCCGAGCAGGAGAGATGAGCCTGTCTTGCCAGACTTGTAAGAGTCCATCCGCTCACTTTAATTAATTTATCAGTAATGGTTTAACTTGAAATCGAGAAACCTTTTTTCTATTTGTTTCAAATGATATTATTGCCACAAAAGGTCAATGCACATGTTTAATTTATTTCTCTTCAGCAGTCGTTGTCACTCTAATGATGCAATGGGAAGGAACAGGTGAGACAGCGCCAATTTGAACATTTACGTACCTGAGCCAGAACTTAGAAAAGGGGAAATTCCGACTGATCTATAAGAATTATTAGTTATTGACTGCCAATTGAAAATACATCAATCAGCTTGTGATTTTAAACGCGAGTTGAGACAAAACATCAAAGTAAATTATCATAACACTAACACTATTTTTATCATCAATATAATATAAATATTTTTGTGTATTTATTTATTTATTTTGTCGTAGAATGCCAGGACACATGCTTCAATAATTCCTGGTACATATTTTTGAAATGGGGAAGAAGTTAGCAGAATAGTAGGAAAGTCTGCAAACATCAGGGAGGTGACTTTGTTTCTATCGAAATCGAAGAAGAATGGCAGTTTATCAATCATGAAATTAAAAAACGTTTTTTTTGGAATACTGGTGCGTGGCACATTGGTTTAGAGAAGAAAGGCAGGGCTTGGACTTGGAAAAGTGGAAAACAACTAGATACTTTGAAAAGGCGAGACTTTGTTGCAACAGTTAGCGAAAGTCATGCGGAAATAACTAAGAATGGAAGCCTTGACGTTATCGCTAGGGGAGATAGCAGGGCCTTCATTTGTGAAATGGTGCAAGGTAAAAAAACTTCCAACCGATAAAATACATCGCATGCTGGCACGTACGTTCCCACAACCGATTTGATGAAAATTTCTCTTGTAGATTAATTTTCCAAAAATTAAGATACTGCTTGCACAATATGCACAACTTCACGCAACTTTTACGCAGACGATAACTAATTTTATGATGAACCCGCAATTAAAAATTATGATACTTACATTGTCTCTGAATTAATTGTTTTGAACCCTTTTCAGAAAGGTAACGAGGGTAGTGCAGGCTTTTAGTCAACCTTGACCCTAACAATGTTAAAACAAACAAACAAATAAACAAACCAAACAAAACAAAAAACCTGATTTAGAGTGAATAATTCAAAACAGTAGATCAGATATCGCGGACGCAGAAACGAAGAAGAATGTATTAGACCCCGTCCAAACTGATGCATTTGAAAACGCTCCGCTTTCGTCTTATAAAAAACGCATCGTTTTCTTTGGGTCCACGCTAGCAGGTTTATAGCGTTTTTGACGTACTTAGCTGTCAATCTCTGCATGCTTGATCGCACACAATATCAAGCTCCACATATCCATATGTCCGTGCGCCACATTTGTTTTGAATTTAAGACAGGATGCGTGAAAAAGAGGTGGCATGACACTATGACGTCTTTGTTTTCAAAGGCTCTGTTTTTGTCTGTCGTTTCCACTTTTGATAGAGTTTCGGATCCATTCTTTCATTTGATAACGCCTCCGTTTTTGAGTATTTTATGGCAAACGGAAGGCCAAAACGCATTGAAAAGCATCCGTTTTCAAACGAGTACACAGATAAACAAACGCTAAAGAATTTACAATAACAATGATAATGCCAATTATAATACCAGTGAGAAATTAATATTGATGATCATAACGCCAATATTGTATCCTTGATTGTCCTTGTGATTTTCCTTTTTCTACCATCATCGTGGTCATTTTTATTTTTATCATCATTGTTTTTATTTCATAGAATGCCCAAATATTTCTTTTCGAAACTCTTGGTATATATTTACGAATAAAGGAGCAATTTGACAGCGGACAGAGACATCTCCCAAAGTCAAGGAGGAGACCTAGTTTCCATTGAAACCGAAGAAGAAGGGAACTTCGTCCTTAGCGAGATTCAAAATCGCAGCATTGAGTCCTGCTGTTCTCCACGTGATTGGGCTCGTCAAAATTATCATCATTGTGATGCATGGTACATTGGCTTAGAAAAAAAAGGCCAAAATTGGACTTGGGTGAATGGAAAACTGGTGAACATGTCTAAATGGGCAGGAGAGCCAAAGTGTAAGGGAACTGTGGCTCATATATGCAAGCCGTTTATTAATGGCGACCAGGGCCTATTTTGTGGCACCAATGGCTCTGAGAAATTGGCTTACATTTGCGAAATTCCCAAAGGAAAAACAAAAGTAGTCTTTATTTTTAAAATTGAACTAGGTAAAAGGCACGCAAAAAGCGCTCATTAACCGTAATGCGAATGTCACCTATGTGTTCACGTTTGGTACACTTAAAACTGCTCTCATAGCGGAACTTATGGAGTTTCTGACAATCAGGATAAAATTGTAAGACGCAGGAAGACAATTTTAGAGATAAGAAAACAATTGAACTAATTTATTTTAATGAATATAAATTGAAATTAAAATGTAGTATAAATAAACCGTATGGGAAAAAAAGTTGTTTCTGAGAACATTTCTTCAGTAATGTTTTTTTTTTTGTTTTTGGCGTTATTTGTATCGATGTCAGCTGCACCATCATTGTCCTTAATCACAACTGCAGACAAATCTTTACAATCCGAATCTGTGAGGCCACAACCCACTCAATCGCCACCATTGTATGTGGTCATCATTGTTGCCATTGCATTCGCCGTCACGATCAGCGTCCTTGTCTATGTCGCAGTCGGTGATACTGCAGCTGCTGTCTCCATCACCGTCTCATCCACCATTTCATTTGCTGTCTCAGTCTCAGTTTCCGTCGTTGTTGCAGTCACCTTCCCAACTGCCTTCCCAATCGCCTTCTCAGTCATCGCCACAGTTGCCTTCACAGTCAGCGTTACATTCGCCTTGCTCAGTTGCACTCGCTATCTCTTTGGCTATCGACTTCCCAGACGCCCTTTCAGTCACTGTCGCAGTCAGCATTGCACTAGACGTTTCAATTTAACTGCAGAAGTGTCTTCACCATCCGAATCCATAAAGTTACGTCCCACTCCATTGCCACCTCTGTGGTAATTATCCTCGACATTGTTTTCGCTGTCACAATCACCGCCACTGTCGATGTCTCAATCACCACGGTCAAAGTCTCAGTTGCCTTCGTTGCAGTCAACTTTTCGCTTGACAACAACAAAAGGAACAAGCAAAGATGCAAAACAAAATAAAAAAAGTAGGAACTGATAAAAAAAGAAAGCGCGAGCAAAAGTAGAACGGAAGCTCCTTTAATTAATACCATATTACTTTTTTCAAATTCTGTTCTCCGAATGAAAAAAAAAAAAAGCACTTTCAATAAGCAATTAACCAACTATTGACTATGATACTCATATTTGCAATCAACTAATGGATAATTTTGATTCATTTTTTTGTCTATTTGCAGGCTATGTCACCGATCACAAAAACCGATGAGAAGATTCTGACGACTCTTACCTACGTTGGACTGACCCTGTCCATAATCGGAATAATTCTTACAATAATTTCCTATGCTCTTTTCACGTAGGGGAATTTGTTTTATAGCATTCCTAACATATTACTCCGAATCCTTCCAAAAATAGACTATTTGATATCCTTTTTTTCTAAAAAAATGTATCAGCGGTTGCTTTTTTTGCATTTCTTTTATCTACAGCGAAGTGCGTCAACCTCTCTCCCAAGTAAGGCTGAGTCTCGCTGCTTCTCCGGGAACTGGTCAGATTATTTTTCTGGCTGGTATTAATGCTAAAGGAGACGAGGTAAGCACTTCGTTTTAAGACCAACTAAAATCGCCGCTGCATTATCCATTCCCTGATTGCCTCAGCATGAAGAAAACAATGCGGTTGCACAACGCGAGAGAGTTTTTTAAAATTATTATTTCATTTCTTTTTTTATTTGTATTATCGTTATGGATGTATATTATCTTGATGGTTGATCTTATTTCTTTCTGCATTTTGTCGTTAAAAGTAAGTTAGTTCCTAAAAACCCAAGTACTTCTCGATCCATAGGGTGTATGTGTTGCAGCAGCTGCCTTGATGCTTTACTTCCTTATGGCAGCTTTCTGTTGGATGCTGATCGAGGGAATTTTTCTCTACTTCTTCGTTGTGAAGGTGTACAATATCAATGGAAGAATGGTTATCTATCACTTTTTTTCCTGGAGTGAGTTTTTCGACGTTCCTTTCCACTATCAAACGCTATATGGCGCCATAAAGAGTTTATCTAGATTATATTCTAATATGTATTTTTTACTTCAAAGTTTAATTGTATGATATCTTTTATTATGAAGGTTTCCCTGCATTTATGGTCAGCATCTCCTTGATAATTGCCTCAGCAAAAGACGGTATTCATAGCTTTTTCAGCGAGAAATAGAAAGCATTGAACTTCTGAAAATCTTTATTTCAACTACTTTAAGTGATTATTCATGACATTGCTTAGAATACGTCGCTAGCTCAACGAAGCCGAGCATAGAATGAAGCTTTTATGATTAATGCTCAAATTTGTTACTTTCAAGCTGTTGATTGTCCCAAGCTAACCATCTGATTTGGATTTTTGCTTTCGTTGTTTTGGTGCTACTTGGAAAGAGGTATGATAACGACTTTTTTCGTCTGTGGAACAGAACCAAAGACAAAGTAGTAAAATTTTTAATGCGAGTAAACAGCTACATTCTGTACATTGTACCACGATACGAACATTATCCACGCTTGAAATATCAGAATCAGAATTTATATTCTTGGACGCAAAAGTGCACGGAAGCAGGATGTTTATCAGGGAATCGACAGTTGACTTCTGACGCATCACAGAGAGACGAATATCTTTCAATACTTAAATGTTTGTTCGTATCATACCTCAGGTGCAAAGAAAGGATTCGTTGAAAGAGAAGTGTGACGTCTCTGTATGATTAATAATAGACAATTAAAGACACTTTTTGAGGTTTAAAAGAGCCGGTTCTTGATCACGAATGCAAAGGCTCAGGCGAATAATACATAAAATGCTGAAGATGGTCTTAACCCCTGCAATGCATCCTGGTTGAGCTTGGCCCTTTAACATTGCTCATTTCATCATGTGTTCTCTTAATTCCGGATCCTCGCCATCTGGATTGATTTACCCTACAAGGGAATAGAAACGGAAGTTTAGCATTTTATGTGCATGGTGGGTTCACTCATTTGGTTTTAAAATATGTATTCTTAAACGCTCTTTTTGCACTAGACTTCTAAAAATCCTTGAGCCAAAAAAAATATTAGGAAATCATCATAAAATGGATCCTAGAATGGGCACGTAAAATAATGCTGTATTGCAAATCCGATAGGTAATATTTTGGATATTGATATAGGTACAGGAATTGTAACTTTGATCTGGAGTGAGGCCAATAAAAGCAAATATCGGTTTGATAAACTATTGCACTAATAGCGGAACTGGTTGTTCGACCGTCTCGCGCGCGTCTTACGTATCTCATCTTTACTTTTATCAGTTGATTGCCGCAAAAGTTGATAGACAACAATATGATATGAATAGGAAAGCGATCCTCGCAGTAATATTACCAAAATTACCGAGAGTCAGTAAAGAATGTTCAACTAAACTGCAAGCTGCTATTTTGCTGGACATCCACTTAGTTTAAGGTGGAAACAAAATCCTTAGCCTACCATGAAGAAAACTGATGTTAAACACGTGACCTTAATATTATAACACAGTTTGTTTCCTTTTGCGGAAATGACTTAAATTATGCTCTCACAATACATAATGAAATTAAGCACATGATCTTAATTTAATAACAGTTTGTTTCCTTTTGTGGAAATGCTCTCTTGATACCGCTTGTTACGAGTGTCGATGTAGAGCAGGGTTGTTCCTAGACAAAACTCAGGATCGTCGGTAACAACAACAAATTGTTTTATTTCCACGTAGTTGACTTCTTGTTTTTATAGCCCTAAGCTTCTTCACAAATCTCTCTCTCTGTTCGATGGAACTGTCGCTCTTATATACATAAAGTATAAGGATCTAGAAACTTCTCTAAAGAACTAAATTTAGTAGATTGACAGGGTTTCTAAATTTGAATAATTACGTAAGAAATAGAACGTTCCAGAATGTTCTTTTCACCAGAAGATCACGTCTAGATGACTTCGGGTTCTAGAATGTTCTATTAGAATGTTCTGGGACTTTACTTAGACAATTTTTCGTAACACCGCTCGTAAAAGGTTAATTCATATTAATATTAGTTTATTAAACATTATTTTAGCAGTACAGGTCTGATTTTTTTTAGGACTTATTTTCACTACTGCTCAAGAAGTGTCCATTACTGCGAAGATCGCTTTCATATCCACGTCTTTGACCGCTGTTCACATATATGATTTTTATATATTCACAGTCATTTAATAGTTTGACAATAATATATGACAGCAATGATATGGTAAAGCCAAACATGTTCATCAACGAAGGCTTCCATCGCGGTAACAATGAATCTTTGCGAACAAAAAAGGTAATGTTTTTAAAATAAAACAAACATGAGAGTTTCGGTTTTTGTTCCTTTTTTTTTTTAATTATTGTACTAGATGTTTTTCTTCATCCAATTCTTATGTCCAAGCAATTTATTTTCGGTTTATAAAATAAGGAAAACTTACAACCTCTTTTTTTAAATCAGTCTAGGAATTATATTTGATATAGATTCAAAATATGACCTTGCAATTATTGTTCCTAATTGTCTTATTATACTGCATAAATTGCTGATTATAATTTTAACTTTCTAAACTGTGCCCCTAAAATCCCTGGTTTATTTGAAAAAAAAAAAAACCAAAAAAGTAAAAAAAGCTAAAAACAAAACACAAAAAAATCAGTTTAAAGGAGATTTACTTGCTAAACTCAAAAGACAAAAGCGGTTTATTAAAGACAAATCCTTTTTTTCAATCTCTTCTTTAATTTTTGTCAGTTCCTTACCTAATGACATGATGTCAATTGACATTGAAGTTTCGTGAATATTAATTTAATACAGTTCCTACATTTTCCGCCTTCGGCGACATATTCCGTCTTTTTCCACGCGTTCAAAATAGCATTTGAATTTTGTCATATAAATGTTAAAGAGGCTCAAAAAAAGGAAAACAAAAACAAAAAAGTAGCGATTTCGGGGAATCATCAAAAGCAAAGAAACCAGCGACCTCGCCGATATATAAACAAATAACCATTGAAGCGGAAAGGGATTTAACAATTATGAAAACTGATGTCAGAAAATCGATGGGAGCCATTATGTTTCTCGTCACACTAGGTAAGTGCTAAGCGTGATTATACGTTGTAAGTGTTATAAATTCTATCACTTCATGCCTAGAGTGAATGCTACGACCTGGGTTTGAGCAAAATTTTCTTTTTTCGCGACAGTTTCGAGCTTGCTAAGCTGCGTTGATGCGAGCGAAACATTAACTGTTTTCGTCTTTCTTTAAATCATTTTGAGCCAAAGTTAGGATGTAGGCATTGAGTATGAAATAACGCATTTTTTCTTCTTTCCGTTATTTTTCACGAAATATTTCGTAAATTTCTCTGTATGTCTGAGACCAACGACCTATTTCACTTCGAGGAGCAAACTAAACGACCACCTGGTTTCGAAAGTGCTCAGTTTTTGAGCAATCTAGTCACACTATAACTCAGAGAGGAAAAAAACAAACGCAGAAGATAATTTTTACAGATATTTCAATTTTTAGTGGAAAAATGTTGATCGGGATATTTTCTTTTCGTTTCTGAGTTGAAAAAAAAAAAGACGTCATGGCTTAGAGGCTATTTCGATGGATAATTTAAAATTCACTTTTAAAAAGTAAACATAGGACTCCTGCATCGAAAGCTTTACGGTTAATTAAATATTTCTTCCATTTTGCCAGAAAAGATTTGTTTTCAATTTTGCGTCCACCTGGGAAAAGCAAGCCGTATTTTCAACTGATAACTTGATTTAACACTATTCCACAAGTTCTGAATAATTCTATATTTGAAAAACTTTCCACAGGAAAAAAAAATTATAATATCGATTTTGTTTTTCTTTATATAAGGGCTGCTAAAGGAGTTTTAATAGGAAAGGAGTGTAGACCACAGGGGTACTTCTTCTCCCCACGAGGTTCTTGCATTCAGTTAACTGCGGCTAAACTTTGCAGCTACTGTACTAGCCAAGACTTAAAAAAAAAAAAAACAATAACGACAACAGCAACAACAAAACAAAAGCAACAATTTTCTGTCTCCAAAGACTAAAGAAAGAGGAAAGTCAATTTTATAACATTAATTTTGCGCAAATTCATTTGGAAAATCTCCAGCTCATTATTACCTTTTAATGCCGCAGTTTTGATGGCGAGTTGATCATGATTATTTAGTTAAGGAATCGCTTTCTAACAGCTGACGAAATTGACCCGCCATTCTTCTACCAGGAGGATATTTCCATATGCAGCAAAACGGAGTTTTAAAATTCGGCCGAATGTTATTTATTTACGGTTAAACCATTTGCTGCTCACGTTGAGGAATCTTTGCTAAAGGAAAAAGTAACCCGAAGAAAATAATTATTTTTGGTACCGAAGGATTCCAAACAAGTAATCAGCAAGTCTAACATTGGATCAAAATACGTTGGAAATGATTTTTTTAATCAGTTTTTATCTGTTAACTTTATCTCACTTTTTTATTGCAGTAATCGTCATAAGAGCTACGAATGTAAAAAGCATGACATGTGACTACGAAGAAAAAAGCAGATGCACCCAAAATTGTGTTCAAAAAGATGAATGCAGTAGAGTATGCCACAAAAGCACATGCTCCCAGAGCTGCAACTCTGCAAAGTTTTGTAATTTGACATGCAGTGGACAGACATGTCAACAGAATTGCAATTCTGGCGCTTGTAATCTAATTTGCAGTGGGCGAAGTTGTACACAGTCTTGCAATGCTCAGAGTTCATGCCGTCTTACGTGCATTGGAACAAGCTGCAGGCAAATATGCAACGCAAAAGAGTGCCAAATTAAATGTTTGAGTAAAGGGGGATGCAATACCAGTTGTAGTTCTAGTTGTATCCTACATCAGCCTACTACACAGGCGGCGAAAACCGAGGCCTCTTCAACTGATGGATCTACCAAAAAAGCTGTAGCAACTGATGTCACTACTCCTCAAGGAGAATTTATCCAAGGTTCTACAACTTCTCATATTCTAGTTAAGACCACAGAGAGTAAGTAACGGAGCTCACCTATTTCTGCATGCCTACTGATATTCTATGGCTGCTGTCTAGGGGTAGCCTCTAAATGAATTTAAACTATTTGCTTCTGTTGGCATTTTATAAACAGGTTTTAATAAGTCATCAGATTCATCCACGGCAGTTACACCAGAGGCACCAAAGATCAGCTCTAGGACAGAAAAATTGGTATGCACTTCATTATTAAATTATTTATTAATTGTTTGCGTCTTTTAATTTTTTTTACTTTTGTTTATGCCTTTTTTAATTTCATTTTTGTCGTTTCTGACATTTATTGGTTTAAATCTATACATAAATCTTATTTGGAAGCTGTAGGATTAAAAAGGTTTCATCTGCAGAAAACTCTATTTTCCTTTTGGGTCTAAAAGATTTAGCCCTGTAGATAAATATCGAAATTCGACGGCGCGTATGATAAATAAACTAATAGTAATATAAATTAACCTTTTACGAGCTGTATCAAGAGAGCATTTCCACAAAAGGAAACAAACTGTTATTAAATTAAGATCATGGGCTTAACTTCAGTATGTATTGTGAGAGCATAATTTCAGTCATTTCCGCAAAAGGAAACAGAGGTGTTATTAGATTAAGATCACGTGCTTAACATCAGTTTTCTTCATGGTAGGCTAAGGATTTTGTTTCTACCTTAAACAAAGTAGATGTCCAGCAAAATAGCAGCTTGAAGGTTAGTTGAACATTCTTCACTGACTCTCTCAGTAGTTTTGGAAGACAAATAAAAATAAGAGTGACCGTTTCAACACCTATTCATCTATCTGTGAATCCGCCACCGATTCTTTCCTTAATTTATTCATTCCCTTGCTTCCATTCTCACTGTTAGGAGGCAGTCAATTTGTTTCAAGACACTATCGAAGAGTACAGGAGAATTCACAACCTTGAAACGCAAGTGAATTTAAAAAAAAGGGAGGAGCGTGTGAAATCGATATCTGAAACTGCAAAGGCTTTTGAGGATTTTGTTCTCAAGTATGCGCAACATCATCTCAGTGAATCAATGCCACAAATCTACAGGGTTTACGAATCACTAGGTATGTTAACCTTAGATGTATCTTTGTTTGTCTAATCTAGGTAACATTTCATGAACACAATCTAATTTTTTTATTGTTTTGTGAATAGTTCTGCTTCACCAGAGAGCTTCACACGGAAATAATCAAGATTTCTACCTCGTGGAACCACAAAAAGTCGAATATATTAGAATACCTTCAAGAATCGTTGGAAGAAACGGTTGGTCTCAATTTTGTTTCCCAGTCTCTAATTCCATGGCATTTGTATGGCAACTGCTTTGTTTCCAAAACACAAGCCACAGTTGCTGCACTAATGTTTCATCTCCACCTTTCCCTTTATTTGTAAAAACCGTCAACGTTTACATCAATAACAAGGCACGCTTACCGAAAAAAAGGATCTTTTTTTTTCGATCGTACTTTCATTAGAAACATATATAACAGATAGTTATGGATTTGCGGTCACTTTTGTCTACTTAATAATCGTTAACTTTTGTTTCACTGGAATTGGTAAGTTTAAAAAATTAAAGATAAATACTAATCCGAGTTTTTCCTTTTTCTTCTAACTAAGGTTCATTGCTAGTGGGTATCATATACACAGATCTACATTCGCTCTTCAAACCAACTCGAATCGACAACAATACAAGGTACGATAATTGAACCATTTGATGCAAATATGAACTCCAAATGAGTCATTTCAAAGTAAATTTACCCTCACAATTACTTCGCACTTAGGAGCCTTAACTCAAAACTAATAGCAGCGACGATGGATCCAATGCCGAAACAATTGGAACAGAATGTCATCATGAGATTCAGAAATATCAAGGTTTTTTTTTTAACTGTATTTTATTGTTATTTTTCAATCAATAATGGTTTTATATACGCGTATAAAACATTATCTTTTCACTTCCATATGCTATCTTTTTCAGGCTACTGATACTAAAAGGCAGTGTGTGTTTTGGAATGAATTTAATGAAGAGAGGTAACAGTCCAAATGAAGTTTTAACTCCTTCCTTTATAAACTTAAAATTTATCAAACCTGCTGAAAGTAAATTTTTAACCCTAACTCTCATTGGCTGACCATCCTAGAGCGGAACAGAACAGGTTCGTTCTATCGAATATTTAGCTCTTCTTCTGTTAATCAGCATTGATCATTCACCATACCTTTTTCAGTCCAGACGGCTGGTCTGGGGAGGGCTGCCATGTGGTAACGTCAGAGAGCGATTCAGAAGAAACAGAGTGTAGTTGTAATCATTTGACTCACTTCGCGGTTTTACTCGAGTACGATGGTACTCAAACGGTAATGATAATGTGAAAACATTTTTTGTTTGTTTGTTTGTTGCTATGTTTTCGATCTCATAATTTCATAATTCAATTAACGAAACACTCGGCTACATCTGTAACAAAGGCAAAGAACACCAGTAATGACGCATACTTTCAAAATGTTTGGACATCTTTTCAAGTCATAACACTAAGAGAATGATGTTTATCTGATAACTACTTTGAAACAAGCTCTGCTTTGCAAAATTAAGAACTAAACGAACTTAATCTTTCAGTGATCGAGTTCAAAGAGAGAGCTTCTCTCGTGTGTACTACGTTCATGCAACTTTTAAATAGTACTTTTTTCTTTTCTTTCATTATAATTTTTTTATTTGTTATTGCTGTTTTTTGGTTTGTTTTTTCGTATTCTATTCACATGCAAAGCAGATAACAGGAACACATCAAAAAACATTGAACATCCTTACGTACATGGGCTTAGCTCTCTCCCTCATTGGAATAACAATTACTGTGTTCTCCTACATTTTCCTAAGGTAAGTCAAAATACAGACAAGTGTAACACCACTTAAATTAGGGGCTGTTTTTCAATGTTTCCTAATAATTATTTAGGTGATAACTTATTCCGTCGTTGAGCGCTTTTTCTTGTTACAGTGATATGCACCAACCTCTCTCTCAAATAAGAGTGAGTCTGACTGGATCTCTTGGAGCTGGGCAAGTCATTTTTCTTGCTGGAATTAACAAATCAACAATCACGGTTTGTGCTCTTTTATACTTAACTAACCAAGCATTTACTTACCCATTATAATTTTTTGGTAAAAAAAAATGATCTTTTGCTTTACGATGCTAAATATGAGAACATTGATGAAAAGAATTCGTAAGATCTGTTTGCTAAAGACGACAATGCGCTATTTATGTGGTGCAAGACTTCTTTTTTTAGAAATAATATGGCTGATGGACTCATGTCTGATCTCCTCTTTCGTTCACTTCTTTACATTCTATCATTGTTTTCATCATGATCATCATCCAGTTGTTGTTTGGCCACAATTCTAGATATTCTGCTACTTATACAATGGACGGCCTTGTCAAATTTAGCGGGCTGAAACCACGAATGCTTCAAAATCGGCACAACTGTGTAACCACGCAGCAATTTCATAATGCAACCATTTTCATATTTGCTAGTCCTGATGTGATCTATTACATGAGATCAAGAAATTACCCATCCTGGTTCCCTGACCTGCAGTTCTATAACAAAATATAGCGAAGCACTTTCACGACTCTCCTAACGGGTGGCAAGCATTCGGCGGGCACTCACTTTCAATCATGATTTTCTCATAATCAGGACTTCCTGAATTACTCGATATAGTGACAAACACGGATGTTTATTGCCATTGCAGCACAAAGCTCTTAACTGCGTTTTTGTATCGGCAATTCTTTAGGCTACCTGTGTCGCTGTGGCGGCTCTGATGCAATACTTTTTTACGGCCGCTTTTTGTTGGATGATGGTGGAGGGAATTTACCTTTACTTGTTTATTGTGAAAGTTTACAACATTAAAAACCGGATGGCTATCTATCATGCTTTTTCATGGGGTAAGTTTCAGTAGCAATACTCACATCTCTGTGTTCAGTGTCTGCAGTTGTATCTTGTCACAACTCCGAGTTACTTATTGTTTTTCTCTTGCAGTTTTTCCTGCAGTAATGGTCATTTTTTCTTTGAGTATCGCTGCAGGAAAAGACGGAATCAAGAGCTTTGTCGACGATGAACAGTTAATGAGAAATCTTTATAGATATAAAAAACCCTGAAATTCCTTTGCCATTTTCTCTCCAATTGTGGTTTTTTATAAGACATTTTCATTTTTTTGAATAGCTGCTGGATGTCTTCTGCAAACAATCTTATTTGGATTTTTGTTGCGTTTGTGATAATAGTTGAAGTGGTAAGTAAAACCATATTTGATAAGGAGTGTTCTCTACTACAATCAATGGACTACAATTTATCATCCTTGTTTTTCTACTGAGCACTATTTACTATGGGCTGTCATTCTGCAAGTTTGTGTCCTAGTGTTTGCTTGTGTTCCTCTTTCTACCTATCTGTATCCCACCAATTCGTTCGTTGTCAGTCATTGAGATGTTTTCATTTTAAGCTGAACATACTGATTCTTGTGCGAGTCATCAGAGAAATGACCAAAATGCAGCAAAAAAGGGGAACTATTCAACACGTACGGTGAGCAACGTTGTTAACTAAGAATAATGTATGTAGATAGGAATTAGAGAGATGGTAAGTTTTGAGCTCGGTAAAGAAATAAAGAAAGATGTTTTTCGTTCTGTCACTCCACGGTAAGCGAGGTCTATCAAAATCAAATTTCTATTAAAACATCTTTCTTTAAGCATAATGTAGTATGCGATTTTGAATTCACTTATTACACCAGGTAATGTCTACTCTCGAGCATAGTGGCTCACACGGCCGAGATTTTAAAGGGATTATGTAGTATTAAGTAAATTGCTACTTTCCTTGAGTCAACTTTCCATCTCAAGTAAGCTCTTAGCGTTTTCTCAGTTTTCTCTGACAGTTTGTCAATACCCAGTTATGCTCTTGGTTGGAGACAGCCACTTTGGAAGTTAACAAAACAAATCACACAGCTAAGGCATAATGTGAAGAAACTACGTATCTAGCTAAACACAGCGACCGGTTAATAAAATTGATCTAGTTAAACAAGCTTTCTTATAGGCTCATTTCATATTTCCTTCCTACTTTCAGACTTGGGATAAGGACATGTGTTATTTTGCTTCCTCTTCTGGGATTCACTTGGTTGTTTGGCCTTTTGTCACCAGTGCATAGAGCATTCACCTACATTTTTATCATCCTTAACTCTACTCAGGTTTGAAACCATATTGTAGCTATGTTTGTTTATGTTACATTTTTATTGGCACAATTCAGACCAAGAAGATCTCGTGTATTGCTCATACTTGTTTCTCTGACATGATTAACGAATATCGTTATGTGTATTAAACGCTCATATGGTAGAGATAATCATCCATTTGTTATTATTTTTGTTTGTTTGTTTTTTTCTGTTTTGTAATGTTCTGTTGTTGTTGTTATTTTTTTTTATTGTTTTTTTTTTCCCTAATGTCTCCTTGGCATTTAGCCATCACCCACCCCTGGCAAGAGAGAGAAAGTGTTAGGGACAACGGCTAGGGTTGGGCTTGAGCAAAACTTTCGCTATTTACTGAAAATTGTGCTTGTTAGTTTCTCAACCTTTTGATCCCTTGCGGGTAATAATAAATGTTTTTTAAGCATATCCCGAAGAGCACGATCACATAAAAAATTTCAGCTTTTGATCGGTGCGTTATATTCCCAAATGATGACATATAATTTAAGGTTCGTTCTTCTTTGTTAGGGTTTCTTGATTTTTCTTCTTCATTGCGTTAGGAACAGTCAGGTGAGATTTTCCAAGAAATGATGCAATATTTCTCTAATCCACGTCATCAAGATAATTATCTAAACAAGATAGTCTTAGTGTATAATGTATTAAGGTCGTGTATTTGACCGAAAAAAACTAAGGTAGCAAAAAAGATGTATCTGCACTGCGTTGGGAACAGTCAAGTGAGATTTTCCAAGAAAGGATGCAATATTTCCCTATACATGAATCCATGAAATGAAAAACTTAGCTACCAAAAAAAATATCTCTTATGATAGCTGAGTAAGTATATTACTACTGCCTTCTGTATACGAGTATGTCCATATCCCGCTTCGCGTTCGTCCGGATCCGATTTTGTTGATAACTCGTATGATTACAGACCGAATTTAACTGCTCTTGGTTTTGTTATCGTCATTAATCTATCAACTTAATTATCATTATGAATAAAGGGGTAAGTTTCTAGAGAAATTGTGGTGCTACGTCGGTGGGAGAGTGTAGCAAACTCGAAACGTTAGCTTTTTTACCCTTTACAGTGGCTAATTTGCGTTTTCAACTCAGTTTTTAAGACTAAATTACCTGCTAATTATCATTATGATACGATGTATTAATGGTACCTCTCGTAAACTTCATTCTTGAACACTACATGCATGAACAGGGTTATCTGCCAAGGGAATTTATTATAATCAATTATTTGCTTGATTTTTCTATTTTTCTTCACCTGCAGATTCGAGATCGACTGCAACAAAGAATTGGTATGATTTTCCCTGCCACGGAAGACAGAAACCAGCCAAAAGTGATGCCGATGGAGTAAAACAAACAAAAAAACAAAAATTCAAATGCAGCCAACTAGTTTATTCCAGATTCAAAATCAACAAGCGCCAAGCCATAGAGCCTAACGGAATGGCACAGTCTAAGAGATAGAGTTTACAAGTTTGTTAGTCAGCTCGTCGCGGGAATAGTAATTAGCTATTATGATTCTTCACGTAAAACAAGAAACACTAAAAAACGTGCGTCATGCGTCATGCGTGCTGAGTCTATCGTGAGGTGTGTGGCGTATCATATGCGTAAAACGTGAGTCTGGAGCCGTGTGTTTCGCTCTCTGAATAAAGGATTATCACATTGCGTAGATTGGTAAGATAAATGCACCTCACTTCTTGATGCAATTTATTTTCACTTCCTAAGTGAAAAAAGGCACAAAAAAAAAAAAAAAACAGTAATAATAAATAAAGACCTGGCCTGAGAGCTAAAGGCAAGAAACAGAATGAATATCCTGCATGTTTCGGTATTTGTTTTTCTTTTCTTTTTTCACTTTCTCGAGAGTATGGCATCACTCTCTGCTTTACATACCTAAGTGTACTTCCTTTTTTATTCGATCATAATTAGATTAATGCAAAACATTATGGGTTAACGGGGCTCGGTCCAATGGCCAATGAGCAAGAATAATTTTAGCACGGCTGATATGCATCAGGCACCTGTTGTCCGAAGGTCGGATAACACTATCCGCTAAATAAATCTCTTTCCGGTGGATAATGCCATAAGTTTTGCGATCACTTATCCGCTTGATAGCGATTAATCCTTTGGATAGTGTTATCCAACCTTTATACAACCGGGCCCAGGATGATAACAATGCTATCGGGCGAGGGGCAATCGCCCAATGGAGTCTCCATTGGGGTGGCTGATAACACTTAAGTAAGAAGTTTGAATAAGCCATGCACTTATGATTTGACAGTGTAAAAAAACCTGGGTTTTCTTTAATCCAAAATAATTATCATTTGATTTTGCTCTGATTTTTGTGGTAGATTTAAAATTGTGTACAAGGCCAGAAGTAGTTCAAAAGAGCTAAATTCCATTCATCTAAATATTAACAAAAAACTTTAATTCAACTGATAAGGTTTTCTTTGATCTTACTAAATTATTTACAGACTTCTGAAGCTGTAGTTATTGATTTTGCTTATGGATTCTGTTGACGTCTCGAAGCACTTAAATCAACTCCTGTAAATATTACCGCATCTTTATGAATTGCCTTTATTAATTTTTCTCTTCTTATTTAACACCTGATGAGCGAAACCTTCGTCTGCCTCTAGGAGCACCATAAATAGATACTGAGTGGCTGATTTTTAAACTCGTGTATAAAAGTTAAGAATAATAAAAAAAAAAGAAAAAAAAATTCTCTCACCAGACTAAATATAAAACTACGTTGTAATTTGAACCAAATTTCCACCGCTCTAAGATTTTTCTCCGTAGGGTGAAAACTTCAATAAAAATCAACCGATCAAAAGCTACGTGATCCAAGAGTCGCTGCTTTCATACCAAATGAAAGCCAATTTAGATGTAAACATAATACTGAAGATTTACCTCCGGATAAAACCGCATAAATGCAATTAATCTGGAAAATGTGATGAGCATTTAGCATTTATTTATCAGCATTGTGGAAACAAAAAGTAAATAATCGGCTAATTGTGAATAATTGCTGGCTGAATATGTCGAGTTTCCAAGGACGAATACACGGAATCAATACAACAATACAGTCGCGTAATGATTGAGTGAAAACAAATGAAAATCAGCCGCCATAAGGTATTCATCCAACCCGGTAACGACGCGAAATGATTCTTGAACGCCACGATTTTCGAATTCTGTGTAGAAAGAACCAAGACATATAAAACGATTGGACCTTTCCTCTACAACAAAGCTAATAATCTTATATATACTGGTTACAGGGAAAGCTTGATAGCTGCCGCTTACGGCAAAATGATTCCTTTCTATACAATAGCTCAAGAAGCCTTTTTGCTTCAACTAATTTTGATTTGGTAAAGATTTTGCTTTTTTTAATCATTATTTCTTTAAAAATTTTCATAGCACATGAGGTAATAAAAATACAATGTAGTCCTCGATTATTCATTTGGATTAGAATGGTCGTAATTTTTTTTTCACCATTCCACATCATGAGAGTTTCTAACTGACAGTGTAAAAAGTTTATAGTCGCATAAATCGTCTGATAAATTCTGCAAAACTAACGTAAAACGCTTAGACGAATATAAAGCCAATTTCGACTACGTTTAAATTATGGTATATGCCATTCTTTTCATTATCAAATATGCATTATGCCCCTTATATTACCCATATTTTTTTTTCATTATTATAGGGTAATGTTTCCGTTTAGTACTCAGCCAATACTGAACTTTCAGGTCGGTTGGAATTGATGGACTGCTCTATCTTGGTGATTTTAGGAGATAAAATTATTTACCTCAAGGCGAAGGTTTAATTAAAAATTAAAATAGCTGTTTAAACTAACTTATTAAAAAAAAAAAAAATGGAAAAAAATTGACCCAGTTTGGCCACCTTCAGCATGAAAGGAGGTGGGCGTTTAAAGAACTGACAAGTCATATAACTACCATTATTAATACCAATTTAAAACGTGCTTTCTAATACACCTTAATATTGGTTTTTCTTCCATCGCTTTATCATGCTTATATCTCCTATTCAACCTAATCATTTTTCTTACATCAGGAAAAATGCGTTAATTATAACAGGTCCAAACGGAAACAATTACTCCACTGATAATATGAAAAGTTTAACAAAATATGTTTCTGTGACTGCAGTTTGAGGAAATAAGACCACTGTCACTTAAGCATACCAAATTATTTACCTCAAGAAGTAACCGTGAAGGGAATCGATATTGACTGTGACGAAAAACATGTCAGAGTGACAGGTAGCACTGAACAATAAAATCAGCCGTGGCCCAATATTCAGTTCAAATCGTTTGTTTGCTTAAAATTCCACCTGTTCTTCTCCACTTGAGCAATGCCTCAACGACTCGAGTACAACACTGCAGTGTTATTAAAAAGAATGGTTTACTTTTGTCATGTTTTGCCGCTGTTGTGTTTCCTTTCTTTTGTAGTTATTTGGAATGTTCAGAATACAGCTCAAGGTAAGTCATTTTTAGTGACAGACGATATGAAAGAAGAGAAAAATGACCAATACTGGGAAATGTATTTACTTTCTATTTCGTGCTTTGAAAGACATTTTGAATACGTTTTAGTTCTCTGTCAACTGAGTCTAAGCCAGGAGCAGGAAAAATTAGCTTTTTTGTACAACTTAGCATTCATTTTGCATGAATTTAGTTTATTAAAAAAAGATCCATTTGGCAATGTATCTTCTTTGCGAATGCCATTTTTTTTTTCGTTCAAGAGGCGAGGAAGACTGAACGCTTCTAAATTTAAAGAAGTATTGATATTGTTCACGGATTTGAAATTGAATTAAACTGAATACTTGGCCGGGAAGCAAAGCTTCAAGAGAAATGGTGAAATTTGGAGGGCAATCTCTCAGCTGAGGAAAGTAACAGCCGACCTACTGGCAAGGAAAAAGGGGTTTATTTATTTAATAAAATTAATTCTCATATCGCGCAAAAGCTGCTTGTTAAAAAGCCAGTGTTGCTTACCGGCGACCAGCAAGGAAAAAGGGGTTTATTTATTTAATAAAATTAATTCTCATATCGCGCAAAAGCTGCTTGTTAAAAAGCCAGTGTTGCTTACCGGCGACCAGCTTTTTGATAACGTTATCATTAGACTCTACATATCAAATTGGTTTTTCTTCCATGTAAATAGTAGAAATGTAAAGATATTTTTTTCCTCCTGGCTTTGTTTCGACGCAAATAATCGTAGGAAAAGTGTCGACCTACGCGTGGTTATTCGTGACGTAAGGTGGCCGACGAAATCACGAGGAAATTAATGGTGGATTAAAATGCGTCAAAATCGTGAAATATTGAAAAAAAAAACACCCGAGACTTGAAAATCTAAAAAATGTTTTTGACAGTTTTAGTTAGAATAGCATCTAGGCTATTTTACTCCTTGCAATTTAAATATTGCCTGCTGTGAGCTTCTTTGTTCTTTCTTCTTCTTCTTTAATACTCAGAACACTGTATTCCGTGTCGAGTAGTCTGGTTTCGACACCTTGTCTTGTGTTCGTTAGTAGGGCGCGTTACTTTCACAGTGTGTCTCTCCCCCTAAGAGTGTAAATGGTTACTGGCGAATTTCCAGGGAAGATTGATGAGATTCGGGGGGTTACCTTGCGATGGACTAGCATCTCATCCAGGGGAGGGAAAGGCTTTTTCGAAGTCCCTTTGTTAAAATGTAATCTGCCTCCTAAGATTATATGACTGGGTGTGTATTATTTGGACTGAGGGGTTCTTTTTTATTTTTTTCCTTTGAAACAGGAAAATATTGTTATTCGTATGAATCGCTTAACATCCCAGAGCTAAAGAAAGGTAACTGCCAGCAAATTAAGAACGCCACTTCTCAACATTGGTTAAAAGCTGACTGTAAAATAAGAAGTTCTCGGGAATACCAGAAACGTGACTTTACTCAGTGTTTACAGTTGTGGTGTGATTATTTTTCAATATGCCTTCATCAAACAACCGAGTGGAAAAACTATTGCTCCTTAAAGTTTTATAGACTCCGTTCATCTTTCTTCGATATAAGTACAGGGGAAGGAGGGAATGACGTCTCTCACTTCAAACACGTTTACGTCAAGTATTGCGGTATACCAAAATACGGAAGAAACTACTTTTTGAAGACATTCGCCATCAGGATTACCTCCATAGAATGCCAATCGAGAAAAACAGGAAAAGGTTTGTGCCTGACTTGTTTATTATTTGAATTTATGTGTATGTATCATTGATTCATGTTTAAAATCTTATAAAATCATTAAAAAAAACATTTTATTCGGATATTTAGTGCCCCCATGTTTGAACACCGCGTTATGGAAACAGAGTTCCAATACCTGCAATTATCTGAAAAATGGAACAAACAACATCTGGTACACAGTTGGTTTGGGTTATCATTCTTCACTGAGATGGTGCGATGCATTTCGGAACTGTTATGGGTCTAACGATCTCAGAAATCGGTGCCGTCGTGATTTTGACTTTTACTTTCGATTTCCACCAACTTTTACAGTAGAAATACTCAGTTATTTACCTCACACACGGATCCAGGTCAATTACGTTTGTAGCGGTCGTTACATCTTTGCTGTTAATGTGATTCGGTGCAACTCTGAATCAAAACTAAATGGTATGTTTGGGATCAATGTCAGTATCTAAGCAAATTCGCACGTACTCCACCCCTAACCCAATTTTAATCTTAACTTGTTATCAGTTGACTGTTTTGGGTAATGGGAGGGGTAGGTGCGCAGTTGCTGAGACATTGACATAGATCATATTTCCCCTGTATATTGTGGCCATATTTCCCATGTTTAAAAAGTAGTCACGCATCTCTGCTGTGATTTTGTGTTTGTGATTAATGTAAAACATGCGTGCAAACTTAAGGAGATTGCAAAACATCAGCATTAGGGGAGGTGAGGTGTCTGAGAATAGAAATACTTTAGCGGGTAGATAGAAAATTTTTTCATCTGCAGACAGAGTTCCTTAAACATCTGATTAAGGAAAATGCAACAAATGACACAGTGACAGGGTGACGTATAGATTCCTCTTTGGTCGTCCAACGGAAGTAATTACATTTATCGCCTACCTAGATACTCGATTTGTTTGTTTGTTTGTTTGTTTGTTTTTGTTTTTTTAGACAGTTTAGTAGTAAAGAATGGTAACGATGATAGTGATGATGACAATGCTGAAGCTCCACAGACTTTGAACTCTCAGGTACGTGCTTGAATTAATTGATGAAAACGATGATCTCAAAACATGTATATGCAATATCGCGCGCCAATATAGTAAAAAAAATTCTGATATGAAACAACTTGGCCAGGCAAGAAACGGAGTAAGTTATGCAGTGGAGTAAGGCATGCCTCTGGTTCTTAGAAATACTGATACTTGGCTTTCGGAAATTTATTACTTATCAGGTACTGAACGCCATTGGCCTCCTTGACATTGAAAGAGAGGGATCCATCCAGGTATTCTGCATATTTCTTTTTTGGAGATATTTTCCTTCAAGAAATTGTCCTACAATAAGTGTCCTAAAACCTTTTGATGTATTAGCTCACCATGTTATAGTTTTCAAAAGAATCGATAAGCATGCAACTCGAAATATTTGGTACTAATATAAGTTTCGTTGATATAAATTAACACCGTGCTTTAGGAACTGATGACCAATTTTCTTGTGTTGTTCCAACGATTTCGTTGGCTTATTTACTGAATCAATCCTTTTTAGAGCGCTTTGGATGCGTTTGAGGAGACACTCTCCAAATTTTCTAATGGCACGTTTGGGAATCAAACAGAGGAGGAAAAAATGGAGGCGGTTTTTCAAGCTACATACACTTTAGAACAATTTGTGTTGGAGTATGCTCAGTATCACCTTAATAAAACAACACCCAACCTTAGCATTAACAGCCAAGAAATCGGTAAGGGAAAAAAAAAAGAAAAATTATTTATTACTTCTAGTGTCGTAGTGTCGACTTTCACGTCGTGATCGTTTTGTAGAAAAAAACCCTAAAATGTTTCTGTGTCGAAAAAAAAAAATTAAAATTAAAAAAATTAAATAAATTACATTGATAATATTTTTATCACTACAGAATACGATGAACGGCGTGAGCGACCAATCTGGGTGCATAAATAAAAGGAGAAAGGGCATTTTAGCCTGTACCATTTGTGTAATTTTGTTTTTTGTTTCATTTTGTTTTTAATGTGAGTTCATTAAAACTTTCTTATCAAAAAAGACGACTTTGCAGTTTAGGAACATATTTTTTTTCCAGGCCAAGGTAAGACCTGCTTACCCAGGTCATCTTCTACTTTGACGTCAAAGGGCAAAAAGGCCCCAAAGAATCAAACTTTGTCTTCTTATCAGTCTTAGGGTCATTAAGTTTGGCTTTAAGTTGACTGGTGTATTTTTTCTCTTTGTTCGTATTCCTTCCGATTGATTTTAAGTTTGTTTCGTTGTGTGTCTAGATTTGGAAATCAGACGTGTTTACCATCAAAATGAGAGTGATTTTGGTCTCCAGGGGCCTGAAGGACAGAACTTCGTTAAAATTCCATCGGGAAACTTTCAGAACGGTTGGTAAAGGATTCTTCTATCAAATACGTTCTATACTAAGTCCATCCATTAGTGCGTATTCAATGTGACCTAAATTCAACATTTATCATATCTAACAGGAGTTCCTGGAACATCTTCTTTATAACATTCATCTTCCAGCACCTTATATTACCGTTGTTGTTCATTTTCAGGTTCAGAAGTAGTTATGGGAGTTTTATACAAAAGTCTTTCTAAAATGCTTTTGATTGATGATATTTACACCAAAGAGGCGACTAACAAAAGCAGGTTTGTGTGTGTGCGTGTGTTTTTTTCTAGTTTTTCTGTATGTTTTCTTGTCCCTTTATGTCTCCCATGCTTCTAGTCCTCCCTATGCTTTAAAAGAGGAAATGAATGATGAATCAACTAAGAAATATTTCCAAAAAAACAACATCAACAACAAAAGCAACAACAAAATAAAACAAAGAGAAAACTGACTAGTTCAATGATCCACCGCAATCTACGATTCATCTTTACATGTATTATTTTCTCTTTTTCTATCGCAAATTCAGATTTTGTGACTAACTTGCTCCATTGACTTCCACCGTAGGCATCTCAACACGATCGTAATATCTGCTACAATCATTCCACCTCCCACGAGGCTGACACATAATGTTACGTTAATGTTCAGGAATTTTCAGGCAAGTGCAGGAAATAACACATCTTGTTGAAGCTCCTCACATCACTTTAAGAGAGGACTATTGGATCAGTACGAAATTGACACTAACCAAACGCGTATTAGGAAATAAATTAAGTGAACCCTTCCTGGTGTCGGTATCCGCAACTGGACCAGATTTTTCGATTACCATTTTTTTCTTCAGAACGTAAACGAGTATGTGTCTGGGCGAGAATATGAGAATTAATACCCACAATAATGTGTTTCAATAAAATTAACCATTAGCCAAGGAGACAGCATAGTTAAACACAGAAAGGGAAAGAGCCCTTTCAAAAGTTGAGTTGAGTCTTCTCCACCCTCTTCCCCATCTTAATTGGGTTTTGATTTCCTTTGAGAGATTCAACTTGTTAGGATCATACGATTTTGTTAACTACAGGCCGCAAACAGGAAACGAGACTGCGTGTTTTGGAACACAGCAGACAGCAGGTGAGAGAATAGAGTTATTTCCTCTGTTAATAACTGCAGCAGCAAAAGGTTACTTCTTTCACTCAACTGAGCCAAATAATAAAAATGTATGAAATTCGTAGCTGATATTCTTAGTGATTGCAATCATTAAGTGGCGACGTGCTTTAAGTTGTCTACTTGCTCTGCATTTGGTTTTGGCACAATATAGGCTGCGATTTTAGCCTGCAGTAAGCCTCCCTCTTGCCCTTGAAAACTTACTTATTCAAAAACATTGCGATCGCATCTATTTATCAGTTTGATTTTTCGATAAATTTAATCAATCCCATCTCTTAGCAGCCTTTTCAAATCATTCTTTCTCCTGCAGCTCGGTAGGCTGGTTAGAACAAGGTTGTTCTATAAAATATATGGACGAATCTCAAACGGAATGCAGCTGCAATCATTTGACCCATTTTGCTGTCCTGATGCAGTTTGGCACGGAACCTTACAATAAAGACTTATCTGAGGTGAGCTAGATCATGGGTATCATAATTTATAAAAAAAAAAGACAAAAATTGAATGCATTTAAAAACTTTAGAAGTGCCTTATCTGACTTTGTTTATACTAAAAGCATATGTACCATTTGTGCTATCTTACATATTTTACACAGACCGACAACAAAATTCTGGAGATTCTTACCTACATGGGTTTGACATTATCTCTGATTGGAATTACCATGACAATTCTCGGCTACGTTTTTCTCACGTAAGTACTTTATAAGGAAGTTGTTTAACATTGAAAGACATACGTTATTCAATATCATACACTGACACTACTACTTAAGAGTGTTTATTCTTTCGAAGACAATTTTCATCCTCACAGACGGCTCTGTTCCTCTCGGCAATCGTTTGAATTCTTTGCCCCAGGGAGATGAGAGGTCCTTTGTCTCAGATCCGTGTTTGTCTGGTTGCTTCGCTTGGCGCAGCTCAAATCATATTTCTTGGTGGGATTGGTGCGACTGAGAACAAAGTAAGGAACAATAAACCAGGTTACTGTAAGTTTCTTCAGATTTTTCTGTCTTTTCTCATTTGGGTATGAGGCAATGCCCCAAGTTTTCGATTAAACCACGATTTTGCCAGAAATATATATTTATTCTAGACGTCTTAGCATAAGCAAAAGCTAAATGATCATCCATGGTTTATGGAGGCTGGGCTTTACTTCTTCGCTCACGAATGGTTTTACTTAACCGCAGCAACAGACAGCTTAGCTGTTTCTTCTTTCCAGAAAGTGTGTGTTACGGTAGCAGCCCTTGAGCAGTTCTTTTTAATGGCCGCTTTCTGTTGGATGTTCATCGAGGGAGTTTACCTTTACTTGTTTGTTGTAAAAGTCTACAACGTTACAAACAAGATGAAGATATGCCACGGAGTTACGTGGGGTAAGGCCATATTTCAGTTCCTTTGCTTGTGTGTGAATAAATGGATTAAAAGAGGTTAAAGTAAAAGCTGATATGAAAACGTAAAACTTAAGAAAGGACTGGCTCCTTCCCGGCTCTAGCGGCATAAAAGAATAGGACCATTAAATCTCATCCTGTAATGCATGTGGAAGTTAGTTCACTGCTAGTAAATCTGAAAAAAAAATCTTAATTTTGGTGGACTAAAGTCTAATTAAAGATAATGAGCTGTCTTACCCAACAGCACACCAGGCAATAACTCTTCCGGAAGTCAACCTCAAACCTCTTGCACCATTAGGACACCCTACTCAGCTCCTTGGTGCATTTTAGATTCCGTTTCAAACATATTTTTCTTGCAAACCAGGAGTGAATGTTTTCGGCTTTTCTGTCACAGGTTTTTCTGCACTTGTGGTCACCTTATCCTTGAGCATCACAGCAGGCATAGCGGGAATCGAGAGTTTTGTCAGCGAGAAATAGTAAGTAAAACATTGTACCTTTCAGTGATGAAAGTAATAATGTTTCTCTTGTTCGTAAAAGATCTTTAAGCAAAGCTTCGAAAAATGTAATGGTGTATCTAATCTATTATTTGTTAATATTGCCGTTAAATCATTATTTATTCTTGTGGTTTGTTTGTTTTTCGTCTGTCAAGCTGCTGGCTTTCTCACGAAAATGGTCTGATCTGGATATTCATTGTCTTCGTATTGCTGATTGGATCGGTGAGTCCCCCTTATATTTCTCACTAACTTGATTTTGAACATCTATTGTTTATAAGCTTACGTGCAACTGCGTGTCAAGACAACGTTGTTAACAGTGGCAGTGATGAAAACGGCATCGACGGCAATGAACAAAGTAGAAGGAATTAGGGCAAGAATTGAAAAAACAATTACTGAGCTATTTTCGTCTTTAATTTATCATTACATCAATAGTATCTCGGTGTAATCACTATTTTTTTACTTTTAGCTTAACATTGTGATCCTTGTACGAGTTATCAGGGAGATGACGACGATGCAACAAACCAAAGACAATCAGACTGAACAAATCAGGTAGAGAACGAAATCTTTAAGTAAGGAATCCAAAAGAGAACAAACAACCAAGAGTTCATCGGTAGTCCTTGCACGCGCACACACCCAGATGCACAAAAAACAAACAAACATACAAATATACGACAATGACGATGATAATGATGATCTTATTCTTCGGTGATTTGATGTCTTAAAAAGGAAGAAAAACATTCCTTTGTAGGCTTGGCATCAGAGCATGCGTGGTAATGATTCCTCTCTTGGGTGTCACGTGGCTGTTTGGCGTTTTATTGCCATTGCACAAAGCTTTTGCCTATATTCTCACGATTTTCAACTCAACCCAAGTAAGTTTGGAAGAAAATGTATATCTCTGTACTTGTAAGAAAAACTGACGAGAAAGAATCTTTACTTAACGAGATCAATGTTTATTTTTCAACAGGGTTTTATGATTTTCGTCTTGCACTGCGTGAGAAACACGGAGGTATAATATCACTTTTTCGTTTCAAGCATATAGTGTCTCCAGGTTAAATCAATTTTATTATCTTCCTATCGATAGACAATTCCTTTTTTATCACTCCTCATTAGATTTCTTTAGCTGTTTTTTTTCTTATCTTTTCCTCTTTTTAATCGTCCTGGGCCAATTTTATTGCCAACTGAAAATGAACCCGATGATTAATTTCACCTTTTTTCTCATTAACTTGACTCAGCTCTCTACAGCTAATTCTTTCAAATAAATGGACATAAGTTGGTTTTGACATTTTTTATTGCTTTATTCTTGCAGATAAGAAGTCGACTCAGAAGAAAGCTCCATTCCATTTTCCCATTAGTAGACAATGGAAAAAGTATTAATAGAAGCTCTCAAGAAAATGAAACTGCCTCCGGAAATATTTCGAGAAAAACTAAAGCTAAACATAGCGTTGTAACCGAAAGAAGAAATGACAGTTCAGAGAAAACCTTTTGTTTATGAATGAATTTGGATACGAACACTAGAAGAGGACACTGGTTAGTTTACTATGGTTAGGAATCGAGAGGATGATTCCCGAGATATTCTCGTCAAATCATTATCAACTTAAATCATATAATAGCAGATGATAAAAATAATTCCTCGATTCGCCTTTGTCTTTGACATAAACTGTGTATATAAGTCAGATACTGACTAACGTCAAAGACAAAGACGAACCGAGGAACAGAAAGGGAGCGGTTTATAAGATAATTGCTCCGACTGCCGCGCCCCCTACATCGGTGAGACTGGCAGAAACCTCACAACTAGACTGACCGAATACAAACGAGCGACGAGGAAAGGCGATGTCGACAATCACATTGCTGAACATCACCGACTTACAAACCACACTATGGACTGGCACTGCGCAATGCCTAACCTACAGCGCCAACTACTTTCAGTGACTGACCCTGGAAAGCTGGTTTACTAAACTGGAACAGACTACCCTCAATAGGTGTCAACCACTACCGGCACCATACAAACAACTCATTCACGACATTAACATTACAAACGAACCGAACAGAACAACCTAACTTCACTAACGGATCGAAACCGACCAATCACGACTGACCCACGTCACTTGAGTCTTTAGGCGATGTCAACATCACGGCAAAACTGACCAATCAGTTTATACAAACCGGACCAAGTGCATTCGGCTGACAGCAACCTTTCACTTGACTCTGATGATGACTTCCGCTCAGGTTGTCGAAACGTCAGTCACCATAACCGACAACAGTCCTTCTCAGCACTACACTCACCCAGACGATCAAACTACACTATTACATGTTACCCCCGGGTTCAAACCATTTAACGAATGACCTTAATTAATGTTATGTGCCTTTTAATGGCTCCGCAGGTCAAGTGAAAAGTATGAAATTTTCTATAAAACACGAGGCCAACCCGCTTTGTTTCAATGCTCAAATATACGAGTATTTCCCATTCACCAAGTAGATTTATGATCGAAGACCTCGCAGACTGTGAATGACGTTTGTAAAGAAGAGGCATTGATTTTCACATACGAAAGTCCGTCGCTATCTCTCGTTTGGCCTTCTTCTGCCTCCTTGACATATTAAGAGCGAATTTTTTTTATCACCGCGTGGGAGGTGCCACATGATCGGAAAAATAACTATCCTCATATTTCTCTCAGAGATACCTTAGGGTGAGTCTATAAACGTGGTATAATTTTTTTGTTCAGAGCTGTTTTTATTTTCTAGAAAATCACCAAACACTGTATCGAGCCCCAACCGCCATAAAATGGCCGAAATGAAGTCGACGAGTAGGGCAACAAAACCTTTATTCCTCAAAAGCACAAAAGAAAGCAAGTCTTTCTGAATTTTACCTATTTGTATACGAGGTATTAAAAAATGATTTGAATCTAATAACGGGCTTGTTGACATAACTATGAATTATTGGCGAATATTTGAAAATTGCCAAAATTTGATTGATTAAAAATTACATTTTGGAGCAGTTTTTCAATAAAAATTTTTCCTACCTGGTATAACTCGGAATCACTTGAGATGAGCATTTTTACAAAGTGGAAAGAATGTTCTTTCCATGGATATAAAAATTAATTTGGGGCTCTTAATTACTGCGAAGAAGTAGCCCGGTCTATTTCGTGCAAATCGCAATGCCGCCATGTAAACAACCGCAGATAATCCAACTAGGCTTTTTATTATCGAAGCCATAATTCCAACAAAATCTTATCGCTTTGACCTATACTAGATTGTAAACTGGATTTCTTAAGCTCACCTGGCGAAAAACACCTTTCTAAGATTGGTTCCTTGCCTCAATCTTGTTATAAAGAGACCTGACAACAGCTTCGATAGTACAGCACTACAGGCGGTGTATACCAAATCACAGTGAAAACATCTCACGAAAGTTCCTGCCGGAAACGTCGCATTGCTGGACAGTTAAAACCATATTTCAGCTTGGAACACTCTCATTTTACAAGTCTTCCTTTCACAATAAGAACGGAAGTTTGTTTTTTATAGAACGAGCCAGAGCATCCTGACAGATGAAGTGAATCATTGAGGTTCGTTTTTTGCGATGGTGTCACGCAATAACATGTCACTCGAAAGGAGGCTCGGTTACCAATACGCTCTTATTTTCTTTCCTTCTTATCCCCTATTTTTTGTTTCCGGGAAAAAAGTTTTAAATCCAGAATTTAAAATTACCGTTGTTTGCATTTTTTAAGCGCGATACCACACACGGACATTCCTAAGGTATTCTTCAATGCAGCGACACTTAGATTGTGGTAAACACGAGCGAGCTCTGGAGCGCGAGACCTTAACAGACAGAGCTGTTAAGGTGTATGGAGAGAAACTGGAGGGAGAGACCCCTTCAGTACCAGAGGTTATTGCAAACAGTAGACCTGACATCATACCAGATTCGTGCAGAAAAGTACCAATGGGCTGGGCACTAAGGGCTGGTGCTCCACGAAAGAGATTTACTTCCAGCCAGAATGCCTATCTTACTGTCAAATTTAAACTGGGGGAACAATCAGGACAGAAAGCAGACCCTGCATCAGTTGCACGTACGATGGTAAGCGCCAAAGATGCGAGTGGTAACCGCCTGTTTACAAGCGACGATTTCCTTACAGAAAATCAAATAGCTGCCTTCTTTTCCCGACTGGCTGCGAGAAAGACCCTCCAGGATGACGAGGAACAGTCTGATGACGACTTGGAGGCCGCTGCAAGTGAAGCAAGAATCCAAGAGCTGTCGAATGCGGCTTTAAAGGAACTGGCGCTTAGACGCCCTATCACATATAATACGTACAATCTTTGTGAAATGGCAGCAAAGTCCAAGTTAAAGAGCTTTTCCATTTCATTGCTGAAGGATATTTGCTTATTTTTTAGCATTGATATCAGCGATATCTCCGTTCATCGTAAGCAGCCTTACGTGAGCAGGATCGAAGCCCTTTGTTTTAGCTGTACCTGTCAGCAGTGACGAACTACATGTAGCTTGAATATTGGTTTCATTGACCAGGAAAACACCTAAAGTATATGACACTGTATTCTTTTCCTTCCTTTCTATCTTTCTTTCTTTCTTTCTTTCTTTTTTTGCTTTATAAAACCCATTCAGTTAGCCGGTAGATTTCTTGAATCTCCGAGGGTACGCCGCCTCTGTCTTGTCGAGAATTCGAGATCTCAAAGAATGGCCGATTAATTGTTTGATTAAGGGACGGGAAACAACTTTTTCCGAGTTCGAGTTGAGAAAACTGTCAAGTTTCTAGCGATGGCCATTATCATCGTAGCAATCAAGGTACAAAATCGAAAGGTTTAAATTGATGAGCACGCTATCGTAAGGAAAATTTAAAAAAACAACAACAACAACAAAAACAAAAAACAGAGATTGTATAAGTCCAAAGCTTTAAAAAATGTAATTGTAATGACCTACAGTCAGGCGATATCAAATAACACGTACTGTCTCGCGGCCTGATGCAAGCGGCCGACTTTGTGACTCGAAGATTTACGTTTTTAGTGAAGTTTAACGTTCAAAGTGCTTAGATAAAGCACGAAATTGTTAGTCTGTTGTTCTGTTTACATAGTCGGTAGAATTTTTCCAGTGTCATTAGAAAAGAACGCCTCACCGTGGAACCTGTCTGCCTGCCACTGAAGGTCATGGTAGACCTTATCGATCCACCAGAGACACGTAGGTGATGTATATAATCACGGAGCACTAAACAATTAACTTCCAGTTGTTTTAGTTAACTGGGAAGTTCGTCATTTGAGAGGTTACGCATGACGTTTGTTTTTCCCGCGAACGTCAAAAATTCAATTTCTGTCGTCTGTCTTTAGGCGTGTGTACACGGAATTAAGTAGGTTTGTGTTTGTCGTGAATGTGTTATTTTATTTTATTTTATTTTTTGTGCAGGATTTTTTAAAGAATTCCATAAATAGGTAACCAAATGAAAGGCAAGCTTGCGTTTGCTGTTTTCCGTTAAACGTCATACTTAAAGTGCCTATAGATAAATATAATATTTGCAAGCGCGAAGTCGTGGAAATAGAGTCGATAACAACGCATGTATAGTCAGTACCAGGGGGTGACTAAATTTACGAAAACGTCAAAAAGTAGTTTTTCAGAATGGCACTGATTCAAAACACTCAAAAGAGATCTACAGCGTTTTTTAAGTGAATTCGCGCAGGTTTTTGTTTAAAACATAACACTGACTAAGAAATAAATATTAGTTGGCCCTGCACTCGGTACAGCGATGTCTGCAGACGAATGCCTGTCTGGGTGTCCTGTGCACGTTTAGCGTGATTGCGTGACAAAAATGAGTGATGACACACGACTTCGTTGGTGAACATCGTTGTGCCATTTGGGGAGCCAAACGTTTCTTAACTGAAACTGTAAGCAATCAAAGCATCTTGGTTTATCGTGCAAAAAAGACTTTTGTATATACTGGAGTTGTATGGAAGCAGAAATAAGTCAAGAGGTGCGATGGTCTGCGATGATTTATGAACAGCTTCGAGTATTGTAAATGGTCAAGCCGGACGTTGTAAACACTTTTCAAGTGAACATGGCGATTTGAAACAAAAATAATGGAAACATCATTCCTTAATCACTGGTTTCAGAAGGTAAGGGTAGCATATTGACTTTCTGATAAAGCACAGCTCAAAGCGGTAAGATTTTGCAGAAATTATGGCTTCGATAATAAAAGAATAATTGGATTATCTGCGGTTGTTTACACGGCGGCGTTGCGATTTGCACGAAATAGATCGGGCTATTTCTTCGCAGTAATTAAGAGCCCCAAATTAATTTTTATATCCTTGAAAAGAACATTGTTTCCAATTTTCAGAAATGCTCATCTCAAGTGATTCCGAGTTATACCGAGTAGGAAAAATTTTTATTGAAAAACTGCTCCAGAATGAAATTTTTAATCAATCAAATTTTGGCGATTTTCAAATATTCGCCAATAATTCATAGTTATATCAATAATCCCGTTATTAGGTTCAAATCATTTTTTAATGCCTCGTATACAAATAGATAATATTCGGAAAGATTTGCTTTCTTTTGCGCTTTTGAAGAATACCGTTTTTGTTTCCCTACTCGTCGGCTTCATTTCGGCCACTGTTATGGCGGTTGGGGCTCGATACAGTGTTTGGTGATTTTCTAGAAAATAAAAACAGTTCTGAACAAAAAAATTATACCACGTTTATAGACTTACCCTAAGGTATCTTTGAGCGAAGTATGAAGGTAGGGCTTTTTCTAGGCATGTGCCACATTTTTTTGATTTCACGCGGTCTCCAGAAAAATTATCTATTAATTGTCATTTTCTCGACATTGAAATGAAACATATTTATTTTCATACTGATAGAGTTAAGTAAAATCCTTATTTGTAATTTATCATTATTATTATTATTATTTTTACATCCCTTAAAAGTTATTTCTTTCTCTTGTCGGTAAAATGATAAAGCATTGTTGTTGAAAAGACTTTGATTACAAAAAGACTGTTCGGAAGGTGTTCAAGAACTTTAAAAAAGAAAACGAACCGAGACACTCACGACACATCTTTTGTTTTTGTCGCGTAACGTATGCAACCTAGTGACATTCGTTGCCGAAATATCTTCGTGTGCAATTAGTAGTTATTATAAAGTGTTATATAATTCAGTAGGAAAATGTTTCTTGGCTCTCGAGTTCCGTAGCCGTACCGAAGGATTTCGAGATAACTTTGAGTTTAGAACCGATCCGAAGGGTCTCGATTGTAGTTAAGTGTTATTTTTTTGGTGTTTCGTCCTACCAATTGTGACAAACATCATTCGCCGCCTAGCTAATTGCCTTCCTCTTAATTTGTAAAACGCTAATAGCTTCAATAGCTTGAGGAAGAATTAAAATTTTAAAAGATGTATTTGTTTCAAATTGTCGAGGTTGATATATATATTTTTTGGTCTTTCAGTTAAGGGTACCGAAAAAACAAGGAAAAAATCTCGTGGCCAGAAGGAAGTTTAACCTTAAAACTTCCCCTAGCAGATATGATAAAATATTCATTTGAAAATTTGCCTTTTCCGCAGGTAAAGCGTGCTCAACCTCATGACAGTTCGTTATGCAAAGTTGGAAATTCGGCTTAGTTTTCAATAGGGCGCCAACTGTGTTGAACTCTCTTTGTTTTCTTTCAATTCTCAGTTATTACTCATCTGTCCATGGCAATGTCATTAACAGATAAACAGCTGCAATTCAAAAAGTGTACCTAACTTAAAGCTGAATTTTAATTTTGAAATATTCCGGAAAAATATTTTGAAAACCTATGACTTGTCGTCCATTATTTTATATTAAGAGGGTAGCAAATTTTAAAATCATTATGTGCGTGTTAAGGGGAGGTTAAGTTGGAAAAAGTGTTCTGGGCGACAAAAATATCGGTTCCTTTATTATGAACTCTGCTTTGAGCAATTTCTTACTCAATTGCCACCTGCCGGTTGCCCGTCGGTTTCCATGACACTTTCCCGTATGAAAAATAAGTATTCGTGTCATATCCCGGTACTGTCTAAATTCATAAAGTAAATACGGACACAGTTAGTCAGTTTAAGGGTTAAAAGCTCACGCCGAGCTTGGTCACTGCTTTCTTCTTTGGTCTTTCAAGGTTTAGCCTCTGGATATAGCCTCTACCCAAAGTCACCGACAAAAAAAAAGTACTTTCATCACTGTTTAACGAGACAGTGATCTTTAAGACACAAAAGGCCGGATTCATATTTGAAGGTTCAAAGGGATCTCTAGCCAAAATGTTCTGGAGGATTCTCTTCCTTGCATTCTTGATTGGTGAGTACGACCAAGCAGTATGGTAACCTTCTGAGTTGCTTGTTTTTAGGAAACTTGACGTATGAAGAAGGCCAGTGGCGCCATGATGTACTACGCATTGTATTTTAATTTATATATTTAGCCACAGGGTCAGTTTGTCGTTCATCCAATTCTTTTTGTACTTCAGAAACATATCCTACCTACTTAAGACATTATTCGTTCATCCGCCGAGTATGAATTTATTTGTTTTGTTTTTTGTTTTTTTTTTTTAGAAGGGGGAGGGAGGGAAAGGTTCCATATCTTATTTATATATGCTTACTAACTTGTTTTAATCGATGTCGGCATCAAAATGATGGTTTTATTACTAAATACTTGCCGCTGAAAATATTCTCGCTGTAGCCAAAGATTTCCGTGGTCTCTTGCAAAGAGGTACCTGAAGCAGGCTATTGCGGTTAAAGTCTCTGTCACAAAATTAATTTTATCATCGGAAGTTGGGTACGGTGAAGCATTTTCTTATGAATTTAACGTTTTTACCTGCGTGATTACTTTCAGGTCATAGTTACCAGTGTCCCAAGAATTACGGAAAGTTGGAACTTAAAGGGATAAAAGATACCTGTCAGCGAATTGAAAACGGAACCCATCCGCCTTGGTTAAGAATCACCTGTCATGATCTGTCTCGTTGGTATTGTATCCTGACGTGGTGCAGAGACTTCGCTTTTTGTCTCAAGCAATCCGTTGATTGGCAAAAAGAATGCCCTTGGAGGATTGATGAACTCATTTGGCGAAGTCGTTCTAAAAATATAAAGATGGAGTCTGTAAACGGTGGCCCATCATATAGTTTTGACGTCCAGAGATGTTATAAGGGAATCTACATAAATATAAGGTTATTCAATGGCACAATGCAAGGAAATGGTATGTATAAGATTCGCATTTTTATATATATTAAAATCATTTATTATCTATTTTCTCATCCATTTTATCATTATATATATCAATCTCTCTGGTCACCTGATAATTCCTTCATTTCTTCTTTCATGTGAGAATTAATTGTTTGAACCGCTCATTTAACAATTTCGTGTTTTCCTCACTCAGCAATTGACTCATGCATTTATTCAATTATATTACTCAGCCATTTATTGCTCTTATTTATTCAAATTAATGACTTATTACCTTTTAGCGTATATTAATATGTGTCCTTTCCACACAGGTGCTAAGCCAGGAGCGGAAAGCCTCCGTAAGGAGGTATTCTATTTATATTCCCTTTTTTTTGTTTTTGTTCATGTTTTACAATACATCACTTTTGTGACTACTAACTTAGTTCCTGCTCTATGTATTTATAAATCACATCATTATTTGATCATCAAACGTATTTCCGACAAACCGATTGAAATTTCACGCATAAAAAAGAGTATTTGCTTTGTTGATTTCATTGGGTCAAAGAAGAATTGATGTTAATGGCTTGTTGCGCATCCTGACATTATGATTTTAATATGGTTTATCAATTCTTTCTTTGAATTAAATCACTTCACTGTTTGCGTAGGATATCTTCAATTCTTCAAACACCATTCTTCAGCGTCTTACAAAAGAGATACGCAACAAAAGTCAACTAAAGCAGGAAGAGATAGAGGACGTCTTTCTTGAATTGACCTCTTTGGAGACATCCCTGTTGGAATACGGAGAGTATAACCTCAATCGCACAACAAGTGAATTTAATATGAGCAGCATACACATGGGTAAGGCACTTTCTAATATGATAAGTACATTCGACATCATGTTCCCTCCGGTTCAAGAGATGGCGATGGAAAAGCGTCCATCGCAAAAGATAGCCTTACCACAGCATTCTGAGGCAATAAATCTGTAATTCACTAAACTAATTATCACTGTTCTATCGCTAAACCCCCCTCGAATTTTGATAGAAAAACTGATCCTCCTTAAAAGCTTTAAGGAACTTTTCTCGCTCATTGACATTATTACCCATTATGCTTTGTTTTTAAATCGATCTTTCTATTTTTATTATTGTTCTTATTATTAGTGGTAGTATTACTATTTTTACTATATATTATTATCGTTATTATTATTATTATCATTTTCATTATAATCGTACCATTTTCTTTTATTCTTTTCTCCAAGATGTTCTTGTCAGGAAAATCTCCTACCGAAACCACAGCCACCACTTTCGTCTGGAGGAACCTACGGGAGAAAATCTCCTGATCATTCCATCGGCAAATTTGGACAATGGTTTGAAAATTTAATTTTTTTAATATGCGGTGTTTAGACGTTTTGTTCTTTTATCAATCCATATATTCATGTGTTCATTTCGATTTTTTTGTTGATTTAGCATAATTTTCCACAATTCGTGAAATTGTTACATTTTTATTTCTTTCCCAGGTTCAGTGATACTCGGAGTGATATATAAAGACCTCCATCAACTATTTACTAGAAACCAACCAGAGAACAGTACCCTGAACAATCCAAGGTCTCCCAGATCTGAATTATACTTACTTTTCACATCTTTGTATACATAAACGCTTATTTAATTTCTTCAAGCCAAAAACTGGGGGTTTTTAAGCTAAACAATGTATATTTATTTGTTTTATTTATGCTTGGAAATGTGCATTTGAAGTTTAATAATTCTGACTTTTTAATGTTCCGAAATAGAGAAGTCAACTCCATTATTATGGCTGCCACAATAATTCCTTCGCCCACGAAACTACAGGAAAATATAACTTTGAAGTTCAAAAACATGAAGGTAGTATGAGATATGATTTTCTTTTCATGATAATTTTTACCATACCGTGTCTTTTCTGGTTGAGATCGAGTCACTGTCTGAAATGAAACTCGCTTATTTTTAGCCTACCTGCGTTGCTTATGAATTCGGATTTCGTTAGATTTCGATATGTAGTCCACAATGCGTTATGTTATGTATCTTTCATGAATTATGTTTTTTTGCTATTATTCCATGATTTTAGTATGCAACTAACGAGAAAAAGTGTATGTTCTGGAACATGTTCGATGAGAGGTAAATATAGCTTGATTGTCTCTCTAGCATTTTTTTTCTTATTCAAGTTATATCATGAGGCTAGCATTGGGTTGATTAAGTGGGAATAATGCATGATTTATGCTTACCAGTTTCTTCTCGGTCTGATGCGATCACTTATATCTGAATGAAGTCAAGCTACGAAAGAGTTCTAGTAAGCTAAATCGTGGAGCCCTCTGTTCAAATTTTTCACATGAAGCTCTCCACGCGTGAAGAACAAATTTTGAGAAATAGTGAATGCATGCAAGTACTTAACCCTTTAACTCCCGAGATCTCACTAGTAATTCTCCTAAATGTGTGCCATACAGTTCTTGTGGTGTTAGTTTGTAGAATTTTGTATTGCATCAACTCAAAATCCTCTAACTGATAATCTTTTTTATTCTCATCACTTGTCTGCTTGAAATTGTATTGATATTGTAAGGAGAAATTCTGTATTGGTCACTCGTAGGAGTTAAAGGGTTAAAAGGATCATCGTCAAACAGTCAAAGTTTGTCACCTCGAGTACTTATCAATATTATTGGATATGGGGCTCCGTCCCCATGACTTGCACTAGAGTCTTGCTTGATCGATAAATTATCTATTTTACGTTTCAGTTCCATTGGCTGGTCAGGAGAAGGATGCTACGTCAAATCTACTGATGCATACCAAACAGAATGCACGTGCAATCATTTGACTCATTTTGCTGTTCTTCTGGACACATCAACTGGAACAGAGACTGCCGATATATCAGAGGTAAGTGTCACCACAACGCCTGCAACTCCCCTTTACGATAATATCTGCTTGTATATTCAAACAAATACGTATTATTTTAACATTTTAGTTTTTAAAGTAGAATAAAACTTGATTAAATTGATGTATTTAGATTTGTAAATCTTTTGAAGTATTGTTATTGTTTATATTTCCCCTCGTTAAAGAAAGACGAAAAGAACTTGGAAATTCTAACATACGTCGGGCTGACCCTTTCTGTTATTGGTATCACATTGACGATAATCAGCTATCTTACTCTCACGTGAGTAAAGTGATTAGAAATTAGAAATGTATGTCAGTCAGAACAGTAAATAACTGATCGAAAAAAGTTTGCACATACGCTGAGTTCTGTCAATGGACAAACAGAAGTGATAATCGTGCAGTACTAACCGGATTGCCCATTGTTTGCTTACTTCTTCGAGTTCTATGATGACGAGAAGACCTAGAATCATTATCCTTAACAACATACCTATCTTAACTTCTACAAAAGAAAGAAAGGGTAAAATTTTGGAAAATAAAGGGAACCAACAATCACCTTCATTGTTAATAAAGAATATCTCTTTTATGTCTTTTTTAAATGTTTTTTCCTTTCTTTTCTTTTCCTTCTATTTTTTCCTTTCGTTTTTGTTGGCGTGCCAGAGATATGAGAGGACCTTTATCCCAGATTCGAGTGAGTCTCGTCACTTCTCTTGGTGCAGGACAAATCATGTTTCTCGCCGGGATTGGAGCGACTGGGAACAAGGCAAGAATTCTGTGGAAATTGAAATATTTACTGTCCAGAAACGAAGAGGCCAATTGACACGCAGAAGACTGCGATGAATATCAACTTCGAAGAAAATGAAACTAACGCAATTTAAAGGCTTTTCGAACAGTTTTAAGTACTTTGATTTTTTTTTTTTGGTCGAATATCATTTTTCTTGTATTTTAGTGAAAATGGCTTTTATGATGAGCGGTGCGTCCCCGAAATCTCTCTAGGCTTCTGGATCGGTCAGTTTGCAACAGGAGTCAAGACGACACGCCTTATCAATATTTACGATACAAATCAATCATGGCGTATGTATCATTAAGGCAAATTGCAAATTAACAGAACTTTCCTCTTTCGCTTTCCATTTTCCCAGGGAGGTTGCCTTACAGTGGCAGCCCTTATGCAGTATTTTTTGATGGCTGCCTTTTGTTGGATGCTGGTCGAGGGAATTTACCTCTACCTGTTTGTTGTGAAAGTTTACAACGTTGGCGACAAATTAAGAATGTGCCATGGAATTTCATGGGGTAAGGTACTCTGTGGCTATTAAAATATTTAAACACTTTTAATTACCACCCTTTTGTGTTTTTACAATATAGTTACCTATGTCTCATAAGTCCAACTAATTTAGGTAGCAGTTTCTTCGAACGATTTGTCTTCGATTCTCGTTCACACCATATTATCTGTGCGTCCTTGTTCCGTAGGGACCCCTCTCCGAATTCAAGAATACGGGGCCAGGAACATAATCTGTTACTTATATTGCATACTTCAGTCCTAAATATCCCTGAATAGCGGTGCTTAAGATTAATATCCAATGTCGAAAGGGAAATTCTACCCTTGACGGGTGGGAATAAGTTTCATGTCTGATTTTTTTAATCCTGTAGGCCTTCCCGCGCTCATCGTTGCCATATCACTAAGTATTGCAGCTGGAAAAGATGGGATCGAAAGTTTTGTGGCTGATAAATAGTGAGGAGAATTTCATTCTACTGGTCTAATGTCATCCCACCCAGCTTTCCAAGAAGTGATCTGACGCAAGTATTTTGGAAAACGAGCAACTATCTTGTTAGAGCTGAACCAAATACACGTGTGGATTAAAATAATTATTATTTTCCGTTTTTATGTATTGGCTTACTGTTATTGTGTTTCGAGATAGAAAACCTAAAAATTCTGAGTCTGAAAATCAATTTTAAATCGGATTGTTCAGGCTGCAATTATGGATTCCATCAGTCAATATTCTACAGAAAAGGCGCGATCAACGCTTTCAATGTGTGGAAAATCCATATTGGTATGTCAAGTAGTCATTGACAAACAAAGCATCTATTTATAGTTTTGTTTCCTTTTCGTTTTTTGTGTTACTTTGTTTATTTACTATTATCTTTTATTTTTTTTTCATTAAAGCTGCTGGATGTCTTCTGCCAATGGCCTGATCTGGATATTTATAGTATTTGTTGTGCTGATTGAATTTGTGAGTGAAAATAACCAAGATTATCATTATCGAAACTAAAAAAAAATCTTTCATGGGGCTCATATAGGTTTATTTCCTTCTTTAAGTTCAACATTCTGATCCTCGGGCGGGTTATCAAGGAGATGGTGACTATGCAACAAGAGAAGGACAAACATAGCGAGCAAATAAGGTATGGTCTCCTCCATAAAAGGAAATCCGGTTTCAGGAATATTGGGTCTTTGAATCAGCTCCTTCTCTTAAAACGACAATCTGGAATCTAACCTTTTCACAAATCTACTGAGGAAGAGTCCGAAATCCGGAACAGTAACAACGAGAAACCATCTTGATAGAATAACTACCTAATAGTGCTTTATTGTTGTTGTTGTTTTTTATTTTGTTTTGTTCTGTTCTTTTCCAGACTTGGTGTCAAGGCATGCATAGTTATGATTCCTCTGCTGGGGATCTCGTGGTTATTTGGTTTATTGGCACCATTACATAAAGCTTTCGCCTACATCTTCACGATCCTCAACTCTACACAGGTAAGATGTAGATAAAGGTCGGTGGAGATCAAAAGATGTTATATTCTGTCAGATGCACAATCCCGGGAACCTTGGGATGGTGTTATGTTGAATTCATTACTCTGCCAGCTCAGTGGTTTAAAAATTGTTTAAATCTGGTGAAATCATAATCAACTTATCATCATCATAATGAAAAAACTTCTCACTTCTATTTAATTCAACAGGGTTTCTTGATCTTTCTTCTTCACTGCGTGAGGAACAGTGAGGTCAGTGATTTATCGTTAAAAATTGCATCACAATTTCTGGTATTATATCGATTTTTTTTAAACTACAGTGGAGACCAGGAAGTTCTATTTAATTTCGATGTCATATCAAAGAAATTAAGCCCTAGTTCGAAGGGCTCGTCCTTAGATCCGGACTACCTGGACAAGCAAAAGCAAAATGACAAAACGAAGCAATGTAGGACCAAAATTATCATTATATTCACTTGCTCTGAAGGGTTTGAAGCTCCACACGTGCACAGGAGCTCCGCTCAAATTCCCGTGTCTGAGGATGGGGGTGTAGGAAGAATGGAGAAAAGACATGTGTTTCAGATCGGTCTCTTTTACGGCGTAAAATGTTAGAATATAAAGTTAATGTTGATAATATTTCCTAAGCGCAAAAAAGGAAGAATTATACGCCATTTTTTTTTTCATTTTATATCGATACCTGTCTAGATTAACTCCAGATAGCTGAATGACGTCAAATTTAGTTGTGACTTGTAAAAACTAGCTGTTGTTGAAAGCCCATACATCACAAAGTCAAAGAAAAAAAGAGTACGACTTACAAACTCCTTGAATGCAATGATGTGGCTAATTTAACTTGCACTTTATAGGTAAGGGCTCGTTTTAAAAGAAGGATTCAGGCCATCCTCCCAGCTGTGGATGATGGGACTAGTACAAAACGAACATCCGTTGTGCCCTCGGAAGTAAATGAGGATTCCACAGCCATTGCTGCGCCCAGAAAAATAAAGGTTCAGCCACTGAGTGACGGCGAAAAAACTAAAAGAGTCTCGAGCAAAACCTCTGTGTAGTTGTCAATTTGTTACATTGTACATAACAACTATGACTTCGTAGTGCGGCATATACAAGGAAAATGTTGTAAGTTAGGAATCCGGCAGCTAATTATTTAATACAATATCAGAATAGAACTCTTACAGAAAAGCCACGAAAAAAAACCAAAACCAAAAAAAACCAATAATAGGGGAAGAAAGTCGTTATCTCAAGTGACGAAAGTCCTAATTTGTTTCAAGTTTTTTGAGCTGCTTATGCCGAACCTTAAGTTGGCTTGTCAGTGCATTGTCGGTGACCAGAGCCCTGTTTCTATACAAGAAACTATTGTACGTTTAGATTTTGATCTGCTATTTGTAGATGCATATGCATTTTGAATTTACTTCTGCTAGCTGATAATTACCAAACGTAGAGCATTTCGTGTTATTAGAATGTTTATTTAATTGATGGATCCATGGTATGACATTTGCATCTGCTTTCAAAAAGATGGAAACGGCCAACATATAAAGCTAGTAATAAAAGCTCTCCGTGGAGATTGAGACCATATTGATCTTAGCATGTCTCTTTACAGCGTAGGTCTGTTCTCCTCTACAAAAAAACACCTTCGGCGCCCACCCCCCCCCCTTAAGTAAAACGAAGCAAAGTTTAGGCTTTGTAATTTGGTCGATATAGTCTCTTATCACCACTTTAGGGGTTACTGTACTGCCTTCGCTCTGCAAAACACTACAAGGATAGGATAAATGACGGAGTGTTATGACCTATCGTGGCTTACGCATGCGTGGGCCATCAAAGTACTGGACGTGGCGTGGCTGAATGAAGAAGTTTAACCCCAACCAATTTTGCTCCCTTCTTTTATGTGCACGTTATAGACCGTCTGTCTTGTTGTCGCCTTTCAACAAAACAAACACAAACAAAAAAATCTATAGAAAAGGCACACAAAGAACCAAATGCTTTTCTAGTCAAGATAGTGATTGAGCAATTGTGATTATTTACCGTGCTGCATATATTTCCTCCATTGAATGTGAGCCGATAACGGCGATAAAATCAATCGTCCTTGAGACACTACGTATTAGCGTTACGAGCGTTTAAAAATAAAAGAATGGTAGAATTAGAATATCAGGTATGTTTTCTGTACCGTGTCTGTATTGTTTTCTGTTTGATTAATTGTCGGAGATCCGTTGGTCATAACCACAAATTCTAATTTGACATGCATGCGAAACCGAAAAAAATATTGAACCTAAATGGAATGCTCTATTATGGAAAACCTCATCTTTTTATAAAGCCTTTGCCACCAGTGTGTAAGGCGATATTGATCTACCCGTCATCCACCTGTTTATGTACGTAATTATGACAATTTGACATTGAAGATGTTATAACAAACCTACGAGCTTAAAAGCTAAGTTCCTTTTAGGCCATAAGTGGAAAAGATTCGGACTCAAACCGTTTACAGTCTCACTCCGCACTAAGTGAGACTTGCATCAAATCATTTTACATCGCTGTGTAGGGCCTTGGTGAAGCAGTCTGAATAAGGAATATTTCGAGAAAACTAAAGCTAAAAATAGAGTTGTGAGCGAAAGAAGAAATAACAATTTATTTAAATGCTAAAATATGCGAGAACTTTTCATTAGTAGGTTTATAATTAAAGGCCTCGCAGACGTTTGATGACGTTAGGAAACGAAATAGCAATGATTATCACATCCTTGAATCCGTCTTAATTTTTCCTTTTCTTCTTTTCCTCTATATCCTTGACCTAATAATTCTCGTTTTGCCGGCATTAAAATGAAATATTTTATTTCCTTCTAATACCAATAGAATAAGGTTTAAAATCCTTATTTTACATCCTTCAATTGCCATCTGCTGTCAACTTAGTTAATGTGTTGTCTTAAAAATATCTATATTCGTAATAACGCCAATCAAATAGTTTGAGGAGTAAAATCTTACAAAAGGTTTTTATGTTTCAAATTGTCAAAGGAAAAATATAATTTTTTTGGTCTTTCGTTTAGGGGTACAAAAAGAAGGGAAATATATTGTGATTAGAGAATTTCCCCTGGCAGAAATAATAAAATATTCATCCAAAAATTTGCTCAACCTCATGACAGTTTGTCATGCAAACTAGGAAATTCAGCTGTTTTCAATAAGGACACCTATTGAGTTGAACGCTCTTTGTTTTGTTTTAATCCTCATTCATTACACATTTCTCATTGGCGATTTTGTTAACACAAATACGCCAGTCTGCGCCTAAACTATGGGTGAATTAGAATTTTTAAAAATACCGGAAAAAAACAGTGGTGCGACTCATTGACTTGTCATTAGCTGTTTCATATTAAGAAAATAGCAAGTTTGAAAACTATTTTGTTGGTGGGGAATTTTATTGGAAAAAAGTAGCTAGGGTGAGAACATTTTCGTTTCCTCTATAAAGAACATAATGAAAAAAAAAACATCCACCTGCTATTTTCCATGACACTTTTGAGTATGAGAAATAATTATTCTTGTCATGTCTTGCTATTGTCTCAATTTAGAAAGTAAATACGGACCCAGCTAGTCAATTTAGTGCCAACAAACCTAAGGAATAATATGTTAGAAACTCACACCTAGTTTGGTCTCTGCTCTATTCCTTGTTCGCTCAAGATCGAACGTATCTCTTTGTCTAACGTCTACCTAAAGCCATTGAAAAAAAGATTAATACCTTCATCACCATTTCACGAGACGGTGATCTCAACAATGCCGAATTCATATCTGAAAGTTCGAAAGGAAACTCTAGCCAAAATGTTCTGGATAATGGTTTTTCTTGCGCTAATGGTTGGTGAGTATGAAAAAGTAAAATGGTAACCTTTATGTATGTAAACTTTTAAAAAAGTCGATATGTTAAGTAGCCTATTGGTTCTATGTTGTACTTTCAATTTCGCTTGTTTTTCGACGGAGTCCTTTAAAGCTCTCTTAGACGCTCTTTAAAGGAAAAGTACGTTGTAGAAAATTTTAATCCTAATGAAAGAACTTTTCCTTAGGAATTCGAAAATAATTCCCGTTTTATCCAGTTCGGAACGGAACCCACACAAATGCAGTTGAAACAAACAAATTCTAATTCGCCAAACACTGAGACGTCATTTGTAATAAGACTGATATCCTAAGCTAACAATGTTCGACAACAGGAGACTTCCTGCCGCTCTCCATGTAACATGAGGCTCTGTTTATATATGTATGAAACAAACTTGGAACAGGAGTCCTCCTATATTAAATTTTCCCAGGGTAGGTTATGTGGTAATTCTCTTAAGTACTCTTACTTTCAATTTTATCTTGTTCACTTCCATATTTACTCCTAATTTACAAAAGTAAAAGAGTGAGATTTCCTTGGTCTAGTGACCTCCATTAGGTAAACAAAGCATACAAACTGTAGACGTCTATTTACAATTTAATCAAAACTATAACAAATTTTTCGAACGTGATTGGTTATCACGAGCCCGATTTGAGCACCAATAGGACAGTCTACGCGTCATGCTTGTAATTGGACAGTGTAATAGGACAGTTTACGCGTCATGCCTGTGTAAGTGGACAGATCGCGTCATGTGCGCGCGCTATTGTCTCGCATTTCGCCGAGTAAACTGAAGGTTTTTTTTCTTTTTTTGTTTTTTTTTTTCTAATAAAAAAACCTATATCCGATGTCTAGTTTCTTTCCCAAATTCTGTCATAGCTTTGATTAATTGGTAACAGGACGTCGTGTCGTCCAATTCTGTCTGTAATCATACTCGTAATTTACGAATCGGACTCCCGCTTCACGGTCGTCCGATTTTGTTAATCACTCGTAGGATTACAGACCGAATTGGACTCCACTCAGTCCTATTACCATTATAAATAATGCGGTGAAGTTCATCCTTGGGACAAAAGATTACTACACCACTTTTAATAAAAGGGCTGACAATAAGCTGCCATTTTTTTTTTCCCGGTTTGCATTAGACTAACTTGCAAACAACTTTAGCGTTTTGTTTGGATGAGGTTTGTGACAAATGTTTATTCTGTCGTTGCCTACTCATTTGACCTATAATCTTCAAGTCTCTCATTTCTCACTTGGTGGTTGCCAAAAAGGGCTATCCTGAAAACTTTGGCTAGTAAACACGCAGGTTCAAATGATCGGGGCTCAGTAATACACTAAAGCTTGGTCCCTGCTATTTAAGTAATAATTCTCATCACTCAATTAGCAATGTGAAATAAATCCGTCGCGGGCACTGCGCTTTTCTTTAGTAAAAACTAAAAAATTGTCACTCCAGAAACAAAGATTTTATTTTAGAAGAATTAATTACCTCCGATTCCAGATCGAGTCAATCGCCAAGTAAATTCATTTCTTGACAGCATAAATTCTTGTTTTCTGATGACATCTCATGACAGTTGCCGAAAGAGCACCACTCGCAATTTCCAAGTTGTGAGCGCGTAAATATTTCTCCTTTTATCTTTTCCTGAGTTTCTTCGTCAACAGCGATTGCTTCTTCTCCTGAAGCCGAGCTATGTTGCGTCTCAAACATGAATGGGCGTATTACACCGTCTTGATTAAGATCCATGTCGAGAATTGAGTCATTATCGCTCTCTTCGCCGCTGTTTTCTTAGTTTTTTATCCTTCTTAGTCGAGGTTACAATGCTTGATCATCGCTACGTCATAACAAAGATAGAGGATTTAAATTTTGAAATCTCAATTTTTTTAATCGTGATTCCTGGCAACAAAAACACAAAGCATGTCAGTAAGTTTTGATTTAGGCAAACTTTTTATAGAACGTACTTCCCCTTTGCGGGGAGGGGATTACAGGGGATCCAATTTTTCTTTTTTTTTACTTTTTCATTTTTTTAAAGTTAATTTGCCAATTCATATCACTTTTGCACTTCTTAAATATAATACAAAAAGAAACTTTATGTTTTATCAAAGTATTTCCGTCAAGCACGGATTATTTGTTCTGTGCTTTAGCAATATACGTATAGACGCGGACGATGGCTTCTTGTGTTTAGTTACAGCTGTGTGATGATTTTCGTTGATTTTCGCGCTGAAACCAAGGATACCAAAGGGTATGCTCAACGATACTTGAAACAGGCTATCGCATGGATATGTATTTCTGTGCTCTCTTTAGTGACTATCGCATCGTCTTTATCGATCAAGTAACTGAAATGAATAATGGAAATTGTGACAGTCACCAACGAATGTTCTGCTCCCTAGTAATAATCTAACAGGAAATTTAAGCTGAAAAAGAAATGTTTGAGTCGTCATTGAGAGTTAGGTACAGTCAAGTATTTTCTCTCAAATTTAATCCATGTTTGTTTTTCAGGTCATAGTAACCAGTGCTCCAGGAAACACGCAGAAATGAAAGTTTCGTGGATAAAAGACAATTGTTCGCGGGTTGATGACATAACTGGGGAGCCCTCGTTAAAAATCAAATGCCGCAGAGGGAATTGTGCTGAGTGGTGCAAAGCCTTCGCTGGTTGTCTCCAGCAATCCATTGAGTGGCGGAAAAAATGCGCACGGAAGTTTAAAAAACTATTTAGGGGACATCGCCGGACAAAGATCAAGGTGAATGCTAGAGGAAACCAGTCATCATATAACATTGACGTCAAATTTTGTGGATGGAAGGGTCGTTATCAAGTTTACAAGTTATCTGATAGCGCATCGCAAGAATATGGTATGTATATGGTTCCTTTTGTTTTAAACATGAGATCATTCCTCATTAAGAATTTCATTAATTTGTTTATTCATAAATCCATCCGGCCGTCCGATCTCTCGATCGCTCCTTCGCTCTTTCGATCCCAGTCAGTCATCTATCAATCTCGTGTTTTCCTTAATCATCAGTTTACTTTTTAATTAATTTATTATTATTATTTTTTATTGCCCCCTCGTTTATTCAAATTACTAAACCATTTTTCGGGATTATGATGAGTGCTACTTATACGTCCTTTCTACATAGGTGATCTGCAAGAAGGGGAAAACTTACGCAAAGAGGTACTCTATTTATGTTTTTGAAAAAACATGTATATCGCTTTTAATTTCTTGGGTAAGAATTTAGTTCTCGCTTCTTGATATGCCTGCATAGATTAAGTCACTTTTCATCGTGAAACTCCTTTATGCAGAACTGTCTGCATCCCCACAATTGACATGAAAAGGACGTTGCTGTGTTTATAACACGGAGGCAGTGCGAATGTCGATGGGATCTATTTACAAATAGAGAAGCCATGAGTTTGCTCTTTTCTGTTGTAAGGCATGCAGGAAGCAGTAAGGCACGAGAAGTGATCTCCTATCCCCTTCTCCCCCCCCCTCCTCCCTCCAATATACTTGCTACAATAAGCCAATCAGAATCCTTGTCAGAAAGGTTCAAACAGTCTGATTGGTTGGACAAGGTGTCATAAATGTCAAACCATCAAAATTCATAAAATATCAAAGTTCTGCAATAGATCACAACCTGGAATAATTTGGGCGGCCGATGTAATTTCTGATGCTTGCTTCACCGCGATGACCGGAGACTGCCGTGACGATCTAGCCGCGGTGGACCTCAGCATGATCGCTTTCGCTCTGGCACCGGCTTGATTTGTATGAATTTTAACAGTTATGCCAGTTTGGCTATATTTCTCACAATTCCGTTTTGTTTTGTTTTATTTTTCAACACGAAACTTAAACTAGATGCGAACTTTTTTGAGGATTTGCTCAGCTCTTTGAAGTTCGTTGCCCTTTTTAAAATTAAACCATTTTACTGTTTTTTTAGTACTTGCTCAGCTCTTTGAAGTCCGTCACTGAGTATTATTCCGATGAGATACGCAACAAAAGTGAAGATAAGAAGGAAAAGATAGAGGAAATGTTTTTTGAATTGACCACGTTGGAAACATCCTTGCTGGAAACTGCACAACTCAAATTCAATCACACAAGAAGCGAATTTAATATGAGCAGCATTTATGCAGGTAAGGCATTTTTTTTTAATATAATAAGTATGTTGAACGTCACTGTCGTTCCGATTGAAGGGCTGGCCATGAAGAGATGTCCATTACATGAAATAGCCTCGCAATAACATTTAAGAACAACATAATTATACTAAGCATCAATAAACTAGTTCTTACTGTTCTATCTGTTTCGATTAAAACCTAATAATTTTGTTTTCTCTTAAAAGGCTTAGGTAACCTTTTTCCCCTATCGAGTCAAACTGATCATTTTTATTGTTGATATTACTAATTGTTATTATTGATATCATTTTTACACCTTTCCGTTAGATGTTCTGGTCAGGAAAACTTTCAACCAAAATGAAAGCCACCACTTTCGTCTGGAAGAACCTAACGGGGAAAATTTCCTGAGCATTCCATCGGGAAACTTGGACAATGGTTAAAAAAGTTTATTTAAATATTTCTTGTTCCAATATTATTTACTTATTGATGCATTTAGTTATGTTTTCATTTTAATTTTGTTAGTCGATATGGCGAAATTCATGAAATCGTTTCATCTTTATCGTTTTCTCAGGTTCAGTAGTACTCGGAATGATATACAAAGACCTCCATCAACTATTCGTCACTAACCAGACAGAGAACAGTACTCTGAACAATTCCAGGTCACCCGGCAATTATAACTATACGTTTATTTTCCATCTTTGTATGCATAAACGACTGATAAATTTCCTTCACGCTAGAAACTGAAGGGTTTTTTACGTTAGACAATTTATATCTATTTCTCTTCTGTATACTTGAAACGGTGCGTTTGAAGTTTAGTGATTCTTACTTTCATCGCTCTGAAATAGGGAAGTCACCTCCATTATTATGGCTGCCACAATAACTCCTCCACCCAAGAAACTTCAGGAAAATATAACTTTGAAGTTCAAAAACATTAAGGTAGCGAGACTTACGCTGTTCTTTCCTGCCGATTTTGTTATACCTTGTCATTTCTGGTTTCTGTCTTTTTTTCTATTCAACTCTTATCATGAGGCTAGCGTTGGGCTAATTAAGTGGGAATAATGTATGATTCATGCTTACCGGCGTCGTCTCAGATTGATGCGGACGCTTATATCTAAATTAAGTCAAGTCGCGAAAATTATCCAGTTACCTAAATTGTGTTGCCCTTTGTTCAAAGTTTTTTCACGTAAAGCTCTCCATGCGTGAAGAGCAAAGTTTTGAGAACTAGTGAATACATGCAAGTTCTCACAGGAATCATCGTCTAACAAACGGATTTTCACACTTTGATAAGTTACATTCATAAAAAGATATGGGGTTCCGTTCGCATGACTTGTGCACTAAAATCTCACTTGATCGATAAATTATCTATCTTACGTTTCAGTTCCATTGGCTGGTCAGGAGAAGGGTGCTATGTCAAATCTAACGATGCATACCAAACAGAGTGCACCTGCAATCATTTGACTCATTTTGCTGTTCTTCTGGACACATCTTCTGGAACAGACACTGCCGATATATCAGCGGTAAGTGTCACCACAACGCCTGCAACTTCCCTGTACGATAGTATTTGCTGGTACATTCAAACAAATACCTATTGATTTAACATTTTAGTTGTTAAGGTAGAATAAAACTTGGTTAAGTCGATGTATTAAGATTTGTAAGTCTTTTAAAGTATTGTTTTCATTTATATTTTCACCCATAAAGAATGATGAAAAGAACTTGGAAATTCTCACATACGTCGGGCTGACCCTCTCTGTAATTGGGATCTCATTGACGATAATCAGCTATGTTACTCTCACGTGAGTTAAGTAGTTAGAAATTAGAAATGTGTGTTAGTCAAAAAAGTGGACAATTGATCGCAAAAATGTTTCCAAGTATTCTGGGTTCTGTCAAAGGACAGACACGAGTGATACTCAGACCGTACTAACCGTACTTTGCTCCTTGTTTCCTCATTTCTTTGAGTTCCATGATGACGAGAAGACCTGGAGCCATCTACTGTATTCCTCGAAAAAAAAAATAATGATACGAAAAAGAAAAAAAAAGGGGGAACCCGTATCACTAACAATATCCTAGTCCTAACTTCTTAAAGAGAAAGAAAGAGTTATATTTATAAAATAAAGGGAAAAAACAATCACCTACATCGTAAATAACGAATGTCTCTTTTATTTCTTTTTAATGTTTTTTTTCTTTTCTTCTCTGGTCTATTTTTTTTCTCGTTTTTCTTTGCGTGCCAGAGACATGAGACGACCTTTATCCCAGATTCGAGTGAGTCTCGTCGCTTCTCTTGGAGCAGGACAAATCATGTTTCTTGCCGGGATTAGAGCGACTGGGAACAAGGCAAGAATTCCGTGGAAATTGAAGTTTTTACAGTCCAAAACTGGGCAGTTTTAAATATTTCGGTTTTTTTTTCTTTTTTTTACATTTTTACTTTTGTCGAAAATTAGTTTTCTTGTATTTCAGTTAAAAACGGGGTTTATTATGAGCTGTGCTTCCTCTAAATCTTTCTTTTCGATTGGTCAGTCTCCAAAAAGAGTCAGGACGACAGCATTATTAATATTTACGAAGCAAATCAATCATGTGTCATTGTATATATCATTCAGGCAGATTGCAAAAATCCGTTTTCGTTTTCTATTTTCTCCAGGGAAGTTGCGTTACAGTGGCGGCCCTTATGCAGTACTTTTTGATGGCCGCCTTCAGCTGGATGCTGGTCGAGGGAATCTACCTCTACCTGTTTATTGTAAAGGTCTACAACGTTGGCAACAAGTTAAGAATGTGCCATGGAATTTCATGGGGTAAGGTACTCTATGGCTATTAAAATATTTAAACACTTTTATTACCATCCTTTAATGTTGATCTAGTAACCTATGTCCCAGAAGTCCAACTAATTTTAGAAACAGTTCCTTCGAATTCAAGAATACGCGGCCAGGAACATACTCTATCACTTATATTGCGCAGTATACATTCCTATATAGCTCTGACTAGGGGTTTCAAAAGGTAAATATCTAATGTGGAAAGGTAAATTATGCCCTTGACAGGTGAGAATAAGTTTCAAATCTGATTTTTGTTTCAATTCTGTAGGCCTTCCCGCGCTCGTCGTTGCCATATCCCTGAGTATTGCAGCTGGAAAAGATGGGATCGGAAGTTTTTTGGCTAATAAATAGTTAGGAGAGTTTCATTGTACTGATCTAATGTCATCACACTCAAGTTTCCAGGAACTGATGTAACACAAGTATTTTAGAAAACGAACAACGAACTTGTTACAGCTGAAAAAAATGCACGTATAAATAAAAAAATGATCCTTTTTCGTTTTTTTTATGTACCGGCTTATTGTTATTGTGTTTTAAGATGGAAGACAAAAGTTCTGAGCCTTAAGATCGGTTTTGAATCGGATTGTTTAGGCTGTAATTATGGATTCCATCAGTCTATATTCTGTAGAAAAGGCATTCGATGTGTGGAAAGTCCATATTGGTATTTCAAGTAATCATTTACAATCACATCATCTATTTATAGCTTAACCTGTTTTTGTTTTGTTTTGTGTTTTCATTAAAGCTGCTGGATGTCTTCTGCCAATGGTCTGATCTGGATATTTATAGTATTTGTCGTGCTGATTGAATTTGTAAGTGAAAATAACCAGGATTATCATTATCGAAACTAAGAAAAACTTTCATGGGGTTCACATGGGTCTATTTTCTTTTTTAAGTTTAACATTCTGATCCTCGGGCGGGTTATCAAGGAGATGGTGACTATGCAACAAGAGAAGGACAAACGTAGCGAACAAATAAGGTATGGTCTTCTCCATAGAAGGAAATCCGGCTTCCGGAATGTTCCTTCTCTAGAAAACAACAATCTGGAATCCAACCTTTTTAAAAATCTACCGAGGAAGAGTCCGAAGTCCAAAAAGGAACAATGAGAAACCATCTTGATAGAATTTCGACCTAATAGAGCTTTTTCATCAACAATCACATCATCAAAAGTCCCTTATTTTGCTCTTTTTTTTGTTATTGTTGTTGTTTTTATTTGTTTTGTTTTATCCAGACTTGGTGTGAAGGCATGCATAGTTATGATTCCTCTGCTGGGAATCTCGTGGTTATTTGGGTTATTGGCACCCTTACACAAAGCTTTCGCCTATATCTTCACGATCCTCAACTCTTCACAAGTGAGATGTAGATAAATGTCTGTGGAGATCAAAAGACGTTATATTCTGTCAGATGCACAGTCCCGGGAACCTTGGGATGGTGTTATGTTGAACCCATTACTCTGCCAACTCAGTGGATTAAAAACTGTGTAAATCTGGTGAAAATCATAATCAAATCATCATCGTCATGATTTAAAAAAAAACTTCTCACATCCCATTAATTCAACAGGGTTTCGTGATCTTTCTTCTTCACTGCGTGAGGAACAGCGAGGTCAGTGATTTATCCCTTAAAATTGCATCACAAGGTCTGGTCTTACATCGGTTTTTGAAATTACAGTGGAGACCAGGTAGTTTTATTTAATTTCAATGTCATTTCAAAGAAATTAAGCCCTAGTTCAAAGGGCTCGTGCATAGAAACAGACTAACTGAAAAGCAAAAGCAACAGGACAAACGGAAGAACTATAGGACCAAAATTATCATTGTACTCACATGTTCTCTAGGGTATGGAGCTCCACAAGTGCGCAGGAGCTCCGCTGTTAAACAAATTTTCGTGGCTGAGGATGAGGGTGGGGGAAGAAAGAAGAAAGGACATGGATTCCAGATCAAGAGTCAGAATATAAATTTAATGCTGATTATATTTCCTAGAGAGAGAAAATAAAAAGAAATTATACGACATTTTTTACATTTTATGTCGATACACGTGCAGATTAACTCCAGGTGGCTGAATGACGTCTAATTTAGTTGTGACTTGTGAGAATTGGCTGTTGTTGAAAGCCTGTACATCATAAAGTCGAGGAAAAAAGAGTACGACTTACAAACTCCTTGAATGCAAAAATGTGGCTAATTTAACTTGCAATTTACAGGCAAGAGCTCGTTTGAGAAGAAGGATTCAGGCCATCTTTCCAGAAATGGATGTTGGAACTAGCACTAAACGAACATCCGTAATGCCCTCAGAAGTAAATGAGGATTCCACAGCCATTGCTGCGCCGAGAAAAATAAAGGTTCACCCACTGAGTGACGGCGAAAAAACTAAAAGAGTCTCGAACAAAACCTCTATGTAGTTGCCGATATGTTACATTGTACATAACAACTATAACTTCGTAGTGCGGTATATACAAGCAAGGTATTGTAAGTAAGGAATCCGTCAGCTAATTATTCAATATAATATCAGAATAGAACTCTGACATAAAGGCCACGAAAAAAAAAAAAAAACCAAAACAAAACAAAACGATAGTCAGGGAAGTAAGTAAGTCGCTCTCTCTAGTGACGAGAGTCCTAATTTGTTTCAAGTTTTTTCAGCTGCTAATACTAAACCTTAAGTTGGTTTGTCAGTGCATTGTCTGTGATTTGAGACCAGAGCCCGGTTTCTATACAAGAAACTATTGAACGTTGAGGTTTTGATCTGCTATTTGTAGATGCATATGCATTTTGAATTAATTTCTGCTAACTCATGATTACCAAACGTAAAGCATTTCATGTTCTTAGAAAGTTAATTTAATTGATGAATCCATGGTATGACATTTGCATCTGCTTTTAAAAAGATGGAAACGGCCAACATTTAAAGCTTGTAATTAAAGCTCTCCGTGGAGATTGAGACCATATTAATCTTAGCATGTCTCTTTACAGCGTAGGTCTGTGTAAAAAGAAAAAAAAAAAAAAAAAAACCCCTTTTGGCACCCCCCCCCCCCCCTTAAAAAACCAAGCAAAGTTGAGGCTTTGTAATTTGGTCGATATAGTCTCTTAACATCGCCTTAGGGGTTACTGTACTGCCTTCGCTCTGCAAAGCACTACAGGGATAGGATAAAGGACAGAGTGTTAAGACTTCCCGTGGCATACGCATGCCTGGGCCATCTAAGGACCTGGCGTAGCCTGGCTGCCTCAAGCAGTTTAGCTCCAACCCATTTTGTTTCCTTCTTTTTTTTTTTTTTTTTTTTCGTGCATTTTGGACTGTCTGTCTCTTGTTATCACCTTTTAATAAAACAAAAACGAAAGAAATTTGGACGAAAGACATTCAAAGAACCCAATACTTTTCCACTCGAGAGACTGATAAAGCAATACCAATTATCTACTGTACTACACATTTTGCTTCCGCTGAACATAAGCTGATAACGGCAAGTAAATTAATCTTCCAAAAAAACATTATGTGTTTGCGTGACAAGCATTTAGCATTTTAATTACTATTTCAATCATACTGCCTCAGGTCATTGACATAAAGACCCTGTCAGCTTTCAACTGAAAACAAAACACAGAATGGTAGAACTAGAATATTAGGTATCTTTTCTTCACCGCGTCTGTATTGTATTCTGTTTGATTTATCGCCGGATACCCGATAGTCACAAGAACAAGTTCCAGTTTGATTTGCATGAGAAAACTGAAATAACACTGAATCTAAATTAAATGCCATATTATGGAAAACCATATCTTTTTATAACTATTTCATTATTAGTGTACGGGGCGATATTAATCTATCCATAATCATAATCATCCACCTGTTTTTGTCTGTAATTATGACAATGTGACATTAGAGATGTTATTATGAATCTACGAGCTGAAAAGCTAATTCTTTTTAGGCCATGAGGGGAAAAGATTCGCACCCAAATCGTTTATAGTCTCACTCCGCATTAAGTGAGATTTTCACCAAATCATTTTAACATCGCTGTGTAGGACCCTAAGTGAAGCAGTCTGAATAAGTGCACTTCGCGAGGCAAATTCGCCGCTCTCAATATTCTCATCGATAATTTGGATCCTTGAATGTTAAAGAAGAACCCCCTCTTCTGGACGAAACCTTTCGACGAAATGCTTTTGCATGGAATCTTAATCATTTTTGGTAAGTACTTATATGAAACCAATTCGCTGTAGTCAAGCAGTTTAACTAGCTTCCTGTTATGTTTTCCTCCTGATACCATCACAATATGTTTCCCAAATTTTTTGATGCAATTGATCGACGTGAAGTCTGGTACAAAAAAAGAAAAAGGAGGAGATGAAAACAATTTTGAAAGCCGAGAGCTTTTTTTTTTAATTTCTCCAGATTGTTCCCTTTGTCATATCATAGCTATAGCTAAATCGAAAGACAAACACGATGTAATTTAGGTGGCGAAGCCGGAACACAAGAGATACCCCCTTTCCTAAAATTCTTGCCCAAACGTTTTTGATTTTCTCTGACCTATTTTTATTTTCCACGCGGACATTGAGCACTACCGTCTTATATTCATTTCCTTTCTTGTAGTAAACGAAGTCGCTCGTTAGAGCGAGGTGACAATGGAACGGCTTTCTCTATTTAAGCAGATGTACTTTCTAGACCGTTCTATTGATTTAAGCGCTCTCTAACGACGGAAGCCTTTCAAGCAATAATTAGACCAGAAAACAGAAATCGATCTGAAATGTTTCAAATATATGAGTCATTATAGTAATAAGTTACGAGAATTGTGCTAGGTTTTTTTTTTTTCTGGGCAATTCGACTCTCAAGAAAAACTTTACCGATGTCCCGGTATAGTTTACATAACAGGAACACTGAATTCTGACGGAGAAATAGGCATCACAGGGCCCTATAAGTTATCAAGGCCTCTTCAGGGTCTCGTGCTTCACTGGGTAAAGCTTACGATACTGTTACATTTTCTTTTAGTTATCTAGTTAGAGGCAATCTCTGAAAATTCCACCTTGTGTCCCTCGCTATAGATGCTTTGTTTAATATACAAAAAATAAATAATAATAATAATTACAAAATTTAAGCATTTCCAATTTTTTTTTTATTTTGACATGAGGATTCAAACTCGGCACAATTCCTTTGACTCGTTAATCTCTCACTTCATGTTCGTTTTAAAGGATCCTTCGACCACAAACAAATCGCTTATTCCGCTATTTTCTATGCTATCTAAACTCGTGAAATTTTCATTGTGGTCTATCATCCAACCGCATCAGAGCGATTTAGATATATTAAGGTCTTAGATGGTTGTGGCAGTCTTCTGAAATTATGAGTTGTTTATTCTAGACACATATTTTAGTTTCCCGCAATTTCCTCGAGGAAACTTCTCGTATTCTTCTCGCGTTCCTTCACTTGAAAGGCTTAAAGCCACGGAGAGAACGAAATGGATTTTACTTCAAAGGCCACCTTCTACCTGTGGAATGGCGGGAAGTCTTGGCTAAAAGGTTCAACTAAGAGCCAATTTGTAGAGATTTTATTGCATCAAAGCGTCGACAAACTCCGCGCGAGGTGCGGGACACAAGAAGCAAATGACGAGTCAAAAAAGTATTACTACTGCCATTCGCAAGCGATTTTAAACTTCTGCCCTCAGGGTAGCTCTGACCAGGATATGTTTTAATGACTTTCCTTTCCAATGCGATTAAGTGCGTTGGTTTTTAATAAGGTGTCATTTTCTCCACATTGGCGTCAAATATCTTCCATTCCCTTCTTTAAGCATATTTTGAAACTCTGTACGTTTCCACCACAAGTGAAGGGTGTCAGATTTGTTTTTAGGGAGCGTAACGCTCCTCCATCTACAAATCCTCCCTCTACGACTGGTAAAGCACGACACTTGCAAGGCGTTGAGTCAAATGCGAACGATTTTATCAGCAGTTGCCCCTCTATGGTTGACTAGGTAGTCTTACGTCTCCTTCAGGTATCTTACTATCTAAGTACCTGTTTTTCTATTGATTCCTCTGACCCCCTCCCGTCTCCATCCCTCAATCATTTCTTTTGGTTTTGTCTTTATTTCAGGTGCTATGACTGTGCCAACTTCAGCACGAGGTATGTATTGTTTTGCTTAAAAAAAAAAAAAAAAGAAAATTAGAAAATTATCATTGAGGTTCAACATTGTTCAACTTATTATCCTCTGTCGTCAGAGGTTATACACTATATTATATCTTGCCAGATAAATCATAAAATGTGACCTAGTCCAAAAGATCACTGATTTGTCATTGCTGGTAATTATTCCTACAAAATAGGGGGGACAAGTAAACAAAGGGAGGTTTCGGTCTATAAACTTTAAAAAGTGGCATCAAACTCAAAGCAGGCCCATCTTAAACAATTCAGAGAAAATTCAGAAAAAGCTGAGTGTTCTGAAAACCCTAGTTATCTCTAGCTGGGGTGGAATTCGAGTAGTAAAAGGAAAAAAAATCAAGTGAGAAGAAAGTTCAATCAAGTAAATTTACTTACGGAAAAATACTAATTTAACAAAAATATATAAAGTATGTGAACGAACGAGGAACAGCATTGACATTTAAAAATGTCTCCATTTAATGTTTTCGTATCTAACGCAGATGGGCATTGCTCCCGCCCTGATGAAACACTCGGACCCTCAGAGCTGAACGGTTCAGACTGTCAGCAATATGTTAGAGAAATGTCTCAGTACTGGCATAGGATGAAATGTGGCAATGAAACACCTGCATCTATTGACGAATCCTGTTGTCACTCTTGGTGTGAGAAGCTGACCTCCTGTTTCAGTCAGTTGCCTCCTTGGAAAAAAGACTGTGTTAGAATGTGGAGGTGTAGGAAAAAACCTCGCAAACAGATTTCGATTATATTGACAAATACAACAGACTCGTCGTATTTGGGCAGAATCAAAGTGAAACAGTGCTGGGCGAAGAAACCGAATTTTCCCGCCATTAAGATAACACCATCAAGCGAATTACGTGTATTTGATTTTCTTGTAACATTTTTAGTGCCTGTTGTTGTTGTTACTTTAATTTCACCCTTTAGAGAATGTAGAAACCAATCCCACTCTTAGCCCCAGTCGGCGCAGCTATCAATACAAGTTCGACTTTCAAGCAAATAAGAGGAGTGAGCTCTAGTAGAAATTAATGTCGTGGCGAGTACGTTTTCCAGTATTTCCTATGTTATTCATATTTCCTATTTATAATCTTGTAATCGGTTATTCCATTCTTAATCCATTAGTATAGGTAATCACATGATTTCGAGTGCAATTTGGAATAAATAAGCAAGAGTAAATTCTTTTAAAGACAAACAAAATTGCACGAGAAAAATCATGTGATTACGCGTTAATAATATACATGGAAAAATACGAGATGGCTTATCATAATTAAATATAAGCAGAGCGCGCGCATCAAGTGCAAAAAATAATTTATTCAAACCGTGCCTTCGGTCAAAACAACCGCGTAGGATCAAAACAATAATAGGCAATGATATCTTCACATCTTTGAGGTGCAAGAAAGTTCAAAGTCCGACTAAACAGTTCAAGGAATAGTTCAGTCTGTGTCCGAAGCACTTTCGATGTAATGGAATCATCGTTTCCGAGGTTTAACTATGACTGTTTTTAATTTCGGCGTTGGATCGCTCGAGCAAAGTGTTAAGCTGGGTCGGCTCGTAATTTTCGATTTCTTTGGCAATTACCTTCTCTAAACACCACTTTTTCCAAACTGACAACCAAAGAGCAGTGCTTTTTATAGTGTTTTTCAGCTGCGGTGCCGAAAGAAAACCTACTTAATACGCCGGCCATTGTTTCGCTCGCAAATTTTCAGATTTTCAAATTTTGTTGCGCCATCCAAGGCTCGCATTTGATTGGCTATCTGTGAGTTTCTTTGATTATTGACCAATCAGAATGTCTGATTTGTTTCTTTCTTTGCACTGAATTAACCCTCTTCTGCACTAAATTAACTCTCTTCTGCACTGAATTACCTGAAAACTGCATTTATCTTAACCAATCAGAACTGAGTAATTTTTCCATGTATATTATTATGTTCGTAATATTTTGCCAAGAAACCATGGCAATAACGTGTAAATAGAAGACTTCGACGTCAGGAAATTAAAACTCCTCTTAAGTTTATTGCTGGTGCCTTGGTTAAAGAAAGCTTTTCCACAGACTGTGTCGCCCAGAGTTTATCAATTCCTTTAACAGTTAGACTACTGAAGGACATATCTAAACCAACGACTATTACCTTATTGAAACTTTTTTTCGCCTTCTCAGTTTTCAAACAAGAAACTTGTTGACACCATCCTAAAGGAATTGATTGGCTCTTCTAGAAATGATGTAAATCAAGAAAAGATGGAACGCACTTTCCTCACTGTCACTAATTTGGAGGAGTTCATTGGGAATTATGCTCAAAATCACCTAAATCAAACCGTACCTAAGATGAACATCAGTAGTGAACATGCAGGTACGTGGATCTTAAAAGCTGATTTGGAAGTCAGCTCTTGATTTCTAATTCAGAGTTCAGGATGAATACATGCATCATTCGTGGCAGATTTTAGAAACGTTTGCTAACGCTACTACTTATTCGACGTTTTTGGTATAAGCTTTGTCTGTAGCAACCCTCCATCGAATCATTTTCGCGACACCTGAAACGCGTTGGACCTCTTTTAAGGCAGTTTATAACAGCGAATTCCTATGGTTCATCAGTTGTCTCCAATTCCAAGAATTCGTTCTATTTTATATATGTTCTTCAATATCGTCATACATATGAAGTCATAAACAGGGAAAATGAATAAATAAATTAAGAATATAAAAATAAGAAACCATTCGAGTTCATTCCAGTGATATGTTTATGGATTTAAAAATGATCACCAGCACTTTATCTGACAATTGAATGGAGAACGCTCCTTCGACTGATGATCCCTGCAAACTACTTGCATTTACTACTTCTAAGTGATGGTTCTTCAGTCTTTAAGTCCTAAAACTTTTGAGGACGATAACTTGTTTATTTTGGCCCTCACGTTAAATAAGTCGCTGTTTTGCAATTAGATATTTTGGTCAGGAAGATTTTCCACGAAAATGAGACTGGAGTACAACTTGAGGATGATAAAGGAGAAAACTACGTCAGCCTTCCTGTTACAGGCTTCGATAACGGTTTGAGAACTATCTTTTTCACTTTTTTTTAGCATAGAAAATTATATATTTTTCTCGTATTATTCAAATTATTTTAGCGATTATCTGTGTTCTTGGTTAAAAAGGGGACTGGGTTCAAATACTAAAGACATTGAAGGTGAATGGCTGATATCTTAAGCTGGTTGTTTTGGTTTTCTTTTATCAGTTCATTTCTCCTTTGGTCGAAATGTTTTACTCTTATAACAAGGCTGGGCATACCAATGAAACATGCTAATAAACGCGCAAGGTTTTAAACCGTGATAACTTGTACTTTTTTCTAAAAACTCTCGAAGTAATACAATTGTTTTTTTTATTTTCATCTTAGGATCAGTGGTACTTTGTGTCATTTACAAAGATCTCCATAAAGTATTCCAAACCGACTCTACTCCTCTCAATAGATTCAGGTTTGCTAAAACTTAGTATTGTATTTCGTATCTTTTATTTCAAATCAATCTATTTTGGTTTGCTGATAACCTACGAAGGGAATGTTAATAATAAAAGAGAAACATCTTCGACCTCAGTTTGAATTTCCCCTTTGTTTTTGTTTCTTTCGTTTTGATTCTCTTTTGCTATCTTTTTATTAATTTCTCTTTTTGTCCTTTGTCGGTCCGTTTGTTTGTTTAATTGGTTTTCTTTTCATTTTTTTTTTTTCATTTTTTTTTCTTGTTTATTTGTCTTTTGTTTATTCAACAGTAATATCTTGTCTGCAACGATATGGCCGAGGAACAACACTTTCAGAAAGAATGTTACACTGAAATTTAAAAACCTAGCGGTAAGATACAATTAATCAAGAGAGAGCTCCATCTGCATTCGTAACGCTATAAAGAAATTTACACAGTGCTGATATTTCTGGAAAATTCAAGCCAAAATTTATACTTCCTTTTGCATCCCTTTGATCCATTTTTGTCTCGCTACATATTTTGTTGCTGTTGTTTGTTGCTGTTGTTGTTGCTTGTTATCGTGTAATTTGTTGATTTCGTTTGTTTGGTTTTGCTTTACTTTTGTTATTCCGTTTTTTTTTCCTTTTTTCTTTTTGTTTTGTTTTGATTTGATTAGATTTGTCTTTTTTCCTTATTATTACTATCATTATTATCAATGTTATCATCATCATCATCGCTATTCTTTTTATTATTATTATTATCGTTACTATTATTATCATTTTTAATGTTGGGGGTGGGGAAAGGGTTTTAAAAAAAGCCGGTGAGAGCACTCCCATCTCCACATTAGCCACCAAGTCGCTGCACTACGTAATACTAACAGTACTTTACGGTTTCAGGACGCGCCGGATGGAAGTTGCGTGTTTTGGAATACTTCGGAAAACAGGTAAACAGCTTTGAATGAATTGATGACATCGTTCACTTCAAATAATAAATTTGCGTAAGGACTTTGCTTTTATGCACTGGTATATCACATTGTGTGTTCACCTCTTACTCCTTCTTTCTCTTACTCATTCTTTTTCTCCTTCTCAGGCTTCCGCGTGTTAATGTCTATAAAACTGGCTATTGTTTTGTTTCTTATGTTCATTGACTGACTGCTTTTGACTGCTTTTCTAACTGTTTTCTGATGTAATTTGCTTAATTGCTGGTCCGGACAAGGGTGTCTCCTGCTATCGAAGAACGAGTCTCACACCGAGTGTAGTTGCAATCATTTGACTCACTTTGCCGTTCTTATGCAGTTTGACAGGGGAAGTAGAGATAACGGTTTAATTAAGGTAAGAATATTGCTAAGCATACATGCATTGATTTCAGAAGGCACTAACACTAGATAGCATTGGTGTAGCACTTTTTCATAAATTTGCATTAATCCAGGTATATGATGTGTGGCACTCTTCCGTTACAAGTATTGAATCACTGTTTTTGTATTCATTTCTAAGACGGAAGAAAAAACGCTGGAAATTCTCACATATGTGGGCTTGTCTTTTTCTCTGGTTGGAATCACTTTAACAATCATCAGTTATGCTGTTCTTACGTAAGTACATGACATAGTTACAAGCAAGCATTGCAAAGAATATAGACTCAACAAGAAATGATATCAGTTTAAATGTGTATAGCTAAGATTCCTTTAAGCAGCCAAGTCGAATCATAAAAATATAACAAGGCTTTGTATAAAATGAGGATAGAACTGATGTAGAATAAAATCAGTCATTTGCTTTTGATTAGAGACATGAGGGGGCCCTTATCTCAGATTCGAGTGAGTCTAGTCGCTTCACTTGGCGCAGGTCAACTTTTCTTCCTAGCCGGAAGTGGTGCTGTTGAGAACAAGGTGAGATATTATATCAAACGAGAAGACAAGAATCTCTTTCGGTAAATCTTTATGACTTTCAACCAACTCTTAGCTCAAATTTTTCATTCCTGTTCAGTCTGCCTGTGTTACAGTAGCAGCTTTTGTTCAATATTTCCTAATGGCCGCTTTCTGCTGGATGTTGATCGAGGGAGTTTATCTCTACCTGTTTGTTGTACAAGTTTACAACATCAACGACAAGATGAAGGTTTCACATGGATTTTCATGGGGTAACTATTAATTAAAAACCCATTCTGTCTTTGATAATCTTTTGAAAAGTAAAAGATGAAAATTGCCACCAGCATCTTAGACATCATCATCGTCATTTGACTCTGTTGTCCCTTCGAATTTCGAATCCACAGGTCTACCCGCTCTCGTCGTTTCCATATCGCTGGGCATTGCAGCAGGAACCGGGCCGGGGATTAAAAGCCATGTCAGTGAGAAGTTGTAAGAAATAAATGATTTTTTTGTCAAGCGATTTCTGTCACGAATCCTGTTTTTTTGTTCTTTTTTTGTTTTTTTTTCTGTTTTTTTGTTTGCATTGTTTTAAATTTTTGTTTTTGTCTAAAGGTTGGCTTGTTTTTGTTGTTTTGTTATTTCTTTGTTGTTTTCAGTGGTAATCAAACATGGAAAGTACTGCGTACATGCATGGGCAAAAAAGTAATTAATTGATAAATTATCAAAGTTTCGCATAATTAATTTTTATTTAGCTTCTGGATGTCATCCTCTAACGGCATGGTCTGGATATTTGTTGTATTCGTTGTGCTGATTGAGTTGGTAAGTTAAATTCCTAAATATTTTTTTTTCATTTTCATCTTGCACGCTTTGCTTTCAAGTCTCTTTGTATCGTGAGCATTTTCCCCGCCGCTCTTTTTAACCTCTTTGACTCTGTTCAATAGTTTTCAACAAAACATGAAATATATGAAGGATACATTTTGCTTGAGGTGAACCCTATCATTGGGAGATGCCGTCAGCGGTTACTGTGCAAGGTTTTTAGGTTGAAAGTCCTGGTTCGAGTCTCTACTGGGTTATTGTGTTGTTTTGTTGGGCGAAACGTTTTGCGTTCATAATGATTTTAGCCATCTCCTTCCAGCTGTATAAATATTTACTAACGAATGGTCAAGGACACCTCAAAAATGTCTTGCGGAATGCTAGGGAAGGGGAAGGGTTAAAATCTTGACGACCATCCGCTAAGGCAAATAGGACCACTTAGCTCAAGTGAAAACTCCTGTTTCCTTTATAAAGTTTGATTGTTTTTAGATTTTGTTTTGTTTGTTTTTTTTCATTCTTATCACTGTTTTCAGTTAAACACATTGATACTGTTGCGAGTTATCAAGGAAATGACGATAATGCAGCATGTAAAAGACAAAGTCAGCGAACAAATAAGGTAAGCATTTCAGTGGCGCCAGTGGTAGATTCATATAAGTCATTAGCCTCATACTTTGCTGCCTAATGTCAACTCACAACAATGGTAGCAGATTATCTTGATTTTTTTTCTTCCTGATTTTATAGCCTTGGTGTCAGGGCATGCGTGGTGATGATTCCTTTGCTAGGGATCACGTGGCTATTTGGTCTTCTTTCGCCCCTGCATAAAGTGTTTGCGTACATTTTCACAATTTTCAACTCTACTCAGGTAAACTGAATACAGCTTTTGGTGAATGAAATCCGAGCTCATACGATACCAACGTAAAAGCAAATTCTATGGCAATTTGTTCTATCCCTTCCTTACAAGTTTACCAGGTGGTAAACTTAGTGTAATACAGAGACAAAGTAGAGAACTTGTGATTAATAGCAGTAAAGGTTTGGACATTTTTACTGCCCAGTAACGTTTGATACTGAGAGGTTTAGGGTTAGGGGGGGGGGGCTTGTATGAAAGCACTTTAAATCTACTAAAGGCGTTAATGGGATCTCTGAAATTACAATTTAACAGGGCTTCTTAATATTCCTCCTTCACTGTGTGAGAAATTCAGAGGTATGTTATCAAATGTTATTTTAAGTCTCTTTGTAAACTTTAGATTTTTGCTCAGAGTTTTACCTGGCAAGGCTTCCACTTTGAAATAAGAAATTAAATTCGATGGTTGTATTTATGCGAGGCACATAGAGTTGTTCAGTTCTTGAGATCGTTTTGATATCAACTTATTCATGCAGATTAGATCTCGCTTCAAAAGAAGGATCAACGCTGTCAACCCAACTGCAGATGAAGTAACAGGCGTTAAGCGAGCTTCGCAAGTAAATGAAACAATCAGCGTGATACTGCCAAGGAAATTGAATGTCCAGCCTCCTAATAACCATGAAAGTGTCATTGGGATCTCTGAGACCTGAGTCATCATCATAGTGTTGTTCCTTAGCTTAGATCTGTGTATATCTTAAATTAAGAAAATTTTAGGTAAGGATAACCAGCTTCAGAAGGCTCTGACAGCTTTGTATCGATCCGAAAAGTAATAAAAGAACGTCTCAAGTAATCGGTATTTACGGTTTCCTCCTTGTGGAAAAAAGAGCATTGGATACAGTTGTGTTTAGAAGGTCTACATCCAAGGCATCAGTTTACAGAGTAATGAAACTATCATAAGCCACCACAAATTGTACGGCCCTCACCAAAAGGAAAACACGTTATGCATACCAATGGTAATCAAGATATTATTACTCTCAATAGAGGCAAGGGTTTAAAAAGAAAGAAAACAAACAAAAAAAAAAAAACTATGAATAGTTTTTTCTCTTGGCAGTCTCGCTTTTACCTGTGTAGTTGTTTTAGAATTTTTCCCTTGGGAGTGGCGGTTGAGAAATATCTCCTCATTAACCCTATGAGTCTCCATTCTGATTAGTCCGTTCCTCCCGAAACACGCACGATAGCTTGAGAGTTGAGCATCGGACTTTGAAATTTTGACAATGGAACTTAATCCATTCAAAAAGCTTTCTCAATTTGTCATATGTCCAGAAAAGAAAAAAAAAACCTTTTTTTCCCTTCCTCATTCAAAAGTACATAACTAATAACATTTTAATGAGGAGCGTGTAATGCCTCGATCGAATCTTTTCGTGGAATAACAGAAAGAAATTTCAAATAATCTCGATTTAAGCCTTTGTCGTTAACAAATGAACAATCAACCCTCTTTACTTTTTTTATTCTCGTGCTTTTAATTTTACATGTTAAAATACCAACAAAAGCAACAACAGTGCTAACTTGTAACAATTCTCAGAGAAAGATAAGTTTGCACCATTGGTGATAATCAAATTACGATTCATTTATCCACCGACTTTTGAGTAAAGATATGACAAGAAACCAACCATAAAGGGCTTATCTGAACAGGAAAATCTCCAACCCAAGTGCTCCACCCACTTAACAAGGGTGCACTCGTCGTCGACCTTTTGCCAGAAAAGTGGGAATTCCATGCACTAAATCAAAAAGAAAAATTCGCGACGTAAATAGCAAAGTAATTGAATGAAATGTCGGAACAGTCCCCCAGGGCTCAAAACCCATTTACTCGAGGGGAATAGGCTAAATATCAATGTCTGCGTTGTCGTTTTCCATGTGTGCATACGAAAGGTGTTGAATTACATGAAACGTCTACTCACAAAAAAAGTATCTCTTTCCGCCTGTTACAGTATCTCCTCTATGGTACGCTGATTTTAACAGTATGCAGGAATATTGTTCTGATCATAAACGTAGTGAAAACTCCTCAACAGCACCAATCTGCGTTATCAGATCTGGCCGAGTTCGACATTCCACAATGGAGTATCTAACCCAGCTATTGATGTGAGCCACATTCTTGACAAATTTTCCATTATTCATTACTGCAAAGGTTACGGTTTTTAGGACGGCATCCTCCTCCAACTTGTACTTCGCGGATGTTCGAAGCATTTCGGACTTGAGGTCCCGTTCGTAACACTGTCGTTGGAAATTTTGATAACAAACGCGTAGGTCTTTCGTGACGGTGAAATCTGCCCCGAGACATATTTTTGCCAGTCATTTTTTTTTCGTTGAAGATTTTTTATTTTGATTTTTGCTTAGTCTCTGTTTCAACTTTACTCTTAAAAATTGGTACCTACGTAAAAATATGCTGTGCAATACATCATAAATAGATTACTGACGGTAAGAAACTAAATTAGGTAGGTAGAAAGCATCCTTCTATTCATTTCGTGCTATTTCGTGGGAAGCATTCTGAATGTCCACACGGTTGACCTCTCAAAGTGAAATTCATACTACCCCAGAACAAGCTCACAATGTATTTGCCCGCGCACTACTGAGCTGATAAGGTTTGTAAATGTTTTCCATATACGAAACTATCGATTATTTAAAACATGATAACTTGGGAAAGAAATAGAACGTGGACGACCATATAAAACCGTTTATGCGAAAAATAGATTTTAAAAAAAACACAGACATATTTACCGATCAATTTATGACAACCAAGCCGTGGCTGAAGCCAAAAATATTCTGCAAGAAGCATGCCTTATTATTCCGTTTTCGAATTTCATCCTCATTTATAAGAAGCCACACAACTTTGACAAACCTGCTACACATAAGCTTTGAAGCAAGGGTGTCTCAGGTTTCTGATCTTTCTTCCCACCAGTGACGTAATATCAACAATGACATCGTTTTTTTTTTTAATTATTATTATTTTTTTTTATAAGCTGCGATGCTACTGGGTCAAATCACGGTATGAAAAAATATTTCCGAGGCGAAGTTAAGCCGAAAATATTAAAAAAATAAAATAAAATAAAATAAAAAACCTTCAAACATTGATTTTTAAGCTATGAGCTGCGATGTAAAAACAATTCAATTTTCGGCTTCAGTTCCCCTTTAAACATCAATTTTATTTCGTGATTGCCTTCTTTATGCCTTGTCTCCCTGTCCACAGCCCCATTGATAACAAACCGAGAAAAATACATCCTCGTATCTCAGATAGGAATTCATTTTCTTATCACGTAGTGGTAGAGTCAGGAGTAAATGGATAAATTTTATCTTTAATTCGTTGGTTTTCAGCTTAACTTTTTTTGTGATATTTGTGATATTGATTTCTGATTACCTTACAAATTAAGAAGTGCTACAGTAACGGAGATGACAATGACCATGAGGTGTACCACGTATGTGGTAAACGTAAAAAGCGCCACAGTTTCTCACTTTGATGTAGTTTGACCATAAACAGCAGTTTGCATTCCAGTGAAAGCAGGTCAGTCTGCTGACCTGACCATCAGCCACCGAGGGATGGCCACCAGATAACCAACCGGTTGCAGCGGTGTAACATCGGTAAATACTTGGACATGAAGTGGCCATTCTAGTCCCTGCTCCTCCTTGAAAACGGTACCAGCCTGAGAGTCCGTTGTCACAATAATAATAACTATTCCCGTAAGTTACCAGCCTGGTGCTATCCGTCAGACTTTGGTAGCTTTGACATTCTATGGAAAGACAGAGAGCAATCAACTAAAGAATACAAAGCCCAGTCCACCACTCAGGTCAACAAATTTAACACAGCAAAGCTCAAACAAAGATTCTCTCCGACAATTGTACTCCAACCATTTCAATTATTCTTTTGTATACATCCAATCTCAATAGCTTGGTTAAAAATAGCTTATCTTCAGAAAAATTAAGTTAAATTCAAGCTGCATGACATATCACTGTCTCACAAATGAAGGAGAGGCTAAATTTTATTTGTAGGTCAGATCGATATCCTTTTTTCTGATTGGTTTCACAAAACCCTGTGTTTAGATCTCTTTTATAACTGACCTTCTTAGCCTAGGAAATTCGATCTGCGATCGCGATATGCTATTTACAAAAAAATGTTTTCCTATGGACCACGCTGAAGGAGGTTTTTGCTATATAAAGGCATGACTCAAGGTAATTGCAAGTTGTTCAGTTGTGTTTCATTTAATCTCTTCTTTGATGTTGTCCTAATGCAGTATCTCTGCATAAAAACAAGTTGGAACAAAAAGGGTAGGACTCCACTGTACGATACAGGAAGCGGAATGTAAAGCCAGGAAAATCCGCCCGTCCACTCACCTGATGCCAGATTACAAGTCTTTCCGTCTCCAGCATACGGTTGGTTACACGAACACGTGTAGGATCCAATGGTGTTAATGCATGAAGCTAAACTGTGGCAGCTGTTTGCACCATTGGTACACTCGTCGACGTCTGAGAAACGTAAACAGACAAGTAATCTAATGAATTTATTCAAGGAAACGGAACGCAAAGGAGACAAACACCCACAAGTCGTAAATATCGCAAGTTTCAGATGAATAATTAACAGTTATTTTCCAAGGTAGTGGTAAATAGAGGTGAATATTTACCACTCTCACCGACACTGAGGTGAGTATTGTTGTTTTAGTACATACTACAAAGCTGCAAAAAAATTATTTCTTTCTTTCAATGTACTGAAAAATAGTCGGAAACTGAACTCTTAATGCGCCATTTTGTCTATTCAGCTTCTCGTCAATCGGACTAGGGAGGGGAAATGAAAAAGGCAATTACAAAACAAAGTTAATGGTTTAGAGTTATGCCCCCTCTTGTGCACATTTTGGCTATTCTTCTCCGAGCTAACCTAGTTACCACTGAAAGCGAAAAGTACTATATATTTACTCGTGTGGTATATACTTCTCCAATTTATACGGTAAAAATAATATAATCGAGTTCCTGTGTATTAAATTGGCACTGTCCATTAATTTATATTTGCGGGAGAATTATCCGGGTAAAAGAGTAGAATGAGCGAATTTGGAGAAGTTCAAAGTCCGATTGAACTCTTCGACCATTCTTAAGCGGCTAGAGCACAAAAGAAGTGTAGGGAGAAACACGAGACGTACTTCTTGAGTTTTTGTTTCTTTTGTTGCGACTTGCCGGCTCGCTTGTTCCGAAATTTCACTTTCAATTAACGAAAAAAAGCCAGAGAGAAGTCCCAGAAAAGTTCAAACATAGCACAGTTTGGCAGATGGCGTGACAGCTTTAGCTCGGCGCTATGCTCTATACTCTCATAGAGCACGCTCTTTCAACCAATGACAGCACACGTTATATCCAAATTCTATTATAATTTGATAATATGAATTGACCACCGTAAAGAGATTCTAAGGCTGAACATGGAAAGTTCCTTGTCTTAAAAAAAAAATATGTGGGTTACATTACTCTTAGTGTGTGGATTGTGTTGCGCAAAGATCAGATCATCTTACCATTGCAAGTTTTTCCATCTCCAGAATACCCAGACTTACAAGTACAAGTGTAAGAGCCCACGGTATTTTTACAGGCCGCATTATCGTCACAGCTGTAGGTGTTGGTCTTACACTCGTCAAAGTCTGGAACAATAGCGATAAAAATTATCATTCTCATGTTTTGTTGCAAAGAAATATTATAGGGAAGGACCTTTGGCTAGTATGAATTGGACAACATTGCAAAAACTATTTTCGCTAAAATCTCATGTACGCTTGATTATACTCAGGAACACAGTAATACAGGCCAAGAAATTGTAAATTGTAGTGCTGTTACAATGTCTAAGAATTTTATAATCAACGATGTTATTCCTCTTTTGGATATTTTTTTATTAGGGGTTATTTTAGAGCCAAAAAAAATAATGATCTGGTTATTAACACTAAAAAAATATACGGGAATTACTTGAAGTACCTGTAAAACAAGTAAAATTGAAGCAATTATCGCAAGGCACATCATTCCAAGCGTAACCATGCTTTGCACTAAGAGTGTGTACGCAGTCCTCGTTGTTCCAGTCATTTGGTTGTTGATGCGCCCAGAATCTAAATTTGCTAATTTCTTTATTTGTCCAAACAAATGATCCTTCCACACTCCGATCATTGAGTCCAATCCAGGATCTCTCTCCGTTATGTCGATGCTGAACGTACACATTTTCTTCTTGGTTGTGTATAGTCACCAACTGTGAACCCATCGCAGAGCAGTTAGACTCAGCAGTAAGCCATGGCATGCATGCGGGACTTGTGAAGTAGCAGTACCCGTCGAAGTAACCCCAACCTGGTTGGCATATATCTGAGTGAAAGACAGAATAAGAAACAAAATTTACACACGTCAAGCGGTTTGCCTAAAACGGTAATACGAGCTTTCATGTTTTAATAACGCAAAGCAGAAAACAAACAACAAACAAATAAAAACAAACAAAAAACAAGCAAACAAGCAAACAAATAAAAACAAACAAAATGCAAGCAAACAAATAAAAACAAACAAACAAAACAAAACAAAGACAACAAGAGCAAAGCAAGGGAAAACGAATGGATTTCACAGATACTTTTGGCAATTGCTTTATGGGCCCAAAAGTTTGCTCCTAGCTACTTAATTTATGATAGATTACATACCCCAGGATGCGATCAAACATCCCCCGGCACGTGAAGGTCTAACCATATTCTCACCTGACAAAACAGTATATGACACTGAAAGGGGGTCATATTTTGCCTCGTACAACTCTTTCAGACAAACTCTGAATCCTGTCTCATTGACGTACTAACAAGAAAAATGATAACAATAGCTAAACGAATTTAATTCAATTCAATCTAGGAAGGAATAAAATACAGAAGAATTAAATACTTATGTGAAAGCTCAGTAATCATTCGATGAAACGTCATGAAGAAACAATGAAAAAGAAAATTAGCGAAATAAACAAAATCCAACGAGTGCAACAACAAACTCTAAAGAAAATATCATTAGCATCTGCAATAGCTCAAAACGCAGATAAAAGATTTCCCAAGGCAGGAAAAGGTGAAAATAGAAAAAAATGAAAATAATACAGAAACTTGAAGATACTGAGAGGTCGACAAAATACGTGACCCTACCTCAACCCAAGCAGTTATCCCATTATGTATCGGTTGTAGATTACCACCACTGGTTGAATGATTTGCAGAGACAAACACATTCGGGATGTTGTTAAACTTCTGATTAAAGGAGACATCCTATGTAAAGAGCAAATCGAATACATTTGAAAATTTTAGTCAAATCCTGTTCAAACATAGCAAACGTAATACATAACCTAGCACAAATTGATAAAAGCCGGGTTGTTCAAAGCTGGGTTAATAAAACACAGAATACTCTTAAAGGAATTGGACTTGTGAACTTTTGATTACAGAAAACCGAATGATGATTTGTTCTTCGGTTTAGCCAATCGGTCTTCGAATAACTGGGCCCGGACAAACAGTTAAATACATTAAAGTGCTGTTTAGATTTATCAAAATCCCCAACCTTTGTCATGTTTCATTTGTTTTCCGGTCTGTTTATTTCTTTAGTTGTTTGTTTGCTTACTTTTTCCCGATTTTTTAGCAGAAAGATTCCTATTGGTAACTTAGCCAAGGACGGTGTTTGTCATTATGATTCAGTTAAAAAATACCACTCGTTCTGAAAAGTGTTTTGAAGGTGAGACTGAAAAGACATTTTTACACGAAAAAATGATACATTAAAATTGAACAAGCTCTCTTAGGTTCAGCTCTACCTTGCAGTAAGCTCTGTTGTGACCAGCAGGTGGCGACTGGGAATTAGAAAAATAAATTGAACTGTGTTCAGAGAAGAGAGGTTTGTGGAGAGATGAGAATGCCAACCATTTCTGCAATATGAAAGTAACAAAAACACTGTCATTACTATACTTTTTCCTTTAATTAAGTTTTCAAGGCTCAATGACCTTTGACTTTTTTTTGATAAATACGAACACTTGATAAAAAAAAAAGGAAAGAAAGAAAATGGCAGTGTAACTATAGTGAATAAAGACAAAACAAAACAAAACAAAAAAAAAAGAAAACAGTGATGTACTTCTGTGGAGATATATAAGGTGCATGTAACAGGAAAGTGTAATGCTCACAACGTAGACATCTTCGTGAGATCCCGCATAATTTTGAAGTTCCCTTAAGCAGACTTTGAATGAAGATTGCGTGAGATCTTCAATCCAAACACTTGCAGCGTCACGTTTCAGTCCGGCATGATGATGGGCAGCTGTCACAAACACTGATGGCATCACAGAAAATTTTCCCTGCCAAAAGGAAGAGCATAGAAGCTCTAACTCTTTGTGTCACCAGCGGTACTTGTTATGATTGATTGATCAAGTGCTTCTGCCGACGCTGTTGTAGTTTTTATCGTTTGCGTGTTCAAATATTTTTGATTTCTGAAACACTGAAGTTACACGACTTCATCTCCTTCATCCAATCTCAAATCTCGGAAAACAAAATAAGCATGAAATGAAAATCAACTTCGTGTAAAACCTTTCAATGTATATACTACGTTATGTAATGAGGGAGAAATTACTTAAGTACGATAAATAAAAGAACTATGCAAGGTTGCAACTGCGAGCTGATCACGGTTCCGGTTTTACAGAGAAACTTGTCTTCGCTTTTAGAACATTCATTTTAAGACAGTTTATTTTACTAACCGAGGGTAAACTGACAGATTTACAAGTCGTTCCAGTCCACCATTGTGATAACCGCACTTCGTCAGCAACTCCACCCACTGGTGCCCCTTGGTAAACCATCCAATCAACGGTCACATTGGCATTTGCGTGTCTCTCGTTGTAACCAGCCGCCATCACACATGCGGTGAATCTATCGTAGTTGACATTTTCAACCCAGGACACAGCGGCATCATGTACATAGGATTTGTCACTGGTGTCAATATGATTAACCGTAACCTGAACTCCGAGGGCCTTGTCAGGATAAAACACAAATGGCCTGAGGCGAATGACTTCACAATGGGAATATCCAAGGGATGGAATGTGGGGCATGTGTTGACGACCTCTCTGAAAAGGAAATCCTAGAAAAGAAATTCAACAATAATTGACGTAATCTGATTTCACTGTTGTCTAATTTAAAGCTGTTATTGAAGCATTGTCAACAAGAGGACATCCTCACCTCTGTTGGAACTAAAACTGCTTCTGCCGCGCTTACACCAAAACCAATATCGGCCATCATTTCCGACATCAACACTCTAGTCGAAACGACCACCATGACAACCAGCAGAAAGATCTGCTCTGAACACCGATGCTACCATAAAAACTGACACTGACTTTACCACTGACCTTATCGCTGTTATCTACTTTGCAGGTGTTTGGAGACGGATTTTCCAGTAAAGGAAGTCTTAGGAAGTAAGTATTTTACTCAATATAACTAACCTTCACAGCTACCAGGGTGCTGTACAGTGTAGTTAAGTCGAAGAATACACATTTCCCGTTGAAACAGACATTCATTGTCATATGTTGAACCGTTTGATGAGCAGACAGGTTCTTGGTATGATGGACAACTCTCCAAAGAGACGCACCTAGCATCATAAGGCCCGAAACCTTTGCACAAACAGTGATAATGGCAAAGGACGCCAATACAAGGGTCTAGGTCTGCGGAAAAAAAAGGTGAAAGGATATGTCAGGCAAGTTAACGGGTGTACCACCCTAGAAATTCTATTTGAAACTCCCATCTCACTTGTTCAAGTGCTAAAAGAGTTTAAGTGTTTTGGAAAAAGGCATCCAAATGTTGTACTCAGTGTGCGTATGACTTAAATTTTTTAAACATGATTTTAACTATGTCAATGAATTTACCTAAGCCCTGTTTGTAGCTAACTGCGTTCTATAACCAGCATACTAACGGCATTGCCATTAGGTATCAAGTCGGAAGGAAAAAACGATCAGATAATAAAATGTTAGCCTTAAGGTAAGAACTACAGCTACGCTCCACTGAGTTCTAATTTGATTGACGTGCAGTAGCTATACATTTGTACAAATACCTCATTTTTCAAAACAATGACAATTTAGTCTTCCTAAAATTGGCATAAAAATAACCATGAAACTTTCTGCTCACCCCCAGTCACCATGTAGTCGACGGTGATGACGTCCTTGTTGTTAGAATCGCTATTAAACGTTTTGACACAAATCTGAGCTTCAGTTTTAGATGTGTACTAAATATAAAGAAAAAAGAAGGGAATTATTTCAATATAGCAAAATAATTGAGAATAGTCCAGTTTTTTGTTATATTTTATTTATTTATTTATTTATTTATTTTTAAATTTTTCTTAAATTGATGAGCTACATCAATAATAAAACCTATTACTTACCTCGACCCAGGTGGTAACAGCATTGCACTGAGATCCGGATTGAAGAGAATTGTTAATTTTTGTGCTTCGCTTTGCAGTAACCAACACGACAGGGGGAGCATAGAAAGATTCTGTGAAGTTTGCTGTCTAGATTGTTAAAAAATAATAATAATAATAAGGATAATATCTGATAATGATTAAAGTAATAATAAAATGATTATATCTATACTTATTGTGACAAGTTAGCGCAATAGACTGCTTCAAGGACACAATTTCTTAGGGCGACCAAGTGTGTGATATCTATTAAGGAATAAAGAAATCCAGGCTTAGGGATGGGAATTTAGAGGAAAAGCGATGCAAAACGATGACACTCACACATACTCTGAGATCCAATAACGAGGAAACGATCCGGATAAATAATACTTACTTGACAAAAGGCGTAATTATGCTGCGGAGATGGTGAGTTTGTATTGGCAAATACCAAACTATTGATAAGGGTAAAGTTGTCTACGCTGATGTTATGGAAAGCCATCCAATTCTGTGGATCAAATAGAAATTTTAAGAGTTAATTTTACAGCCTTAGAATATTGAGCTTTGTTTTTATTTACAGAACTACTATACTCATTATGAGTTTGTCTCAGCCAAGAGGCAGCTTCAATGTTTATGGTAAAAATAAAGGATATTTATTTCTAATTTATTTTATTCATGTATTTTGTTAAAAGAGGCAGAAGACAAAAAGAAAAAAAAACCTTCTTTTCACTGAGAAAGGTTGTATACTGCTTGAAAAACATCCGTGGACAGCCCCTATAAAACTCGGGGTTACCTACTATTTTTAGGTTTTTGTGTGGACCATCGAAGATCTTGGCTTCCCTCAAACAAATCTTAAAGCTTTCTGCTTTCAAGTCCTCGACCCACAAGGCCATGGCATCCTGAGTTCGGTTGGTAACACCATGAGTGACAGTCACGAAAATGGTTGGAGGAGATGAAAAACGCTGAAACATAAGAGGATGCGTTACACATTTTAAGGCCTTGCCGACAGACTTAAGGGTGAGAAGTTCAAAGGGAAATAAATCAAACCATATTTATAAATTTGTAGAAAACATCACGACAAACGATAATAGTAATAATAATGACGATAAATACAATGATTAAAATAATAATAAGAGGAAATTGTAAATTGAGTAAATACATTTAAAAATTAAATGGGGTTCTGCGAGGCTATGGATTAAACATAGGTTAGAAAAGGAACAACGCTAAGGTCTTTGAGATCCGAAAGTAGAAAATATTTTTTCTTTAACAGAGAATGTTTAAGGATTTGCACAGCTTTAGCGGGTTGTAGAAGATTATCGAACATTGCATACTGCGAGTTTAATGGAAAGTCAAGTGTCTTTGTTTTTGGAAAGCACGCTTTGGTAAGGCCGGGTCTCTTGTTCTAGCCCAGAGATTTGATATCGCACATTACATTTTACACGGTACGATTCATTTAGTGCCTATGAATCGCTGATGAACACAGTTCTACCTGTTGGAAATCGATCTTCTCACATTCCGTCCCAGTTGTCCAAGAGCTCAGCGATTTGGCGCCTATTTGCGATCCCAACGGTGCGGTCTGAATAGCAATCCAGTACACTTCCTTAGTACCGTTCGAGCTGTCTCCAAACTCCACAACACAAGCTGTGAATCCACTTTCAGTAACATCGTCAACCCAGACCGCGCCACCATTACGAGGATTTTGGCTCCTCTCTGTATGGCCAACGGAAGCAAAGACCTTTACTTGCTGTCCGCCATAGAAACGATATTGAAAGGAGATCTCCTTGCATGCGAACAGACCTGGTGTGGTTGTAACAATGTTTTCCTTTCCGGCCTTGAAACCAAGAGCTGTTAAGAAATAAATAATGACGCATTGAAACACCAGATATTCTTATTTGCGGTTGTCTAAGAATTATAATGTACACTCTTTTTGCGATCCGGTAAATTGTTCTATTGCTTCTCAGTGCGCTCCTCCCTCGTTTCTCTCCCTCTTTATTTTCTTTCTAACCCGCGTTGTTACCAGTATAAAATAGATATTTCACGTCAATAATCCCGTTTCAGCTATTTTATGGCTATAGATAGAGGAAAACCCTATCGACATACCTTCACTTGCTAGAGAAACCAAGATGACAACTAAGAGAGCAAAGAGCAAACCGACTGAGTGTCGGCACTTGCACGACATCTTGCTAAGAATGAGTGGTGTATTTGCGTGCCGCAAATTAAAACCTCCCAAAAGGATCAATGTCAAACATCTTTACCTGCAGAGACCTGTCCATCTCGTGAGGGCAAGTCGAGTTACAAAATACATAAAAAAAAAGAAGTGGTAACCAGCACATTTTTAGCAACAGGGGAGAGGGGGACGGGGGAGGGGGGTTGGAATAAAGACAGAAACAGCCTCACCTATTTAATTTTGATCCATTAGGGATAACTCAACTTGTATATGTCAGTCCTTTCTCTTAACCTAATATCTATAAAGTTTGCATGAAAATGGATATATGGACATAAACAAAACACCTCCCTACCCCTCCCCGCCCCACCTCTTAAGAGTAAGGGTCACCCTTAATACTCTTTACCTCGTTCGCTAAAGATTTATGATCGCTCTTTAGAAAGGGGAAGAAATGATTCGCAATGTTTCCATAAAGCTAGACTCTTTTAAAGAGTACGGGTCAAGCTCGTGTGAATTGGAAATATTACACTGTAGATCTTTCGGGATTTGTATCTGTCTAAAATAAGAAAAAAAAGAGGTTGAGCACTAATATTGTTCGTGGCATTGCTTTTTTTTTTTTGGTTTACACAGCCGATTAGACCTTAAGGCTATTAAATCCTTTACAACTTTCGATCCGTCCCAATCACGATGTTCTAAATTCCTTTCATTCCTTATTTCATTACATGGAACATTTCCCACAAATCTCAGACTAGTTTTGATAAATTCAATTTCTCTACTTTTTTTTTTGGGAGCCTCGGCTATTTTTTGTGGTGTGTGGTGCGTTTAAAAGATTGTTTGCGTGTTGCGTGTTGCGTGTTTCTAAATCCGTTTTAATCCAGAATTCATTCGCCTTTCAGTTTTTTAAGCTTTGCCCAAACGAACGGTGAGGTCATGATATTATTGCGTACTACACTTCATATATTTTTTTCCTAAGTTGTTTAATTACGCAGCAATGAAGTCTCTGGTATTCGCCTATCAATTTTAATAGATTCAATTCTTCTGAAAATTTGCCTTTGATTGTGATTCTAATGCGAAAGTTAATTAACAAAGTGCTTTGAAGAGTGTTTGTGAGTTTCGTGCAATAGAGTTATGTTTGTTACTAAAGCCTGTTTGCTTCTGTAAAATCCTCTCAGTTTTCATGCGTATTTTCGAACAGTGTAAGTCTAAATCTTTGCTATGGCCGTGTAGATCATTTTCATTTCTGACCTTACAAAAAAGAAAAAAAAATCAAATAAAAAATAACAGAAATGGAGACCAAAAACTGTTGAAAATATTTAACTCCCTTTTAAATGTTGTCTCCTTTTGCAGGAACATTAATATCAATAAAATAGCAGCAGGAAAAAAAAAACAAAAACAAAAACGAAAAAAAACATAAATGATTTGTGGATGTTGAGACAGGTAGGCTGTCGGATACTTTGGAGTTCATAGGGCTTATTTTATTACTTAGGGAAAACCCTGTATTTTTGGGGGTAGTGAGATGGAAACAAGGGAAATCTCTAAATTTTGCCTTTAAGATGTAGTGAAGTATTTTATTTAATACGACAATACGAGTAATGACTAAAGAACTTAAGCAGAATTACACGGTAGCAACGAAGCGTAACTAGCTCCGCATATCAATGTGAATTTACTTTAGGAGTTGACAATAGACAGAAGGTTCAGTCTAAGAGCGTTATCTTGACATAACTGAGCAAAGAGATTAAGAGCAGCCGTTTGGGAGAAGTGCCAAACAACACATTGAAGTCAAAGGGTAAGTAAACGAGCAAGTGAAAATGAATACCTCTTTATTACCCAACGGACACTCTGTTCGCCGTAAAGATGACATGTAAAGTCACGTGGCTGCTTGTTTGACGAGATAACTCAAAACGTTTTCGTCAGATGAGCAGCTAATGCTCGGTAGGGGAGCCTTTCAAGACTCGACGTGATGGTTTGTCAGTCCTTTTCAACTTATGGTTGATATCCCTTGTTGGCAATAAACTGAATAGTCATAAGAAGTGGCTTAACACTGATTGTTAAGAAATCATTGAGAGTGAGACTGATTGTTATGTAAACTGAAATTTATAACAATATCGATAAGCTTCTTTAAAAAATTTTTTTTACGCTATTGTTTGCTACAAGCTCTAAAAACTGTTAATTCCTTTTTTTTTTCTAACTTTGATAAGTTATAAGTATCATTAGATATGGGACTTCGTTCTCATGACTTGTGCACTAGAGTCTATCTTGATCGATAAATTACCCATCTCACGCCTCAGTTCCATTGGCTATGTCAAATTTACTGATGGACACCAAACAGAGATAACTGTATGACGTCAAATTTCGTTCAAGGCACAAAAACCCTCGTTCACTTTTAATTTTCCGAAATGGTATAAGACTCAAGAATTCAACACTTTACTAAAGTTTTCTTATATCTGAAAACGGATGGCAAATTCACTGCCCACCCCTGTGAAAATTGGCCGTTATTGAATTTCCATTCATATCATAGAAGAGTGCAAAGCCAAAAACAGAAATACTACGAATTTTAAACTCTTTGAATGTAATAAAGTGGCTAATTAAACTTGCAATTTACAGATAAGAGCTCGTTTGAGAAGAAGGTTTCAGGCAATCCTCTCAGCAATGGATGATGGGACTAGCACAAAGCGAACATCTGTAATGCCTTCGGAAGTAAATGAGGATTCCACAATCATTACTGCGCCGAGAAAAGTAAAGGTTCAGCCACTGAGTGACACCGAAAAAACTAAAAAAGTCTCGAACAAATTAAACCTCCATTGTACATAACAGCAATAAATGAAATTGAAATTTCATAGTAAAGCATATCCAAGAAAAATATTGCAAGTTAGAAATCCGGCAACTAATTATATAATATAATATCAAAATAGAAAATTTGCTGGGAAGCCACGAAAAAAAGGCGAAACTAAACAAAACAAGAATAAGGAAAAAAACGATGTCATTATCTATACAGACGAAAGTCCTGATTTGTTTCTAGTTTTTTCGGCAGCTAATGCCAACGTTTAGTTGGTTTGTCAATGCATTGTCTGTGATTTGCGATCAGAGCATCATTTTCTATACAAGAAAATACTGTATTTTTCAGCTTTTACCTATGATTTGTCATTTAGATGCATATGCATTTTGAATAAAATTTCGCTAACTGTTAATGACCGCACATAATGATATTTCATTTTCTTAGAATGTTTATCCAATGGATTAATCCATTGTATGAGATTTGCATCGGCTTTCGTAAGGGTGGAAACGACTAAGATTTAACGCTTGAAATAAAAGCTCTCTGTGGGGATTGAGACCGCATTATTCCTAGCATGTTCCTTTACAGCGTTGGTTCGTTCTCTTTTATACGAAACACAATTTTGGTGTCCCCCCCTTAAAAAATAATGAGGCAAAGTTGAGGCTTTGTAATTTGGTTGATATGGTCTCTTAAAACTGCTTTAGAAGTTACTGCACCGCCTTTGCTACGGATTGTTTAAAGACTGGTCGTAGCGTGTCTGAATGACGAAGTCTAACCCCGATCTATTTTCTTTCCTTGTTTCCTTTGTTCATGTCTGTCTTGTTATCACCTTTTTACAAAACAGTAACAAAAACAAAAATCCGGACAAAAGACACACAAAGAAGCAAATGCTTTTCCACTTGAGAGATTGATGAGGCAATCGCAATTGTCTACTACTGCATATTTTGCCTCCGCTGAACATGAGCTGATAACAGCAATTAAAATTATCGTCCAATAAACACCATGTGTTAGCGTGACGAGCGTTTGGAATCTTAATTGCAAAATCAATCAGGCTGCCCAAGTAATTGTCAACATAGGACATTGATATAAATACCCTGACAGTTTTCAACTGAAAACAAAACAAAGAATGGTAGAATTAGAATATTATGTATCTTTTCTGTACCGCGTTTGTATTGTTTTCTGTTTGACTTAGAGCCAGATGCCTGATAGCCACAAGCACAAGTTTCAGTTTGATATGCATGAGAAAACTGAAAATAATATTTAACCTAAACGAAATGCTGTACTATAGAAAACCATCCTTTTATTAGCCTTCGCCACCTGTGTACGGGGCGATGTTAATCTACCCATCATCCGCCTCTTTATGTGCGTGACTACGACAATTTGACATTGGAGATGTTATAATGAGTCTATAATCTAAAATGCTAAGTTCCTTTTAGGTCATAAGGAGAAAAGATTCGGACTCAAACTGTTTATAGTCTCACTCCGCAGTAAGTGAGACTTACATCAAATTATTTTACATCGCTATTTAGGGCCTAAGTGAAGCAGTCTGACATTGATATCTCTAGATCAATCCACTTTACCTCTTCGCAACTGAGATCGGTTTGGATTTTTTTTTCCGGATGAAAAAGTCGGGTGTACAATTATTAGCCAATTTCAGAGTGTAAGCCAACTGCCGCAAAGTTTTTCAAAGTCAAATAGCAACATATCACTCCCTGAAATGTTTAGTCTGAACGAAAACCCAATGTGTGATTCTTGGGAATTCTGAGGATAATAAATGCTTTAAAATCATCCGGATTGTACATAATAATATTAAATAATAATAATAACAATATATATATATGTAAATGCTAATGATAATAGTAACATATCTAATAGACGAATATTCAGCTTTTTGCGATTATATTTATATATGTGCTACAATCATGGATCGGATCCATCTTCTTTGATAATTATACTCAAGGATGACAGAAACTCTTCTTCGTATGATTGAAGTGGGTAGTGTTTCAACTTTATTTTACAAATCGGCTTCATTAATGACTTATTTAACCATTCTTTTATGTAAATTTGATAAGCGTCGCTGGTCAAGTGAAAACTATGAAGTCTCTTTGGAAACACGATGTCGAGGCGCATAATTATAATGCTAACACATGCGAGAGTTTTCCATTAGTGGGTTTAAGATTGAAGGCTTCGCAGACGTTGGATGACGTTTGTAAAAAACTAGCAATGATTATCACGTTCTAGAGTCTGTCCTAAGCTTTCGTTTCCTCGTCTATCTCTGTCTCCTTAGCCTAACAACTGTCGTTTTGTCGGCATTGAAATGAAATGTTTTATTTCCCTTTCATACCAATAGAGTAAGGAGTAAAATCCTTATTTTTCATCCCTTAACTGATTTCCGCTGTCAGCCTAGCTTATTTCGAGTCTGTCAAAAATGTCTATATTCGTAAAATGCCACTTAAATAGTTTGAGAAGTTAAACTTCTTACAGGCTTATTTGTTTCAAATTGTTGAACTAAAATAATTTTTAGCCTTTCATTTAGTGGTGCTCAAACAGAAAATATATTTTGATTAGATGGAGGCTTAACCAGAAAATTTTTCCTGCCAAACATTACAAAATATTCATTCGAAAATTTGCTCTTTACACAGGTAAAACTTGCTCAACCTCATGTCAGTTCGTTATGCAAAGTAGGAAATACGGCCCAGTTTTCAATAAGGGCACCAATTAAATTGAACACTGTTTTGTTTTAAGCCTCATTAATAACACATCTCTCAAAGGCGATGTCAATTATACAAATACGCCAGTCGGTGCCCAAACACCTCCGCTTTTAGCAATTGTTAATTCACAGCCACCTGCAACTTCCCAGTGGTTTCCATGACACTTTCGTATATGAGAAATAATTATTCTTCTCATTCTAGCTATTGTCTCAATTTATAAAGTAAATACGGACCCAGCTAGTCAATTTAGTGCCAACAAACTCAAGGAATAATCTGTTAGAAACTCACGCCTAGTTTGGTCTCTGCTTTACTCCTTTTTCGTTCAAGATCGAACGTGTCTGTGTCTAAAGTCTGCCCTAAGCCACTGAACAAACAGGAATACCGACATTTCTGTTTCACGAGACAGTGATCTTAAAAACACGAAAATGCCGAGTTCATAACTGAAAGATCGAAAAGAAACTCTTGCCAAAATGTTTTGGAGAATGCTTTTCCTTGCACTAGTGGTTGGTGAGTATGAAAAAGTATTATGGTAACCTTTAACCTAACTTTCGAAGACTCGATGTGTTAAGTAGGCTATTGATGGTTTGTTTTACTTTTAATTTCGCTTGTTTTTCGAAGGAGCTCTTTAAAGCTCTCTTAAGGGCTCCTTAAAGGGAAAGTACGGTCTATAAAATTTTACCTCTATCGAAACAACTTTTCCTTGTGAACTCGAAAATAATTGTCGTTTTTCCCAGCTTGGCACGGAACCCAGACAAATGCGGTTGAAACAAAAAAATTATACTTCGTCAAGTACTGAGGCGTCATTTTTAATGCGATCGATATCCTTAACTAACAATGTTCCACAACGGGAGACTTCCTGACGCTGTTTTTACTCATAATGAACAAAAGCGTGAAACTTCCTTCGTCAAGTGACCCCCATAAGGAAAACAAAGCATACAAACTGTAGAGGTCTATTACAATTAAATATTACGGTGAAGTTCATCCTTAGGTGAAGATTACAACAAAACTTTTAATAAAAGAGCTGACATTAAACCGCCTTTGTTTTCTTTGTGCTTTGCATCCGACTAACTTGCAAACAACTCTAAGCGTTTGTTTGCATGAGTTTTGTGAAAAATGTTTATTCTATAGTTGCCTACTCGTTTGACGTATAATCTTGGCCAGTAAACACACGGGTCCAAATGATCCGTGCACAGTAATACAATGAAGTTGGTCCATGCAATTTCAGTAATAATTTACATCACTTAATTAACAATGTGAAATAAATCCGTCGCATGTACAGCGCTCTTCTTTTGATAAAATTGTCACTTCAGAAACAAAGATTTTATTTGAGAAGAATTAATTACCTACGATTCCAGATCAAGTCGATCGCCAAGTAAATTCATTTCTTGACAGCATATATTCTTGTTTTCTGATGGCAGTTGCCGCAAGAGCACCACTCGCAGTTTACAAGACGTCAGCGCGTAGATGTTTCTCCTTTTATCTTTCCTCGAGTTCCTTCATCAACGGCGTTTGCTTCTTCTCCTGAAGCCGAGCTGTGTTGCGTCTCAAAAATGAATAGGCGTATTACACCGTCTTGATTAAAATCCATGTCGAGAATTGAGTCATTATCGCTCTCTTCACCGCTGTTTTCTTGGTCTTTTTATTCTTCTTAGTCGAGATTATAACGCTTCATCATTGCTACGTCAGATGGAGGATTTAAAATTGAAAATCTCAATTTTTTAATCGTGATTTCCGGCAGCAAAAACACAAAGCAGGAAATTTTTCTTCGTTCTTTTTTTTTTTTTTTTTTTTTTTTTTGCGGGGAAGGGATGTCGGAAGGTCCAATTTCATTGTTTTTCCTTTGGTTTTTTTTAACTTTTCTATCTTTTAAAATTAATTTATCTATTCATATTACCTTTACACTTTCTAAGTATGATACAAAAAGAAACCTTATGTTTTATCAAAACATTTCCGTCAAGCACCGATTATCTTTTCTGTGCTTTGGCAATGTACGTGTAGACGTGGACGATGGCTTCTTCTGTTTAGGTATAGCTGTGTGATGATTTCCGTTGAAATTTTCGCACTGAACCCAAGAATACCAAGGGGTATGCTCAACGATACTTGAAACATGCTATCGCTTGGATATGTGTTTCTGTGTTTTTTTTTTTAGAGACTACCGCATCGTCCTTATTGAGCAAGTAACTGAAATGAATGATGGAAATCGTAACAGTCACCGACGAATGTTCTGCTCACTAGTAATAATCTCACCGGAAATTTATGCTGGAAAAGAAATGTTTCAATCGTCATTGAGAGTTGGGTACAATCAAGTATTTTCTGTCAAATCTACTGTTTAATCCATGTTCGTTTTTCAGGTCAGAGTAACCAGTGCTCTAGAGAAAACTTAGAAGTGGAACTTTCGAGGATAAAAGATGAAAACTGTCTGTCGATTAATGAGATAACTCAGGAGCCTCCATTAAAAATCAAATGCCTTAAAGGGAATTGTACTTTGTGGTGCGAAAAATTCGCTCGTTGTCTCCATCAGTCCGATAAATGGCAAAAAAAATGCGCCCGGAAGTTTCAAAAACTCTTTAGGGGACATCGCCGGACAAAGATCAAGGTGCATGCTAAAGAAAATCAGTCATCACTTCGAATTCGAGTCAAATTTTGTGAGTGGAAGAGTCGTTACAAAGTTTACACCATTGAGTCACTTGATAGCGTATCGGAAGAAAATGGTATGTATTAGGTTCATTTTGTTTTAAACATGAGATCATTTCTCATTAACAATTTCATTAATTTGATTATTCACAAATCCATTTGGCTGTTCGATCTTTCGATCGTTCCTTCGCTCTTTCAATCTCAGTCAGTCGTCTATCAATCTCGTGTTTTCCTTACTCATCAATTTACTCATTCATTTGTTTATTATTTTTTTTAATAGTACTCCCTCGTTTATTCAAATTAATAAACCATTTTTCGGGATTATGATGAGTACTACTTCTATGCCCTTTCTACGTAGGTGATCTGCAAGAAGAGGGAAACTTACGCAAAGAGGTACTCTATTTATATTTTTGAAAAGACATGTATATCGCTTTTAATTTTTTGGGTAAGAAGTTAGTTTTCACTTCTTGATATGCCTTCATAGATTACGTCACTTTTAATCGTGAAACTTCCTTACGCAGAACTGTCTGCATCCCCACACGTGACATGTAAAGGACGTTGATATTAACGCACATGCAGACCGTAATAGATATGATGGATGATAAAAAACCATCGTGGGATCTATTTACAATTAGAGAAGCCTTCAGTTTGCTCTTTTCTGTTGTAACGCATTCAGGAAGCAGAAAAGCACGAGACGTGATCTCCTATCCCCCTCTCACCCAACCCCCTCGCCCCCTTCAATATACTCGCAACAATAAGCCAATCAGAATCTTTGTCAGAATGGTTCAAATAGTCTGATTGGTTGGACAAGCTGTCGTAAATATCAAACCATGAAAATTCATAAACTATCAAAGTTCTGCAATATATCAAAACCTGGAATAGTTCAGGCGGCCGATGTAATTTCTGATGCTTGCTTCACTACGATGACTGGAGACTGCCATGACGATCTAGCCGCGATGGACCTCAGCATGACCGCTTTCCCTCTGGCACCGGCTTGATTTGTATGGATTTAACAGTTATGCCAGTTTGGCTATATTTCTTACAATTCCTGTTTTGTTTTGTTTTGTTTTTCAACACGAAAGTTATACTAGATGCGAACTTTATTGTGATAAGGTTTATCGTTCCCTTTTTAAAATTAAACCATTTTACCGTTTTTCTAGGATTTGTTCAGCTCTTTGAAGTCCGCTGCCCTGTTTACAATTAAACCATTTTACGGTTTTTTTAGTATTTGCTAAGCTCTTTGAAGTCCATTGCCCTTTTTAAAACTAAACCATTTTACCTTTTTTTTTTTTTAGGATTTGCTCAGCTCTTTGAAGTCCGTCGCTGAGTATTATTCCGCAGAGATACGCAACAAAAGTGAAGATAAGAAGGAAAAGATAGAGGAAATGTTTTTTGAATTGACCACGTTGGAGACATTCGTGCTGGAAACTGCACAGCTTAAACTCAATCACACAACAAGCGAATTAAACATGAGCAGCAATTATGCAAGTAAGAAATTTTCCTAATTTAATAAGTATGTTGAACATCATGTTCATTGCATGAAATAGCCTCGCAATAACATTTTAGGACAACATATACTAAGCATGCAATAAACTAGTTCCCACTGTTCTATCTGTTTCCACTAAAACCTGATAAGTTTTTTTTCCTTTAAAAGGTTTAGGTAACCTTTTTCGCCCATCGAGTCGAATTAATCTTTTTTTATTGTTGATGTTACTAATTATTGTTATTAATATCATTTTTACACCTTTCCGTTAGATGTTCTGGTCAGGAAAACTTTCTATCAAAATGAAAGCCGCCATTTTCATCTGGATGAACCTCACGGGGAAAATTTCCTAAGCATTCCACCGGGAAACTTGGACAATGGTTTAAAAATTTATTTAAATATTTCATGTTCCAATATTTTTTTACTTATTGATGCATTTAGCTATGTTTTCATTTCAATTTTATAAGTTGATATAGCGAAATTCGCGAAATCGTTTTATCTTTATCGCTTTCTCAGGTTCAGTAGTACTTGGAATGATATACAGAGACCTCCATCAATTATTCATCACTAACCAGAACGAGAACAGTACCCTGAACAATTCCAGGTCACCAGGCAATTTTAACTATACGTACATTTTCCATCTTTGTATGCATAAACGACTGATAAATTTCCCTCACGCAAAAAACTGAAGGGTTTTACGTTAAACAATTTAAATCTAATTCTCTTCTGTATACTTGAAACTATGCATTTGGAGTTTAGTGATTCTTATTTTCATTGCTCCGAAATAGGGAAGTCACCTCCATTATTATGGCTGCCACAATAACTCCTCTGCCCACGAGACTACAGGAAAATATAACTTTGAAGTTCAAAAACATTAAGGTAGCGGGACTTACGCTTTTCTTTTTCTGCCGATTCTGCTATACCTTGCCATTTCTACTTGAGATTAAGTGACTCAATTAGCTGTTTGAAATGAAATTCGCTTATTTTCAGAATGAATTGTTTATGAATTCTAATTTCGCTAGATTTCGATTTATAGTGCAAATTGTGTTTTATCATATAATTCTTAAGATTTTCTTTTCCTATTATTGTTTAATTATTTTAGAATTCAAATAACAAGAAAAAGTGTATGTTCTGGAACATGTTCGATGATAGGTAAATATTGTTTAATGTCCCTCAGTTTCTTTTTCCTTTTTTTTCCTCATATTTTTTTTACATTTTTACATTCTTATCACGCGGCTAACATTGGGCTAATTAAGTGGGAATAATGTATAATTCATGCTTACCGGTGTCGTCTCAGGTTGATGCGGACACTTACCTCTAAATTAGGTCAAGCCGCGAAAAATATCCAGTTAGCTAAATTGTGTTGCCCTTTGTTCAATTTTTTCACGTAAAGCTCTCCAGGCATGGAGAACCAAGTTTTGAGAACTAGTGAATGCATGCAAGTACTTACAGGAATCATCGTCTAACAACCGTATTTTGACACTTGGATAGGTTACATACATTAATAGATATGGGGCTCCGTTCGTATGACTTGTGCACTAGAGTCTCGCTTGATCGATAAATTATCTATCTCACGTTTCAGATCCATTGGCTGGTCAGGAGAAGGGTGCTATGTCAAATCTACTGATGCATACCAGACAGAGTGCACCTGCAATCATTTGACTCATTTTGCTGTTCTTCTGGACACATCATCTGGAACTGAGACTGGCGATATATCGGAGGTAAGTGTCACCACAACGCCTGCAACTCCCCTGTGTACGATAGTATTTGCTGTTATATTCAAACAAATACCTATTACTTCAATATTTTTGTTCTTAAGGTAGAATAAAACTTCGTTAATTCGATGCATTTGGATTTTTAAATCTTTAAAAGTATTGTTATTATTTATATTTTCACTTATTAAAGAATGATGAAAAGAACTTGGAAATTCTCACATACGTTGGGCTGATCCTTTCTGTCATTGGGATCTCACTGACGATAATCAGCTATGTTACTCTCACGTGAGTTAAGTGGTTAGAAATTAGAAATGTGTGTTAGTCAAAACAGTGGACTGATCGCAAAAAGTTTTCCACTTATGCTGGGTTCTGTAAAAGGACAGACACAAGTGATAGTCAGGCCTTACTAACCGCTTTGCTCTTTGTTTGCTCATTTCTGTGAGTTCTATGATGACGAGAAGACCTGGAGCCATTTACTATATTCATCGAAACAAAAAAAAAAAAACGAAAAAAAAAAAAAAGGAGAACCTGCATCACTAACAAGATACTGGCCCGAACTTCTGAAGGAGAAAGAAAGAGTCATACTGATAAAATAAAGGGAAAAACAATCACCTACATTGTAAATAACGAATTTCTCTTTTATCTCTTTTTTAATGTTTTTTTTTTTCTTTTCTTTTCGTGTCTGGTCTTTTTTTTTTCTTTGCGAGCCAGAGACATGAGAGGACCTTTATCCCAGATAAGAGTGAGTCTCGTCGCTTCTCTTGGAGCAGGACAAATCATGTTTCTTGCCGGGATTGGAGCGACTGAGAACAAGGCAAGAATTCTGTGGAAATTGATGTGTCTACGGTCCAAAAATGGGAAGTTTTAAACATTTCCGTTTTTTTTTTCTTTCTTTTGATTTTTTTTTGTCGAAAATTAGTTTTCCTGTATTTCAGTTAAAATCGGGTTTATTACGAGCTGTGTGTCCTCTGAATCTTTCTTTTGGATTGCTCAGTTTCCAAAAAGAGTCAGGACGACAGGCATTATTAATATTTACGAAAAAAATCAATTATATATCATTGTATATATCATTCAGGCAGATTGCAAAAATCCTTTTTCGTTTTCCATTTTCTTCAGGTAGGTTGCGTCACAGTGGCGGCCCTTATGCAGTACTTTTTGATGGCCGCCTTCTGCTGGATGATGGTCGAGGGAATCTTTCTCTATCTGTTTATTGTAAAGGTCTACAACAATACAATACAATATTTATTTGCCATATACGACATTTACACATGGAAAAAAAAAAATGAAGAAAATTGATGACAGAAAATAAATGGCGAGAAAACCTGAAAGAAACCACGAGGCTTATAACAAGTCAGGCTTTCTCACTTAAAATAACTAATCTTATATTAGAATTACAATATGGACTTATGGTAATTAACTTTGACCGCGCACACGTACACACACACACACGCACACACATATTAACTAAGTTAGTTAAGAATTACTGCCTTACAGAAGCTAATACTTAGAGAGAAGAAATTCCTTAAGCTTTCTTTTGAAAGAAGCGGAGGAGGGAGAACTAGTTATGTCAGAATTTAACGAATTATAAAAGTTTGGACCTTGAAAGTAAATTGAAAACTTCCTGGTGTTCGTTCTGCACAGTGGCAAACGGAAGGACTGAGCATTCCTAGTATTATAATTGTGGATTTGATTATTCAGTAAAAAAAAGTTATTGAATTTGGAAGGGAGTGTAGAGTTCTTGAATGAAAACATAAAAGTACCTAATTGAAACGAATGGATATCATGAAATTTTAAGAGTTTAAGTTCCTTTAAAATAGGGCCAGTATGCGCAATGTATGTAGAATTGCTTACTATTCTTAACGCACGTTTCTGTAAGGTTACAATTCTTTGAAGGTTTGACTTATAGGTACCAGCCCAAGCTAAATTGCAATAATACAAATATGGAAGGATCATAGAATTGTATAAAGTACGAAGGGAGTGAGTAGAGAGAAAATACCTAGATTTATGAATAATACCTATAGATTTGGATAATTTATTTGCTGTTAAGGATATATGCGATTTCCAGGTCAGATTGTCATCTAATAAAACACCCAAAAACATGGTCTCAGAAACACGAAGAATAGGCTGCTCATTTATGAAAACTTGAAATTCAAAGGATTGCTTCTTTTGCCAAGGCTTGAATACCATGAAATTAGTCTTGGCTAAATTCAAGGAGAGCCGGTTTGCTGCAAACCAGGTTGACAATTTGTTTAATTCTCTATTTAATGTGTTAATTAGGTAAACAGGGTCATTATGGGAGATAAATAAGTTTGTATCATCAGCAAACAAGATTGCATCAAGCAGGGAAGCATTGTTCAAATCATTAACATACAGGATAAAAAATAAGGGACCAAGAATAGAACCTTGAGGCACCCTACAGGGAATCCCCTGTGGGGCAGATCTAACGTTATTAAATTCGACAAATTGTGTCCTCTCAGAAAGATAACTTTTGACCCATTCTAGTGCCAGACCACGGATCCCATAATGATTGAGTTTTTCAAAAAGAATGTCGTGATTTACCGTATCGAATGCTTTCGAAAGATCTAGGAATACTCCAATGGCATGTTCTTTTCTATCAAATGCAGAAGAAATTTTGTCACACAAATCGATAAGCGCAAGGCTAGGAGAGCGATTTTTTCTAAAGCCATATTGATTATCACATAAGACATCGGAGTCATTGAGATAATTCATAATACGGTTGTAAATTATTCGTTCCAAAAACTTTGAAAAGCACGGTAGAACAGAAATAGGTCTGTAGTTGCTGAAGAGAGTTTTGTCACCTGATTTAAAAATAGGTATGACACGAGCAATTTTCAAATCATCCGGAACGATACCATGAGTAATGGAGAGATTTACAATGTGTGTTAATGGAGAGGAAACGCTGCATATAGATCGCTTTATGATAGACATAGGGATATTGTCATACCCAGCCGATTTTCCCGCCGGAAACGTAGATGCGATATCTATAATCTCCTCCTGAGTTGCTAAATTTAGGAACATTGACTGAGGGAAATGACCAGGAAGAAAATTCTTATACGAGGTCGTAGGTTGAATTCGTTTAGCGAGGTTTGGTCCAATATTGCTGAAGTAATGACAAAATCGATTAGCAATCTCCATTGGGTCAGAAATATCTTGATCATCAACCTTAAACACAGAGTTGGGTTTAGGTCTCAATTTCTTGCTGTTTAGTACCTCATTAAGCAGACGCCAAGTGGCTCTTATATTGGATTTTGACTCGCTTAGCCTCTTATCATAATATAAACGTTTCGCGATTCGTAGGGAGTGATTCAGTTTGTTCTTATAAGTTTTATATTTCGTTGGCAACAAGTTAAGAATGTGCCATGGAATTTCATGGGGTAAGGTACTCTATGGCTATTAAAATATTCAAACACTTTTATTACCATCCTTTTATGTTGATCTAGTAACCTATGTCCCACAACTAATTTTAGAAACAGTTCCTTCGAAAAAAATTTCTTTGCTTCTCGCTCACACCATATCTTTTGTGCGTCCATGTTCCGTGAGGACTCCTCTCCGAATTCAAGAATACGCGGCCAGGAACATACTCTATCACTTATATTGCGTAGTACATTTCTATATAGCTCTGACTAGGGGGTTCAAAAGGTAAATATCTAAGGTGGAAAGGTAAATTATGCCCTTGACAGGTGAGAATAAGTTTCAAATCTGATTTTTGTTTCAATTCTGTAGGCCTTCCCGCGCTCATCGTTGCCATATCACTGAGTAATGCAGCTGGAAAAGATGGGATCGAAAGTTTTTTGGCTAATAAATAGTTAGGAGAGTTTCATTGTACTGATCTAATGTCATCACACTCAAGTTTCCAGGAACTGATGTAACACAAGTATTTTAGAAAATGAACAACGAACTTGTTACAGCTGAACAAAATACACGTATAAATTAAAAAAATGATCCTTTTTCTTTTTTTTTTTTTTTTATGTACTAGCTTATTGTTGTGTTCTAAGATGGAAGACAAAAGTTCTGAGCCTTAAGATTGGTTTAGAATCGTATTGTTTAGGCTTTAATTATGGACTCCATCATTCAATATTCTTTAGAAAAGGCATTCAATGTGTGGAAAGTCCATATTGGTATTTCAAGTAATCATTGACAATCACATCATCTATTTATAGCTTAACCTGTTTTTGTTTTATTTTGTTTTTTTATTAAAGCTGCTGGATGTCTTCTGCCAATGGTCTCATCTGGATATTTATAGTATTTGTCGTGCTGATTGAATTTGTAAGTGAAAATAACCATGATTATCATTATCGAAACTAAGAAAAACTTTCATGGGGTTCACATGGGTCTATTTTCTTCTTTAAGTTCAACATTCTGATCCTCGGGCGGGTTATCAAGGAGATGGTGACTATGCAACAAGAGAAGGACAAACGTAGCGAACAAGTAAGGTATGGTCTTCTCCATGGAAGGAAATCCGGTTTCCAGAATGTTGGGTCTTGGAATCAGCTCCTTCTCTGAAAACAACAATCTGGAATCCAACCTTTTCACAAATCTACCGATGAAGAGTCCGAAGTCCGAAAAGGAACAATGAGACACAATCTTGATACAATTTCTACCTTACAGAGCTTTTTCATCAACAATCACATCATCAACGGTCCCTTATTTTGCTTTTTTTTTTGTTATTGCTGTTGTTTTTATTTTTTTTGTTTTGTTTTATCCAGACTTGGTGTGAAGGCATGCATAGTTATGATTCCTCTGCTGGGAATCTCGTGGTTATTTGGGTTATTGGCACCATTACATAAAGCTTTCGCCTACATCTTCACGATCCTCAACTCTACACAGGTGAGATGTAGATGAATGTCTGTGGAGATCAAAAGACGTTATATTTTGTCAGATGCACAGTCCCGGGAACCTTGGGATGGTGTTATGTTGAACCCATTACTCTGCCAACTCAGTGGTTTAAAAACTGTGTAAATCTCGTGAAAATCATAATCAAATCATCATCGTCATAATTTAAAAAAACTTCTCACATCCCTTTAATTCAACAGGGTTTCGTGATCTTTCTTCTTCACTGCGTGAGGAACAGCGAGGTCAGTGATTTATCGCTTAAAATTGCATCACAAGGTCCGGTCTTATATCAGTTTTTAAAATTACAATGGAGACCAGGAAGTGCTATTTAATTTCAATGCCATTTCAAAGAAATTAAGCCCTAGTTCAAAGGGCTCGTGCATAGAAACGGACTAACTGGAAAGCAAAAGCAACATAACAAACGAAAGCACTATAGGACCAAAATTATCATTGTACTCACATGTTCTCTAGGGTATGGAGCTCCACAAGTGCGCATGAGCTCCACTGTTAAACAAATTTTCGTGTCTGAGGATGAGGGTGGGGGAAGAAAGAATAAAGGACATGGATTCCAGATCAAGAGTCAGAATATAAATTTAATGTTGATTATATTTCCTAGAGAGAGAAAATAAAAAGAAATTATACGACATTTTTTACATTTTATGTCGATACCTGTGCAGATTAACTCCAGGTAGCTGAATTATGTCTAATTTAGTTGTGACTTGTGAGAATTGGCTGTTGTTGAAAGCCTGTACATCACTAAGTCGAGGAAAAAAAGAGTACGACTTACAAACTCCTTGAATGCGATAATGTGGCTAATTTAACTTGCAATTTGCAGGTAAGAGCTCGTTTGAGAAGAAGGATTCAGGCCATCTTGCCAGCAATGGATGATGGAACTAGCACTAAACGAACATCTGTAATGCCCTCAGAAGTAAATGAGGATTCCACAGCCATTGCTGCGCCGAGAAAAATAAAGGTTCACCCACTGAGTGACGGCGAAAAAACTAAAAGAGTCTCGAACAAAACCTCTATGTAGTTGCCGATATGTCACATTGTACATAACAACCATAACTTTGTAGTGCGGTATATATAAGCAAAATATTGTGAGTAAGGAATCCGTCAGCTAATTATTCAATATAATATCAGAATAGAACTCTTACATAAAGGCCACGAAAAAAAAAAAAACCAAAACAAAACAAAACGATAGTTAGGGAAGTAAATAAGTCGCTCTCTCTAGTGACGAGAGTCCTAATTTGTTTCAAGTTTTTTCAGCTGCTAATACTAAACCTTAAGTTGGTTTGTTAGTGCATTGTCTGTGATTTGAGACCAGAGCCCGGTTTCTATACAAGAAACTATTGAACGTTGAGGTTTTGATCTGCTATTTGTAGATGCATATGCATTTTGAATTAATTTCTGCTAACTGATGATTACCAAACGTAAAGCATTTCATGTTCTTAGAAAGTTAATTTAATTGATGAATCCATGGTATGACATTTGCATCTGCTTTTAAAAAGATGGAAACGGCCAACATTTAAAGCTTGTAATTAAAGCTCTCCGTGGAGATTGAGAGTATATTAATCTTAGCATGTCTCTTTACAGCGTAGGTCTGTTTAAAAAGAAAAAAAAACACTTTTGGCATCCCTGCCCTTAAAAAACCAAGCAAAGTTGAGGCTTTGTAATTAGGTCGATATAGTCTCTTAACATCGCCTTAGGGGTTACTGTACTGCCTTCGCTCTGCAAAGCACTACAGGGATAGGATAAAGGACAGAGTGTTAAGACTTCCCGTGGCTTACGCATGCTTGGGCCATCTGAGGACTTGGCGTAGCCTGGTTGCCTAAAGCAGTTTAGCTCCAACCAATTTTGTTTCCTTCTTTTTTTTTTTTTTTTTTTTTTTTGCATTTTGGACTGTCTGTCTCTTGTTATCACCTTTTAATAAAACAAAAACGAAAGAAATTTGGACGAGAGACATTCAAAGAACCCAATGCTTTTCCACTCGAGAGACTGATAAAGAAATACCAATTATCTACTTTAGTACATATTTTGCCTCCGCTGAACATAAGCTGATAACGGCAAGTAAATTAATCTTCCAAAAAAACATTATGTGTTTGCGTGACAAGCATTTGGCATTTTAATTACCATTTCAATCATACTGCCTCAGGTCATTGACATAAAGACCCTGTCAGCTTTCAACTGAAAACAAAACACAGAATGGTAGAATTAGAATATTAGGTATCTTTTTTTCACCGCGTCTGTATTGTATTCTGTTTGATTAATAGCCGGATACCCGATAGTCACAAGAACAAATTCCAGTTTGATTTGCATGAGAAAACTGAAAATAACACTGAATCTAAATTAAATGCCATATTATGGAAAACCATATCTTTTTATAAATATTTCATTATTAGTGTACGGGGCGATATTAGTCTATCCATAATCATAATCATCCACCTGTTTTTGTCTGTAATTATGACAATGTGACAGTAGAGATGTTATTATGAATCTACGAGCAGAAAAGCTAATTCCTTTTAGGCCATGAGGGGAAAGGGTTCGCACTCACTCCTTAGTCTCACTCCGCACTAAGTGAGATTTTCACCAAATCATTTTAACATCGCTGTGTAGGGCCCTAAGTGAAGCAGTCTGAATAAGTGCTCTTCGCGAGGCAAATTCGCCGCTCTCAATATTCTCATCGATAATTTGGATCCTTGAATGTTAAAGAAGAACCCCCTCTTCTGGAAGAAACCTTTCGACGAAATGCTTTTGCATGGAATCTTAATCATTTTTGGTAAGTACTTATATGAAGCCAATTCGCTGTAGTCAAGCAGTTTAACTAGCTTCCTGTTATGTTTTCTTCCTGATACCATCACAGTATGTTTCCCAAATTTTTTGATGCAATTGATCGACGTGAAGTCTGGTACGAAAAAAGAGAAAGGAGGAGATGAAAACAATTTTGAAAGCCGAGAGCTTTTTTTTTAATTTCTCCAGATTGTTCCCTTTGTCATATCATAGCTAAAGCTAAATCGAAAGACAAACACGATGTAATTTAGGTGGCGAAACCGGAACACAAGAGATACCCCCTTTGCTAAAATTCTTGCCCAAACGTTTTTGATTTTCTCTGACCTATTTTTATTTTCCACGCAGACATTGAGCACGACCGTCTTATATTCATTTCCTTTCTTGTATTAAACATAGTCGTTCGTAAGAGCGAGGTGACAATGGAACGGCTTTCTCTATTTAAGCAGATGTACTTTCTAGACCGTTCTATTGATTTAAGCGTTCTCTTACGACGGAAGCCTTTCAAGCAATAATTAGACCAGAAAACAGAAATCGATCTGAAATGTTTCAAATATATGAGTTATTATAGTAATAAGTTACGAGAATTGTGCTTGTTTGTTTTTTTTTCTGAGCAATTCGACTCTCAAGAAAAACTTTACCGATGTCCCGGTATAGTTTACATAACAGGAACACTGAATTCTGACGGAAAAATAGGCATCACAGGGCCCTATAAGTTATCAAGGCCTCTTCAGGGTCTCATGCTTCACTGGGTAAAGCTTACGATACTGTTACATTTTCTTTTAGTTATCTAGTTAGAGGCAATCTCTGAAAATTCCACCTTGTGTCCCTTGCTATAGATGCTTTGTTTAATATACAAAAAATTAATAATAATAATAATAATTTAAAAATTTAAATATTTTCAGTTTTTTTTTATTTTGACATGAGGATTCAAACTCGGCACAATTCCTTTGACTAGTTAATCTCTCACTTCATGTTCGTTTTAAAGGATCCTTCGACCACAAACATTGCGCGCTTATTCTGCTATTTTCTATGCTATCTAAACTCGTGAAATTTTCATTGTGGTCTATCATCCAACCGCATCAGAGCGATTTAGATATATTAAGGTCTTAGTTGGTTGTGGCAGTCTTCTGAAATTATGAGTTGTTTATTCTAGACACATATTTTAGTTTCTCGCAATTTCCTCGAGGAAACTTCTTGTATCTGACCGTCGATGGCTTCTCGCGTTCCTTCACTTGAAAGGCTTAAAGCCACGAAGAGAACGAAATGGATTTTACTTCAAAGGCCACATTCTACCTGTGGAATGGCGGGAAGTCTTGGCTAAAAGGTTCAAATAAGAGCCAATTTGTAGAGATTTTATTGCATCAAAGCGTTGACAAACTCCGTGCGAGGTGCGGGACACAAGAAGCAAATGACGAGTCAAAAAAGTATTACTACTGCCATTCGCAAGCGATTTTAAACTTCTGCCCTCAGGGTAGCTCCGACCAGGATATGTTTTAATGACTTTCCTTTCCAATGTGATTAAGTGTGTTGGTTTTTAATAAGGTGTCATTTTCTCCACATTGGCGTCAAATATCTTCCATTCCCTTCTTTAAGCATATTTTGAAACTCTGTACGTTTTCACCACAAGTGGAGGGTGTCAGATTTGTTTTAGGTCGCGTAACGCTTCTCCCTCTACAAATCCTTCCTCTACGACTGGTAAAGCACGACACTTGCAAGGCGTTGAGTGAAATACGAACGATTTTATCAGCAGTTGTCCCTATATGGTTGACTAGGTAGTCTTACGTCTCCTTCAGGTATCTTACTATCTAAGTACTTGTTTTTCTATTGATTCCCCTGACCCCCTCCCGTCTCCGCCCCTCACCCCTTATTTTGGTATTCGCTGTGAATTGGTCAATCATTTCTTTTGGTATTGTCTTTATTTCAGGTGCTATGACTGTGCCAACTTCAGCACGAGGTATGTATTGTTTTGCTTAAAAAAAAAGGAAAATTATTATTAAGGTTCAACATTGTTCAACTTATTATCCTCTGTCGTCAGAGGTTATACACTATATAATATATTGCCAGATAAATCATAAAATGCGACCAAGTCCAAAAGATCACTGATTTGTCATTGCTGGTGATTATTCCTACAAAATAGGGGGGACAAGTAAACAAAGGGAGGTTTCGGCCTATAAACTTTAAAAAGTGGCATCAAACTCAAAGCGGGGCCCATCTTAAACAATCCAGAGAAAATTCAGAAAAAGCTTATGGTTCTGAAAACCCTAGTTATCCCTAGCTGGGGTGGAATTCGAATAGTAAAAGGAAAAAAAATCAAGTGAAAAGAAAGTTCAATCAAGTAAATTTACTTATGGAAAAATATTAATTTAACAAAAATATAAAAAGTATGTGAACGAACGAGGAACAGCATTGACATTTAAAAATGTCTCCATTTAATGTTTTCGTATCTAACGCAGATGGGCATTGCTCCCGCCCGTCTCCACCCCTCACCCCTTATTTTGGTATTCGCTGTGAATTGGTCAATCATTTCTTTTGGTTTTGTCTTTATTACAGCTGCTGTGACTGTTCCAACTTCAGCACGAGGTATGTATTGTTTTGCTTTAAAAAAAAGGAAAATTATTATTAAGGTTCAACATTGTTCAACTTATTATCCTCTGTCGTCAGAGGTTATACACTATATTATATCTTGCCAGATAAATCATAAAATGCGACCTAGTCCAAAAGATCACTGATTTGTTCTTGCTGGTAATTATTCCTACAAAATAGGGGGGACAAGTAAACAAAGGGAGGTTTCGGCTTATAAACTTTAAAAAGTGGCATCAAACTCAAAGCGGGGCCCATCTTAAACAATCCAGAGAAAATTCAGAAAAAGCTTATGGTTCTGAAAACCCTAGTTATCCCTAGCTGGGGTGGAATTCGAATAGTAAAAGGAAAAAAAATCAAGTGAAAAGAAAGTTCAATCAAGTAAATTTACTTATGGAAAAATATTAATTTAACAAAAATATAAAAAGTATGTGAACGAACGAGGAACAGCATTGACATTTAAAAATGTCTCCATTTAATGTTTTCGTATCTAACGCAGATGGGCATTGCTCCCGCCCGTCTCCACCCCTCACCCCTTATTTTGGTATTCGCTGTGAATTGGTCAATCATTTCTTTTGGTTTTGTCTTTATTACAGCTGCTGTGACTGTTCCAACTTCAGCACGAGGTATGTATTGTTTTGCTTTAAAAAAAAGGAAAATTATTATTAAGGTTCAACATTGTTCAACTTATTATCCTCTGTCGTCAGAGGTTATACACTATATAATATATTGCCAGATAAATCATAAAATGCGACCAAGTCCAAAAGATCACTGATTTGTCATTGCTGGTGATTATTCCTACAAAATAGGGGGGACAAGTAAACAAAGGGAGGTTTCGGCTTATAAACTTTAAAAAGTGGCATCAAACTCAAGCGGGGCCCATCTTAAACAATCCAGAGAAAATTCAGAAAAAGCTTATGGTTCTGAAAACCCTAGTTATCCCTAGCTGGGGTGGAATTCGAATAGTAAAAGGAAAAAAAATCAAGTGAAAAGAAAGTTCAATCAAGTAAATTTACTTATGGAAAAATATTAATTTAACAAAAATATAAAAAGTATGTGAACGAACGAGGAACAGCATTGACATTTAAAAATGTCTCCATTTAATGTTTTCGTATCTAACGCAGATGGGCATTGCTCCCGCCCGTCTCCACCCCTCACCCCTTATTTTGGTATTCGCTGTGAATTGGTCAATCATTTCTTTTGGTTTTGTCTTTATTACAGCTGCTGTGACTGTTCCAACTTCAGCACGAGGTATGTATTGTTTTGCTTTAAAAAAAAGGAAAATTATTATTAAGGTTCAACATTGTTCAACTTATTATCCTCTGTCGTCAGAGGTTATACACTATATAATATATTGCCAGATAAATCATAAAATGCGACCAAGTCCAAAAGATCACTGATTTGTCATTGCTGGTGATTATTCCTACAAAATAGGGGGGACAAGTAAACAAAGGGAGGTTTCGGCCTATAAACTTTAAAAAGTGGCATCAAACTCAAAGCGGGGCCCATCTTAAACAATTCAGAGAAAATTCAGAAAAAGCTTAGGGTTCTGAAAACCCTAGTTATCTCTAGCTGGGGTGGAATTCGAGTAGTAAAAGGAAAAAAAATCAAGTGAAAAGAAAGTTCAATCAAGTAAATTTACTTACGGAAAAACACTAATTTAATAAAAATATAAAAAGTATGTGAACGAACGAGGAACAGCATTGACATTTAAAAATGTATCCATTTAATGTTTTAAATTAACGCAGATGGGCATTGCTCCCGCCCTGATGATACACTCGGACCCTCAGAGCTGAACTGTTCAGACTGTCAGCAGCATGTTAGAGAAATGCCTCAGTACTGGCGTAGGATGAAATGTGGCAATGAAACACCTACATCTATTAGCAAAACCTGTTGTCACTCTTGGTGTAAGCAGTTGACTTCCTGTTTCAGTCAGTTGCCTTTTTGGAAAGAAGACTGTGTTAGAATGTGGAGGTGCAGGAAAAATGAAAAACCTCGCAAACAGATTTCTATTATATTGACAAATACAACAGACTCGTCGTATTTGGGCAGAATCAAAGTGAAACAGTGCTGGAAACTGAATTTTCCTGCCATTAAGATAACACCATCAAGCGAAGTACGTGTATTTGATTTTCTTGTAACATTGTTGTTGTTGTTACTTTAATTTCACCCTTTAGAGAGTGTAGAAACCAATCCCACTCTTAGCCCCAGTCGGCGCAGCCATCAATACAAGTTCGACTTTCAAGCAAATGAGAGGAGTGAGCTCTAGTAGAAATTAATGTCTTGGCGAGTACGTTTTCCAGTATTTCCTATGTTATTCGTATTTCCTATTTATAATCTTGTAATCGGTTATTCCATTCTTCATGCATTATGTTCGTAATACTTTGCTTAGAAACCACGGCAATAACGTGTAAATGGAAGACTTCGACGTCAGGAAATTAAAACTCCTCCTAAGTTTATTGCTGGTGCCTTGGTTAAAGAAAGCTTTTCCACAGACTGTGTCGCCCAGAGTTTATCAATTCCTGTAACAGTTAGGCTACTGAAGGACATATCTAAACCAACGACTATTACCTTATTGAGACTTTTTTTCGCCTTCTCAGTTTACAAACAAGAAACTTGTTGACACCATCCTAAAGGAATTGATTGGCTCTTCTGGAAATGATGTAAATCAAGAAAAGATGGAACGCACTTTCCTCACTGTCACTAATTTGGAGGAGTTCATTGGGAATTATGCTCAAAATCACCTAAATCAAACCGTACCTAAGATGAACATCAGTAGTGAACATGCAGGTAAGTGGATCTTAAAAGCTGATTTGGAAGTCAGCTGTTGATTTCTAATTCAGAGTTCAGGATGAATACATGCATCATTCGTGGCAGATTTTAGAAACGTTTGCTAACGCTACTACTTATTCGACGTTTTTGGTATAAGCTTTGTCTGTAGCAACCCTCCATCGAATTTTCGCGACACCTCAAACGTGTTGGACCTCTTTTAAGGCAGTTTATAACAGCAAATTCCTATGGCTCATCAGTTGTCTCCAATTCCAAGAATTCGTTCTATTTTATATATGTTCTTCAATATCGTCATACATATGAAGTCATAAACAGGGGAAAAATGAATAAATAAATTAAGAATATAAAAATAAGAAACCATTCGAATTCATTCCAGTGATATGTTTATGGATTTAAAAATGATCACCAGCACTTTATCTGACAATTGAATGGAGAACGCTCCTTCGACTGATGATCCCTGCAAACTACTTGCATTTACTACTTCTAAGTGATGGTTCTTCAGTCTTTAAGTCCTAAAACTTTTGATGACGATAACTTGTTTATTTTGGCCCTCACGTAAAATAAGTCGCTGTTTTGCAATTAGATATTTTGGTTAGGAAGATTTTCCACGAAAATGAGACTGGAGTACAACTTGAGGATGATAAAGGAGAAAACTACGTCAGCCTTCCTGTTACAGGCTTCGATAACGGTTTGAGAACTATCTTTTTCACTTTTTTTTAGCATAGAAAATTATATATTTTTCTCGTATTATTCAAATTATTTTAGCGATTATCTGTGTTCTTGGTTAAAAAGGGGACTGGGTTTCAAATACTAAAGACATTGAAGGTAAATGGCTGATATCTTAAGGTGGTTGTTTTGGTTTTCTTTTATTTCATTTTCAGTTCATTTCTCCTTTGGTCGAAATGTTTTACTCCATAACAAGGCTGGGCATACCAATGAAACATGCCAATAAACGCGCAAGGTTTTAAACCATGATAACTTGTACTTTTTTCTAAAAACTCTCGAAGTAATACAATTGTTTCTATTATTTTCATCTTAGGATCAGTGGTACTTTGTGTCATTTACAAAGATCTGCATAAAGTATTCCAAACCGACTCTACTCCTCTCAATAGATTCAGGTTTGCTAAAACTTAGTATTGCATTTCGTATCTTATATTTCAAATTAATCTATTTTGGTTTGATGATAACCTACGAAGGGAATGTTAATAATAAAAGAGAAACATCTTCGACCTCAGTTTGAATTTCCCCTTTGTTTTGTTTCTTTCGTTTTGATTCTCTTTTGCTATCTTTTTATTAATTTCTCTTTTTGTCCTTTGTCGGTCCGTTTGTTTGTTTGACTGGTTTTCTTTTCATTTTTTTTTTTTTTTTAATTTCGTTTTCTTGTTTATTTGTCTTTTGGTTATTCAACAGTAATATCTTGTCTGCAACGATATGGCCGAGGAACAACACTTTCAGAAAGAATGTTACAGTGAAATTTAAAAACCTAGCGGTAAGATACAATTAATTAAGAGAGAGCTCCATCTGCGTTCGTAACACTATAAAGAAATTTACACAGCGCTGATATTTCTGGAAAATTCAAGCCAAAATTTATACTTCTTTTTGCATCCCTTTGATCCATTTTTGTCTCGCTACATATTTTGTTGTTGTTGTTTGTTGCTGTTGTTTGTTGCTGTTGTTGTTGCTTGTTATCGTGTATGTTATTGATTTCGTTTGTTTGGTTTTGCTTTGCTTTTGTTTTTCCGTTTTTTTTTCCTTTTTTCTTTTTGTTTCGTTTTGATTTGATTAGATTTGTCTTTTTTCCTTATTATTACTATCATTATTATCAATGTTATTATCATCATCATCGCTATTCTTTTTATTATTATTATTATTATTATTATTATTATTATTATTATTATCGTTACTATTATTATCATTATTAGTGTTGGGAGGGGGGGGTGGGGAAAGGGTTTTAAAAAAAAGCCGGTGAGAGCACTCCCAACTCCACATTAGCCACCAAGTCGCTGCACTACGTAATATTAACAGTACTTAACGGTTTCAGGACGCACCGGATGGAAGTTGCGTGTTTTGGAATACTTCGGAAAACAGGTAAACAGCTTTGAATGAATTGATGACATCGTTCACTTCAAATAATAAATTTGCTTAAGGACTTTGCTTTTATGCACTGATACATCACATTGTGTGTTCACCTCTTACTCCTTGTTTCTCTTACTCATTCTTTTTCTCCTTCTCAGGCTTCCGCGTGTTAATGTCTATAAAACTGGCTATTGTTTTGTTTCTTATGTTCATTGACTGACTGTTTTTGACTGTTTTTCTTACTGTTTCCTGGTGTAATTCTAGCTGGTCCGGACAAGGGTGTCTCCTGCTATCGAGGAATGAGTCTTACACCGAGTGTAGCTGCAATCATTTGACTCACTTTGCCGTTCTTATGCAGTTTGACAGGGGAACTAGCGATAACGGTTTAACTAAGGTAAGAATATTGCTAAGCATCCATGCATTGATTTCAGAAGGCACTAAGACTAGATAGCATTGGTGTGGCACTTTTTCATACATTTATATTAATCCAGGTATATGATGTGTGGCACTCTTCCGTTACAAGTATTGAATCACTGTTTTTGTATTCATTTCTAAGACGGACGAAAAAGCGCTGGAAATTCTCACATATGTGGGCTTGTCTTTTTCTCTGGTTGGAATCACTTTAACAATCATCAGTTATGCTGTTCTTACGTAAGTACATGACATAGTTACACGCAAGCATTCCCAGGCAAGCCGAGAATATAGACTCAACAAGAAATGATATCAGTTTAAATGTGCATAGCTAAGATTCCTTTAAGCAGCCGAGTCGAATCATAAAAATATAACCAGGCTTTGTATAAAATGAGGATAGAACTGATGTAGAATAAAATCAGTCATTTTCTTTTGATTAGAGACATGAGGGGGCCCTTATCTCAGATTCGAGTGAGTCTAGTTGCTTCACTTGGCGCAGGTCAACTTTTCTTCCTAGCCGGAAGTGGTGCTGTTGAGAACAAGGTGAGATATTATATCAAACGAGAAGATAAGAATCTCTTTCGGTAAATCTTTATGACTTTCAACCGACTCTTAGCTCAAATTTTTCATTCCTGTGCAGTCTGCCTGTGTTACAGTAGCAGCTTTTGTTCAATATTTCCTAATGGCCGCTTTATGCTGGATGTTGATCGAGGGAGTTTATCTCTACCTGTTTGTTGTACAAGTTTACAACATCAACGACAAGATGAAGCTTTCACATGGATTTTCATGGGGTAACTATTAATTAAAAACCCATTCTCTCTTTGATAATCTTTTGAAAAGTAAAAGATGAAGATTGCCATCAGCATCTTAGACATCATCATCGTCATTTGACTCTGTTGTCCCTTCGAATCCACAGGTCTACCCGCTCTCGTCGTTTCCATATCGCTGGGCATTGCAGCTGGAACCGGGCCGGGGATTAAAAGCTATGTCAGTGAGAAGTTGTAAGAAATAATTGATTTTTTTGTCAAGCGATTTCTGTCACGAATCCTATTTTTTTGTTCTTTTTTTGTTTTTGTTTTTGTTGTTTTGTTTGCTTGTTTGCATTGTTTTAAATTTTTGTTTTTGTCTTATGGTTGGCTTGTTTTTGTTGTTTTGTTATTTCTTTGTTGTTTTCAGTTGTAATCAAACATGGAAAGTACTGCGTACATGCATGGGCAAACAAATAATTAATTGATAAATTATCCAAGTTTCGCATAATTAATTTTTATTCAGCTGCTGGATGTCATCCTCTAACGGCATGATCTGGATATTTTTTGTATTCGTTGTGCTGATTGAGTTGGTAAGTTAAATTCCTAAATATTTTTTTTTTTCATTTTTATCTTTCACGCTTTGCTTTCAGGTATCTTTGCATCGTGAGCATTTTCCCCGCCGCTCTTTTTAAACTCTTTGACTCTGCTCAATAGTTTTCAACAAAACATGAAATATATGAAGGATAAATTTTGCTTGAGGTGAACCCTATCGTTGGGAGATGCCGTCAGCGGTTACTGTGCAAGGTTTTTAGGTTGAAAGTCCTGGTTCGAGTCTCTCTCTTGCGTTGTTTTGTTGGGCGAAACGTTTTGCGTTCATAATGATTTTAGCCATCTCCTTCCAGCTGTATAAATATTTACTGACGAATGGTCAAGGACACCTCAAAAATGTCTTGCGGAATGCTAGGGAAGAGGAAGGGTTAAAATTTTGACGACCATCCGCTAAGGCAAATAGGACCACTTAGCTCAAGTGCAAACTCCTGTTTCCTTTATAAAGTTTGATTGTTTTTAGATTTTGTTTTTTGTTTTTTTTTTTCATTCTTATCACTTTTTTCAGTTAAACACATTGATACTGGTGCGAGTTATCAAGGAAATGACGATAATGCAGCATGTAAAAGACAAAGTCAGCGATCAAATAAGGTAAGTATTTCAGCGGCGCCAGTGGTAGATTCATATAAGTCATTAGCCTTATACTTTGCTGCCTTATACGACTAATGTCAACTCACAACAATGGTAAAAGCAAATTATCTTGATTTTCTTTTTTTTCCTGATTTTATAGGCTTGGTGTCAGGGCATGCGTGGTGATGATTCCTTTGCTAGGGATCACGTGGCTATTTGGTCTTCTTTCGCCCCTGCATAAAGTGTTTGTGTACATTTTCACAATTTTCAACTCTACTCAGGTAAAATGAATACAGCTTTTAGGGATGAAATCCGTGCTCATACGATACCAACGTAAAAGCAAATTCTACAGCAAGTTGCACTACCCCTTCCTTACAAGTTTACCAGGTGGTAAACTTAGTGTAATACAGAGACAAAGTAGAGAACTTGTGGTTAATAGCAGTAAAGGTTTGGACATTTTTGCTGCCCAGTAACGTTTAATACTGAGAGGTTTAGGGTTGGGGTGGGGGGGGGAGCTTGTATGAAAGCACTTTGAATCTACTAAAGGCGTTAATGAGATTTCTGAATTGCGATTTAACAGGGCCTCTTAATATTCCTCCTTCACTGTGTGAGAAATCCAGAGGTATGTTATCAAATGTTGTTTTAAGTCTCTTTGTAAACTTTAGTTTTTTTCTCAGAGTTTTACCTAGCAAGGCTTCCACTTTGAAATAAGAAATTAAATTCGATGGTTGTATGTATGCGAAGCGCATAGAGTTGTACAGTTCTTGAGATCGTTTTGATATCAACTTATTCATGCAGATTAGATCTCGCTTCAAAAGAAGGATCAACGCTGTCAACCCAACTGCAGATGAAGTAACAGGCATTAAGCGAGCTTCACAAGTAAATGAAACAATCAGCGTGATACTGCCAAGGAAATTGAATGTCCAGCCTCCTAATAACCATGAAAGTGGCATTGGAATCTCTGAGATCTGATTCGTCATCGTAGTGTTGTTCCTTAGCTTAGATCTGTGTATATCTTAAATTAAGAAAATTTTAGGTAAGGATAACCAGCTTCAGAAGGCTCTGACAGCTTTGTATCGATCCGAAAAGTAATAAAATAACGTCTCAAGTAATCGGTATTTACGGTTTCCTCCTTGTGGAAAAAAGAGCATTGGATATAGTTGTGTTTAGAAGGTCTACATCCAAGGCATCAGTTTACAGAGTAATGAAACTATCATAAGCCACCACAAATTGTACGGCCCTCACCAAAAGGAAAACACGTTATGCATACCAATGGTAATCAAGATATTATTACTCTCAATAGAGGCAAGGGTTTAAAAAAAAAGAAAACAAACAAACAAAAAAAAAAAACTATGAATAGTTTTTTCTCTTGGTAGTCTCGCTTTTACCTGTGTAGTTGTTTGAGAATTTTTCCCTCGGGAGTGGCGGTTGAGAAATATCTCTTCATTAACTCTATGAGTCTCCACTCTGATAAGTCCGTTCCTCCTGAAACACGCACGATAGCTTGAGAGTTGAGCATTGACGGAATTTTGATAATGCAACTTAATCCATTCAAAAAGCTTTCTCAATTTGTCACATGTCAAAAAAAAAAAAACTTTATTTACTTCCTCATTTAAAAATACATGATTAATAACATTTTAATGAGGAGCGTGTAATGCCTCGATCGAATCTTTTCGCGGAATAACAGAAAGAAATTTCAAATAATCTCGATTTAAGCTTTTTGTTATTAACAAATGAACAATCAACCCTCTTTACGTTTGTTATTCTCGTGGTTTTAATTTTACTTGTTAAAATACCAACAAAAGCAACAACAGTGCCAACTTGTAGCAATTCTCAGAGAAAGATAAGTTTGCACCAATTATGATAATCAAATTACGATTCATTTGTCCACCTCCTTTTGCGTAAAGATATCACAAGAAACCAACCATAAACGGCTTATCTGAACGGGAAAAACTTCAATACAAGTGTTCCACCCCCTAAACCAGGGTGCACTTGTCGACCTTTTGCCAGAAAAGTGCGAATTCCATGCGCTGAATCAAAAAGAAAAAAATCCCGAGGTAAACAGCGAAGTTATTGAGTGAAATGTCGGAACAGTCCCGCAGGGCTCAAAACCCATTTACTCAATAGGAGTAGTCTGTTGGTGTTGCTGACGACGACTGGTCCTCCTGAAAACCATGTTACCACCCAAAATTCCAGCCCTCTACCCCCAAGCTATGGATAAAAATTAGCTCGTAAGAGCCAAAGAGGACTTGTGGGTTTTTTATGAAGATCCTGAAATTGAATAACTAGGGGCATAACTCTTAATGAGGAACTGAAGCGTAATGGTCACTTTACTTCAAGGAAGCTTTAGAGGAATGAGAAAAAGTCTTGGTAGTTATTTTCGTTCGCTTCTTATTATTTGAAGTTGTCCAAGAGCATTCAGAAAGAAAAAAACTGGCAAAAAGGCAGATCCATATTTATTCACATACAGATCCATTTTGAAACACAAAATACAAATATTCCCGCAACATAGTGAAAGTTTATGGAGAATTTATATATTTCATTGGCAAATTTGAGTCCCCTGATAACTGACAGAAAGGTGAATCGAATGTTTGCTTAATAGAACCTCGTTTTTCGCTTGTTCACGGCGATGCTTTTCAGGTGATAGCCGGGGATTTTTGGGATAGCATCCTCCTCCAGCTTGTACTTCGCGGATGTTCGAAGCATTTCAGACTTGAGGTCCTATTCGCAACAATGTCGTTCGAAATGTTGATAACAAACGCATAGGTCTTTCGTGACGGTGAAAGTCATTTTCGTATGTCGTTGGTTAATCTGTGTTTCAACTTTACTCATAAAAATTGGTACCTACTTAAAAATTATGCTGTGCAATGCACTATAAATAAATTAATGACGGTTAGAAACTAAATTAGGTAGGTAGAAAGTATCATTCTATTCCTTCCGTGGTATTTCGTGGGAAGCATTGTGAATGTCCACACGGTTGACGTTAAAGAAAGCCTAAAAACACCAACTCCCTCTCAAAATGAAATTCATACAACCCCAGAACAAGCTCACACTGTGTTTGCCCGCGTACTACTCAGCTGATAAGGCTTATAAATATCTTCCATATCTGAAACTATCGATTATTTAAAACAAGTATGATGAGAAAGACCTCTATGACTAGCGCTTAGGCGCGAAACTCAGAGTCACAGAGAATCGATGCGTCCTCTTAATTCTTTAACTTATGTATACTTAGCTCTGCTACCACAGTATTGAGCACTTTATGCCAAGGTAGACTCTACCCCCACATTTATATATATATATATATATATTTTTTTTTTTCATCAAAATGATAACGATAATAGCAATACATCCAATAGAGGAATATTTGGCTTTTTAAGACTATATTTATGTGCCGCAAGCATGGTTCGGATACATCTACTTTAATAATTACACGCAAGGATGACAGAAACACTTCTCCGTATGATTGAAGTGGGTAGTATTTAAATGACTTATTTAACCGTTATTTTATGTAAATTTGATAAGCGCCGCACGTCAAGTGGAAATTATGAAGTTTTCTTTGGAAGTATGAGGCCAAGGCGCCTTATTGCAATGCTGAAATATGCCAGAATTTTCCATCAGTAGGTTTATGATTGAAGGCCCTTCAGACGTTTGATGACGCTAGTAAAAGAAGTAGCAATGACTATCACATCCTTGAGTCCGTCTTAATTTTTTGTTTTCTCGTTTTCCTCTGTCTCCTTGAACTAATACTTCTCGTTTTGTCGGCATTAAAATGAAATGTTTTATTTTCCTCTGATACCAATAGAGTAATGTTTAAATCCTTGTTTAAAACCCTTCAATTGCTATCCGCTGTCAGCTTAGCTAATTTTTAGTCTCTCAAGAAAGTCTGTATTCGTAAAACACTACTTAATAATAGCGGAGGAGTTAAAATTCTTACAGGTGTATTTGTTTTAAATTGTCGAAGTAAAAACAGTTTTTTGGTCCTTCATTTAGTGTTGCCAAAAAAAAAAATATTGTGATTAGATGGAGGCTTAACACGAAAATTTCCCCCGGTAGACATGATTAATTATTCATTTGAAAATTTCCTCTTTAAACAGATAAAGCTTTCTCAACCTCGTTTTAGTTCGTCAAGGAAATTCGGCCCAGTTTTCAATAAAGACACCTATTGAGTTGAACACTCTTTGTTTTGTTTTAATGATCATTCATTGCACATCTCGCAGTTGCCATGTCATGTACACAAATACGTCAGTGTGCGCCCAACGTATGGGTGAATTAGAATTTAAAAAATACCGCGAAAAAGCAGTACTGCGATTCATTGTTTTGTCATCCGCTATTTCAAAACAAGTTTGAAAACTATTTTGTTGGTGTTAGGGGGAAGTAAAGTGGAAAAAAGTAATTAGGGTGAGGAAAATTTCGGTTCCTCTATAACGAACACAATAATAAAAAAAATAAAAAAATTTAAAAAAAACGTCCGCTTTGAGAAGATTTTTATTCACAGCCACCTGCCACTTCCTAGTGATTTCCGTGACACTTCATATCTTAGATATAATTCTAGTCATGTCTTAGTATTAATATTGCCTGAATTTATAAAGAAAATAAGGACCCAGCTGGTCAATTTATTGCCACCAAACTCAAGGAATAATGAGTTTAGAAACTCACGCCTAGTTTGGTCTCTGCCTATTTCCTTGATAGCTCAAGATCTAACGTATCTCTGTGTCTAACGTCTGCCCAACGTCACTGAACACACACCAATACCTTCGTCATTGTTTCACGAGACGGTGATCCTAAAAATGCCGAATTCATATCTAAAAGTTCGAAAGAAAACTCTAGCTAAATTGGTCTGGAGAATGGTTTTTCTTGCACTAGTGGTTGGCGAGTATTAAAAAGTAGTATGGTGACCTCTAAATATGTAAACTTTTAAAAAACTCGATGTGTTAAGGAGGCTTTTGGTTGCATGTGGTACTTTCAATTTCGCTTTTTGTTTTTCGACGGAGCTCTTTAAAGCTCTCTTAAGAGCTTTTTAAAGGGAAAATATGGTCTAGAAAATGTTATTTCTGTTGAAAGAACTTTTCGACAGGAATTCGAAAATAATTGTCGTTTTGTTCGATTCGGAACGGAACCCAGAGAGAAGAGGTGATCGTTTTTTAACATTCACTGCAAAGCCCAAAACATGTAGATCAAAAGCTGAACCATAAACGTTCCGACACTTCAACAAATATCAAAATTAAAAAAATGGCAATGACAAATATGTTCCACCGCTGCAGTAGTAAAATATTTACTGTTTTTGTGTGGTTCGCTAGCTGCAGGCTTCATATTTCTATACACACACATATATACATATATATATACATACATACCACACACACACATACATACACGCATACATACACACATACGCACCTTTGGCAACTTGTGAGGACTGTGTTTACACACACCGCTTGCGGGGACCCCCCCTTCTGCTGGCAGTATCAAAATAAAAACTACGATGTTTGATAGCTTGTTTGCCTTACTCTTTATACACTTGATTAGAATTGAGGAAATTTCAATTTTTCTTGTGGGGACTTCCTTATGGGGACCTGTCCATTACTCAACTTTGCCTACTTGTGGGTACTACTTTTAATATAAGACTTGTGAGGACATACTTACCTAACTTGTGGGGTCTCTGTTTCCACACCCCTCTTATGAGGACCACCTCTCCTTTTGCTGGAGAAGGCGAAGAAGTTTTGCTGAAGGCCTGGTACTTTCCTGCAGCGGAAGAAAACCCTCGTGATTAATACTAATAATGAAGGCCCGTTAGCGTAATCGCCTTTGCAGTCGTTGTTTGGTCTTGCAATGGGAGAGAGACTGCACTGCGTGGCGAGACTAAACAACGGCTGCGACGGAGACTACCGCAAGTGTGACACCAATGGAGTTTAGTGTTGCTTAAAACTATTCAGACACCA